CTGGGTCGGCGGCCTCGGCGACGGCCTCCTCACCGTCGACTACACCACCTCCATCGCCTCCGCACTTCCCCCATCCTGGTCCCTCGCCGAAGTTCTCCTGCGCTCCTCCTACAACGGCTGTGGCCACGGGCCGGCTCTCGCGCGACGCACGCGAACTCGGCGAATGCGTGGACTACTTCAAGAACTTGCGTCCTGGCGCGAAGATCGTGCTCATGGGCCACTCCACCGGGTGTCAGGACATCATGGAGTATCTCGTGGGACCCGATGCGAAGAATCTGCCAGCGATTGATGGCGCGATTCTACAGGGCGGCGTGTCTGATCGCGAGGCGTGGCACGCCATGTTGCAGACGGAGGAGGAGAAGGAGGCATCGAAGAACATCATGGCTACGGCGAAGAGGATGATCGATGAGGGCGATGAGAAGGGCATTGTTCCTACCAAGGGCAACATGTTGGCGGATGTACTCGGTGCGCCGATTTCGGCGTACAGGACGTATTCGCTGCTGGCGAAAGGTGGGGATGATGATTACTTTAGCACGGATCTGGGGGACGAAGTGTTCAAGAACACGTTTGGGAAGATTCCGAAGGAGACGGCGGTGTGCTTCCTGTTGGGCAGTGAGGACCCGTTTGTGCTGAAGAGTGTGGATAGGAAGGCGTTGTTGGAGCGGTGGACAAGGATTATCCGGGAAGGTGGAGGGGTGGTGGATGATGTGAATGGCGGGTTAGTCGAAGGAGGACATCACAATCTCAACGGGGACCCAGAAGAAGTAGTTCAGGGGAATTGGTGAAGAGAGTGGTGGGCTTTGTGTTGGGGTTGGATAAAGATCGTGAGTCGGGTGCGGATGCGTCGCGTTTGTGAAAGTTGCTGTATCTGGACTATACGCTGTTGGACTGGATGCTCACACCACTCCTACAATAGGAACTACCAGGTTGGGCTCGCTTACTACAGCTTGGTCGGTGGACGTCAGTTTACCATGCCTCCGTGCAGCGTTCAACAGCACCGCCATCGCAGAAGGACATACAACCAACAACGAACCCCAAGACAACCCTCCCAAGTGGAAGAAGGATTGCCGCGGTGGTGTGAAGGCACGGGCGCACAAGTGACCAGAGCAAAGGGAGACGAGGCCCAGAGCTCTGGTGCGCCTCTTTAGACATTGAATTAAGAGAGTGGCCAGATTAGTAGAGTGGAGGTGTAGTTTGTGCCATCTGGTCAGCATGGAATGAATCATCCTCTAATAGATTGAAAATGGCATGTTTGAAGACCTACTGTTCCTCCATGTGTGAATGTTTACATTGATGTATGAACCTAGACAGCATTGCAGTACCTAGTGCTGATATATTCAAAATCTACTGCTGCTTTGCATTTCGATCCAAGCTCACCTCTCACCCGTTTACAAAAACCAAAAAAAAAGCTACTAAAATTGAACCTTGTACATTTCTTCAAGGTCCAGTCTCGGAGTCTATATGCTCAGTTTTCTGTGCCTCAGTCAGATTGCACTCCAACTTCTTCATATTCCGTTGCAAATTTCACCATTTCCACTCCTCAAATGAGAATCTGACCTTGACGTGTCCCTTCAAGTTTCAGAAAATACGGCGGTTGTCGTGTCAATTTCTTGCGAAGCATGTCACAGGTATACCATTCAAGGTCGTGACTATTGCGCTCATACATAGACACATGAACATGAACATTCACGCGTATGGCTTCACTGATGTTTTATTCACTTTTGGTAATCTACGACTACTATAAAGACACAGCTTAAGCACTGCCATAGATACACAAACACCTCACTATCAACCGCCAGCAATCATCTTGTAGATCGAGATCAAATCCACACCAGCAAAATCCCTACCGAGATATCACAATGCCGTCATCATCAGTTCCCCTATCCGCAGGTCAGAAGCGTAGAGCGCAATACAACAGGGCGAAAGACAGGGTAAAACTGCAAAATCAGTCCGAGATTCAGGAATCACATTCCACGTCGCAATCGATGAACTCTCAACACCGTCCAGCACGACCATCACCAGCATCTCAGTCCTGGCTCCAAATTTCACCCACCCCTGGCAGTGAGCCTATCAAAGCTGCTGAGTTCTACCCAGCGACAGAACATCGTATGCTCGGTGAAGACGGCAAGTCCATGGCCTCGCTCTCAGGATGGCCCGCAAACGAAGGCTTCAAGGATCGTGGATGGACAAGTACGACTGGCATGGGAAGTGGCGCCAGCTGGGCAAGCAGGAATGGGCAAGGGTCTGGAGGAATCATGCAGAGCAAGCCAAGGCAAATGACAGAAAAGGAGATGTATGATGATAACAGGAGGGGAACTATGAGGCAGGCGAGAAGTAAACCGACGGAGTCCGAAAAGGAGAGGTGCTTTAAATATGTGACTGGGGATAACCCATGTACCTAGAGAAGATTGGAGCTGGATAGCCTGTATGGAGGGGGGGGGGGGGGGATGAATATCTTTGCAAGTTTCTAATCACTTGGCGATTTTCTGGGTCCAGAATTTGCAGTTGTCATTTCATGATTTTTAAGTGTCTGATAAGATCCAAAAGTGCATTGAATGTGTTCGATGGCTTCTTCGTCACTGTCAAAACTAGCCGCAACGAACGAGTCCTGTCAATACTAGCCAAGAGTAGCTAGTATAGAGTCACTCTCCACCACTATATAACTCTTTCATCCTCCTTACACTTTGTGCAAGTAGGATGCGTGCGTCTCTCGAAAGTCTGAGACGAAAAAGTCACGTTGCTTTGAGCTGGAGCGACCAAATTCGGTCCATCAACAGCAAATGGAGAGATTTGTGGAGGAAGACATGGGTATATTTCTGCCTATCACGCAATCAAAAGACCATTGAGAGGCAACCTATGTGTGGCGTCTTCTGCACCGGCTCGTCGCTTTCTTACCATGAATCGCTTCATGTCATCGCCCTCGAAAAGGGTATGTTTTTGCAATACTGAGTGCGGAGCTGGATAGTATCCGAAACAGTCCATACCATATGCTGTCAAAGTTACATAAATTCTGCTCGATTTGTTCTCTTCTTCTTCCTCCACCAACCGCTCAAGCTTACAACTTCCGAAAAAAAAATTGGCGATTTCCATTGCGATGTCTCTGCCTTCAGAGCACCAAAAGCAAGCTCTACAGTCTCTCCCAGACCTCACAAACCTCATCTATGTCAAAAGACTTTTTATCCACAACAATCGGGCTGTGATGATCTACGTGTTCGTGCCGCTCTCTGGGTCGAAATTAAATCTGCGCTTTCCATGATCATGAGAAGAGACGTCTACGAAAAGCGAAAATAGAGCGCCTCGATGTTGCTGTCGCAAGCGTTGCAACAGACACCATACTTGAACTCTCTCCATCTTTCTCTCCTCTTCTTCACAACTCTTTGCTTTTCTCAGCCCCAAATATCGACGGCAGTCGCAGTATGGTGCATCCAAAATTTGGATGCCCTGGTGCATGAATTGTGGAGATCTTTCCGCTCTCAAAAAAACCTCCGATCCGCGACGCATGTTGGAAGAAGCCCTGCAGCCTTCTTCACAATGGCGAGCTACAGGCACTATGCGGCATCGCCAGATGATCTACGTATAAACACTTACCGACTCTGACCTCTACTCTTCTTTTACCTCACACGACTCTTCCCTGAAGCTCAAAAACTCTGGAAGACTGAGCACATGACTGTCCAAAAGAAACTCTCGAAAAGATCATGGTTGTTTTGTCCCGTCCGTCCTCTAAAGCCCGACACGCTCGAAGAATATGCTTCGCCGCTCAAGCTTGCGTATGAATTCCTCAGAACGCTGTCCTCCACCCTCTGTCCTCATCTTACGCGGCTTTTCTCTAGAGTTCAAAAAACTTGGCGATGGAAGATATATGACCGTCCAAAAACGTGCTTGCAGTGGACCCGTGTTTTGTTGTGTTTCCTCCTTCAAAAAAAAAAGTAAAAGGAGATAGAATGCCTGCCTTCGTGCCGGCATCTTCTATCAAAATCTACCCGACTAGACTATGTGGGATACGGTCTGGACCCACCCAACGCAGTAAATAAGAGCCTTGATTGACGCGGTTCTTCTGTCATCATCGATACTTCCCTACATCTCGGATGCCAAAACACAAATGCATCATAGTCCATGTCGTCTAAAAGTTTTCAAAGACCACTTTATGATTTGAGCGACGAGAACGAAAAAATATGCATATGAATGGCCGTGTTTGTGTCCGAAGTACAGGGTCGTCGCTTCTATGTCTGGGAAAAGTTTTCGAGTCTAAAGAGCAAGGATTGTTATGTTCCATTCTTGTTCTTCCGTAGCAAAACATCCAAGACCTTCCTGTTCATGTGTTCGCTTCGGATGGAGTGGGTATATGTATAACTCCTCGGAGCATCGCAGTCTTTCTTCTGTCATGCCAATGCCTTGTGCATGTCCAAAAAGAAGCCGGGTACCCACTATTCATGTGCAAAAACCCAAGGTGGAGTTCTTGCATGTCTGGCTGTCTTCCCAAGCCTTCGTCATAAAATATTCTCCGTTTCGATATGCATCCATCATCATCACCACCCAACGATGCCCACCACCATCCCCTCAACCCAACATACTTTCTCTTCCGCCCCCTCCCTCTCACCCCCTCTAACCTCTTTAATACCCCCCTCGCGCCCCCATAACTCTCTCCATACGCCCTGAGCACCTCCTGAAAAAGCGGTTCCGCCGCGGGATGCGTCGCCGCAAACGCGCGCTCCAGCACGTACAAGTCCACCGCCTTGTCTTCGTCCTGGATACTCGCTGTCGTGAGGCCGAAGTCGATGAGGTACACATCTCCCTGCAAGCTCCATTCATCCTGGTCGTCGGAAGTAGAAGGAGGTGCCAGCATTAAATTACTCGTCGTCAAATCCCCATGACAAACCCCAATCGCGTGTAGTTTCCCTACTTCCCTCCCTACCTTACCCATCAACTCCAACATCCCCCTCTCATCCTCTTCCCCTCCCCCCCGCTCCCGCCTATGCGCCCACCCATCCCAAAACCCCCCGAACCGTCCGGCCCCCAACCCACTCCATAACAATCCACCCTTCCTCCGCACCCAGCGCTAATATACCTGGCACCCTCACCCCCTCCTTCCGACACCGCACCAAGCTCCGTGCCTCGGCGAGAAGGCGCGCTTTTGTGAGCCGCTTGTCGAGCGTGGGGTGTCGGTAGGGTTTGGGCGGGCGGTATTTGACGACGCAGGGCGTGTGGGGGGTCAGGAAGGTGGATTTGTACACGAGCGCTTCGGCACCTTGGGTTATTTGCGCGAGATTTTGGGCGGAGAAGGGCGGCGGCGGGGTGTGTAGCGGGAGAGAGGTGTCTGGTGCAGGTGGGGGCTCGATGGGCGGGACGGGTGTTGGTTCGGTCATTGTGGGTGCGGGCGAGGTTTGTGAGGCGGCTTGGTGTAGTGCCGTACGGTGGCTTGCTGGAGTGTGACGGAGACGCGTGGGCAAGGTGTGTAGCGTGTGTTTGTCGCGTTCTGGGAAATTTTTGGTGCAAGTGGAAAGCTTCCCCGCGATAGGTGACGCACAGGTTCAGCCCTGTGGATGCTTATCGATATCTAGTCTCACCACCACGTGAGCTGTCGATCGCCGTTGCGCGACGTGCACTGAAGGGCGATCGAATCGATAGCGGGCGTCATGAGCGTGGGGTATAGAGTATAGATCATCCGTCTTCCCAGATCTAATAGAGAAGATCGCCGCCTACGAGTCATCACAAGATTAAAAGTGTGCGCGTGTTGTAAAGCGAGTGTGATGCATTTAGGTTCTATCCTACAAATGATTCACTCTTCTTCTGTCATCACCCATCCTACAACATGAGTAGTGAGTGTGCAGTTGATACAAAACGATAAAGAAGAGATGTCCAAGGAGTGCAATGAGCTCCAGCCACAGGCGCAGAGCTCGTGCTCCAAGAAACATGTCTCGTACAGGATCCCATGTTCAAAGAGAAACATGTAGTTATCCTTCCCAGTTCACCCAAGGAGAGCCAGCCGCCAGCTCATTAAAAGCAGTAGCATGATATTGGAGACAAGAAATTCAAAAGAAGGGTCCTGCTTATTGAGCAGAGACGAAAGTAATCGTGATGAAGGATGTGAGCTGGAGACAGCCCTCCGCGTGTAAACAATGAAAAAGCATAGCATACAGTAGGAAATGTTCGTAAAGGGCCGTAAGTCTGCGGCGTCAGCAAAGTGCCGCCGTGATATGCACAAAAGATAGGCCAGTCCGAGTTGTCACCCGAGGCACTCTAGTGTTCCTTCCAGTAAAGTCCAATTTCTTAGAACATGGTGCTCTTGCGCTTCTCGGCGCGCTGGTAAGCAATGAGCTTTGGCATGCGGCGCTGCTCGGCAGGGCGGATGTCAACAAGGCCACCGCCAATGGAACCATCATCGCTGCTCACGCTGTCCGCAGTGTATGAGCGGGTGACCGAAGCACGGTCGCAAGAGCGCTCCTGCGAGGCCTTGCGCTCAGATCCAATGGCGCCGTTGGCGACGGCACGGAGACTGCCGATGCTGGGCCTGCTGCGAACGCTGTCCGAGTCGTTGTCAGAAGACGGGAAGTTGTCGCTGTCGGGAGAGACACTACCGCTACCACTGCGCTGAGTGCTACGGCGGTCAATACCAGCACGAACGAGATTTCCAACAGCCTGGCGGCGAGTGCGGGTTGCAAAGTTTTTGCTACCTTCGTGCTTGGTAGTGGGCTTCTCCCTCAGATCTTCGATGGAAGGTGGGCCTCGAGGCTGGCGGACTGGGTGCTCGCCAGCGCGTGCTTGACCAGGTCCAAAGGTACCAGTCATTGGCGTAGCAGGGAAGCCGACAGGTCGAACGAAAGCTGACCTGGGGCCATCGGGAGTCTGAGCCTTGGCGTCAACAGCGAGCGAAGAGAGGTTCTTCTTGTGACCGCGACGGAAAGCGTTGGCAGAAGGCGGCGGGAGAGGAACCACATCCGCGGGAGGCGTGCTGGACTTCTTGGGTGGAGAAGTGCTGCGTGAGGCCCATGGGCTGGGGTTGACCTCGTTGGGAGGAGAAACGTGGAGCACGGGGGTGTCCATCTTGGGAGGGGACCTGGAGAAGCCGGGGGTTGGCGGGGGCGGCGAGTGCGACAGCTGGTTCTGGAAATCGCCGTTGTCTTGCTGGAAGCTCGGGTCCATGACGTACTGGTACTGACCGGTGAGCTGGTTGAAGACAATGTACAGACCAGGCTGTCCAGTCTCCTGGATAGCCGGGGTGTTCTGGAACTGCTGCTGGTATGCGTTCATCTGAGGTGTGTATGCATTTCCAGCGTATTGTTGCTGCTGACGCATGCCACCACCCACGTGCATGTTTCCAAACTGCTGCGCAGTCAAAGTCAACAGCTGCTGCTGAAGTTGCTGCTGCCTCTGAGCAAGGTAGAGCTCGGTGGCCAACAGCTGAGCGGCAATGTTGGGGTCCATCTCGCCGTCATCGTACTGAACAGAAGGAGGAGCGAGGACCTGGTCGTAAATGTTGGACTGCTGGTTGTACTGGTTGGTCTGGTTGGCGCCCGTGAAGCTGTTACCAATAGCGGTCTGAGGTCCGCGCTGGTTGGCACCGTTCTGCTGGGGGAAACGGTTGGCGTTGCCCATGTTGTGCTGGCGCTGGTTGTAGGGAGCGGAAGCAGGCGGCTGGGCAGACGTGGGCGTCTTCGGGGCAGTACGGAGACCAGCCAAAAGGTGGGAACGGCTGGTGCGAGGGGTGGCAACCGAGTCCTCGGCGATGGTGCCAACCTTGGGCGGGGAAGCAAGACTGAGACGCTTGAGAGCGGCACCCTTGCCTCGAGAACCGAAACCCGAGGTGGGCATGCCGATGCCGCTCTGGGCCTGGAAGTTGTTGTATGTCATTTGAGCAAGACCGCCAGCGTCCATGCTCATTGTGGTAGTCTAGAAGAGTTGCGAACAAAGAGTAAGGCTGCGACAAAGGTGTGCGGGGCACACGTAAAAGGATAGAGAATAGAAGGTTTCCGAGAGTGTCAGGACCGACAAGGGAGTGTTGGAGACGGTCGATATCAGACGGAAACGGAGATGTACAGGGCGTTTGCTTGGCGCAGAAGCAGACTGGTGATTACGAGATTACGGATCGCAATGATCTGGCTAATGGTAGAGTATGATCGAAAACCGGCCGACGGGCGATGCAGAGGCAGTTGGAGCTATTAACAAAGGTCTTTGGTTGCAATGTCCGGGATTGGCTGATGAAGCAGGGCTGACACGACTTGCTGTGGTTGGCAGGGGCAAGTGTCGCAAAAGGCAGGCGCAGACTTGGGACGGACTGGATTGGCGGCGAAGCTGGAGATGCAGGTCGAATGCACAAGCAATCGAGGGTATCGAGGGTATCGAGGGAATCAAGAATCAAGTTCAGGCAAGCTGGATCTTGAGGCAGGCTCTTCGTGGAGGGGAGCGACGGGACTGGCGCGCTCGTTGGGATTAATCGGAGATAAAAGCTGGTCCAAACAACAGGAGCAGGATAAGATCGCACGAAAGCTGCACTGACGGGCATGTATGAATAGATAGAGTGAGGGGGAGAGAGAAAAGGCGAGGTGCGTCCGTTCACCGATAGAGACGAGCAGCGAAAGAAAGCGACGGGATGGGCGGATGATGCCTGGTTTATGGCTCGGTGGGCTCTTGGCAATCCCGCGACCCCTGCCGGGCTAGGCCAGGAGCCTGCATCGAGGCACCCTGAAACGCTGGCCAACGATGCGCAATAACGGAGCAGCCAGCGCCCTGACCTGCTGCTGTGTGCGGGTGTCCTGGATGTGGCCGATGAATTCATGCGCACTACGGTGCTGCTCCAAGGGCAATTTCTCGCTGTTGCAGTTCGCGAAGGTTTGCGTCGCTGCTGCCGCGGAGTGCGCCCGAAGCCACGAAGCTTTTTGGTGACCCAGCAAGGGACTCTGGGTGCAGACACGCCTGTCGAAACAAAAGCATCCAGTCCCATTGCTCGAGTGGCTTCTGGCTGCTGGCCGCACACCGCAAGACCTGCTCCACCTGATCGATAGCGTCTATACTGGCTGTCTGGTCCAGTCATCGTAGCGGCCGACTGCGAAAACGGCGGCTACGCACCTTGACGTGCAGTTCGTCCAGTCCGCCGGCAGCCAATCACGTGTGGATCCCGCCATGAGCAGCCCGTTCTAAATATACCGCCACCACTCAAAAGCCGCCGTCCGCAGTCCTCTTCACAAAGGGCAGCCTCCGCGAGGTGACTCCGAGTGAGCACTTAGCAGCAGGCCGTGCTTTGCTGTCATCATTGCTTCGAAATCTGCCCGAACGACAGGGCGCATGAAGAGGTGCCGACTCTGCATGGCCTCGAGTGTTGCACGTGGGCCCGAACGAGCTTAGCCCAGGAGCCTCGAAGTAAGCACCAGTTGGCTCCAGAGTCCAGCTCACTCTCGCGCCCGTCACTCCACATGCAATCTGCAGTCTGCAGTCTGCAGTCACCTTCCAGTGCCGCAGCGAGGGCTGTCGATCCCGGGTCGATTAAGACGCCCGCGCTGCATCCCGGCCATTGTCCGCGGTGCCACACTCTTCTCCCAGCGTCATTGCCACTCTCTTTCTTTCGCACCTTCTTTGCTCGACCTCAATCCGACCCAAGGCTTCGTTCGCGTGGCCCCTTCGAGGCGCGAGCGTCGTTTCAGGCCGGGTCTGCCCTGTCGCAGCTGTCTGAAACCGTCTCGACTAACGCGGTGCGCACATCTTTCATCTCGCTAAAGACCCACCGCGACCCTGCAGGAACGCTTGCCAAGCCGTCGCCAGAGTTGAAACGGCCTCAGGAGCTCGTTGGGTCAGTGTTTCCCAGTCCCAGTTGCTAGTTTGGCCTTGCTTACCGTAAGCAGTGAGATGCTTGAACAGTTTGCCTCCAATTTCTTCCCGTCAGCATGTGCAGTGTCTGCCACCTGTGTACATGTGGCCAACTCAATTCCTCACACGCTTCGCTCGCGACCGTAGAACGCGTGCCTGGAGCGCCACCAATGGAAGCTATCGATAGTGTCCTCGAGTTTAAATTACCGCTTCCAGGGGTGGCCGGCACTAGACACGGTAGGGCAAGATAGTTTGCGTCCAGGAACTTCCTGGGGTGGAGAACGTTCGTCGAAGCCACGCGACAGTAACCGCATCGCATAAACAACGTCGTTTGTGCTGTTTCAACGAACCTGTGAACGTCGTGCACCGTCGGCACCATTACGCAGCCTCTGTAGCCGTGGTCGTGTGTTTCCTCGGCCATTCGGACTTGAAATGTGCGACCATGGCCTGGCGTCTTGTTGGCAATAAATTGGCCAGGGACGTCCCTCTAGTCATGCACACATCGTCTTGCACTCATCAGTCAAGGTACAGGGAGTGAAGATCGGATTCTACCGTAGTCCCGCATGCCAGGTCTGACAACGATGGCGTCGCAACTACCAGCCCTACGCAACTGTCAGGTCGAGATCGACAAAAGAAATGAGTCAGGTCGGCCGCACGTCAGCCTGAATGCATCGTGCCCGTACCTGCCCAAAGTCAATGGTGTTTCTACGTTGTTGGTCGCACTCCCTTACCCTTAGCTAGATTGGCTTGCTAGTGAGAGACGAGACCTACATCCTGGGGCTACCCCATAACTGCAGCAGCTGAAGGCACTACAGTAGTCCAGAACGAAGGTCCGGTAAAGGAAATGGACAGCGCATAGAGAGTTTCAAAACCTTCTTTGAGTAGCCAAGCTTCACTACAAACTTCTAGAATGGCTTGAAGTTTTGCGGGCGTTGGATCGTGCTTTCCTCACTCGAACGTCACATCGCTCAACACGCCATGGTCGCAGGCAAGAGCTTCAGCTTTTCTACCATCTTAGTCATCTAACTCTTATCTTATCGTCGAATGTCGCTCATGCCCCGCTATGTCTTCACCTGCGTCCTGTCTTACCATTGTTCCTCGTTTTTCACCTTCACCTGCACTCTCTCGCACTAATTCTGCGCCCGGCAGATCCTCGGTCAAGTCTTGAACAATACTAAGCAAGTGCACAGTTCTCGTCTCATCTTCTCTCGCACACCACGAGTACAGCAACAATGTTAAGCTCAGAACAATAGCAAGGACGGCGGAGACTGCTGGCCCAGGGATATATAACTCTCTCCTCCACCAAGCACGTACTCCCCATACCCAATAACACATTTATGCAACTCCATCAACTCGCAATTCTTCCTCTGAAAGGTCATCATCTCGATCAAGTCTTCAACAACCAATCCACAAGCACAAGCTACTCACATCCAACACCCGACACCACCATCACCATGTCTATCATCGTCACTCTGATCCTGGCACAGCTCTGCCTTATTTACGTCTCCGCTATGGCCATACCTCCTACGAATGCAGCCACGATCCCCATCTGGGACATCGAGCGAGCCACCAGCTTCAATGCCCTCCTTGCAGCATCTGTCAAGAACACCCGCTACGCACCCGACATGCAGTCCGCATCCCACGGTTCCGAGGCCGCATCATCTCAGTCAGCCAACGTCACCAAGCGAAGAAAGACAGCTCGCCAAGCCAAGCACCTCCCTTCTATCAAGAATATGCCGAATGGTGGCATGCAGTGCGCGGTCATGTGAGATGGCGTTGTACGCACCAATGATTGGACACAATTCTACGCTCATGTAAGTTTACAGTCTTTTTCGTTTGTGTTTCGAGGTACTGACATTTTCAGATCACGGTCGCTGCCAAGCAAAATCTTGCGCCATTTCAGCACTTCCTCTTTCAGCGTTGCGCGGACTGGGAGCACATGCCGGAACTGACTTCAACATGTGCTCGGCCTGCATTTTAGCATCATAGCACTTCACCGCCTTGTTGGAATACAATGCGCTGGGCTTCGCGGCGTGAATGGCTAATTTAGATTTTGTTCTTACTTCATATGAGCATCCGTTCAACCCACAATATATCACATTCTCATGATCACAGTCGCGTTACTCTCTGCCAGCACATAGACCTAGCCTCCCTTCACATCACGCAACTTATTCAAATGACCATCACCTTCATCAAGCATAAAGGCCCCTGTCATTTCCCTCCCTCCCTCCTTCACTGCCATTCCGCAAAAGCAACACGTTTACAAACTTACATTCCAAACTCAACAAGAAATGCCTCGATCATATACGCGAGTAGAGCGAGAGCCCCTACGGCTACTACTATGACGACGAACACTACGACGACTACTACCTCGACCCCTACGGCCGCCGCGTCCTGCGCACACCTGTTGTATACCAATCCTCTGCGCCCCCCATCGTCATCCACAACCCCACCACAACCCGGCTGTGCAAGTCCAATACCAGAACCCCGCCGCCCCAGCGCAGGACATCAACATCACGATCCCGCACGGCGACCCTTTCAGCCACGACGACAGCGTCATCGAGCAGTATCTCGCTGAGTCGCAACGTGCGCGGGGGTTGCAGCCGGGCTTGGGGGACCCAAGACAGGATGCGGAGCATATTGTGGAGATGATGGAGAGGGCTGCGGATGGATTACCGCAGCGGGTGGGGATGATGGGGAGGGAAGTGGCGATTCAGAGTGCTATGAGGAGGTTTGTGGGGTTGGGGCATAATGTGCCTGGGTTTAATTAGGAGGAGTAGGGAGGATATTTATTGATCATTGCGATTCGAGTTGATAATTGGAGTTGAGATGCATATTTATATGCTGCATTAGATTTTGCATTGTTCATTTGAAGGACGTAATACACAATTGAGCAATCCTACAAAATACAAGGACCACTACTTAACGAGCATAAGCAGGTAAATGGTGCATACAATAGTTTGAAGCCATGCACACCATCGCTGGGCTTCGATTGTGACAGTACCTAGGTAAAGCCCTACGTGCAGCTTCGAAATATGTTTTCCAAACATTGAAATGCTGTCCAAAAACCGACTCTACACATACGCTTCACGCGTACCTGTGATTCCAAATTCCAACCACCCTCCATCACTCCCACTCTTCACACACCACACACCACCCCTACATAACCCTCTATATGTTCACCACCACCCCATCCTCAGAGACGCCATCATGCCCCGTAAATCTCAAAGCCCACCAAACCCGGCTTCTCAGGCAACGCAGGTCGTCGCCAAAACACCACGAAATCATCCATTTCCACCAAACAACGTCTCAACACCCACCCTTCCGCCCAATACATCCCCCACAAACCCACCCACGCCTCGGATATCCTGACCATTTCGCACCCCTCTCCGCTCTACATTCACGACAAGCACTATCCACCTCGCCCACTGGGGCCGGTTTCAGGCCAGCAGGTCATGGCGCATCAACAACTCTGGCAGACGTACGCAATGAGTGGGCCGTTGGATGATGTTAGTGATGATTTTGGGTTGGGGTTTGGAGATGTTTCAGCTTATATAGTTGTGGAGGGGAGGGAGGAGGATGGAGAGGGTTGGGGGAGTGGGCGTGGGAGAGAGTGGGAGGGTGGTTGGGGTAGAGAAAGTAAGGGGAAGGGACGGGAGAGGAAGGGATGTGTTAGTCCAGTTGATGCTGCGATGATTTCTGTGTTCCTAGCAGTCTGAATGCGCTTTTATCATCTAAGGTCCGTTCGTGCCTCAACATTAGTTTGTCTTTTAAAAGTACTGTGTTTTAAAGTCACTTCATTTTCTAACAACATTTTCCTTCCATATCACTTCATTTCTTTAACGTCACTTTATCCTCCTAACGTCACTTCATCCTCAAACACCCCGTACAACGCTTCAACGTCATGCTTCACCTCCCAACATCACTATGTATTCTTCACCATCGCTCCACCCTCCAACCTCATCCACATTCACACCCCTCCCCCTTCACAAACTCCCACCATCCCTATATTAACCTGCTCCTCTTCGTGTCCACCGCCCTATATACCCACATCCACCAGCACATCCACCAGCACATCCACCAGCACATCTCCAAGCCCTCCAATATCATCATGCAACTCCGACCCTCCGTCAAATCAGCGTTCCGAAAACTCACCGGCGCAGGCCGTCATCGCCAGCCCTCTTACGACTCCTCCTCCGAAGATTCCGACTACGACTATCCGCGTGACGGCCACCGCCTTTACGACCAACGTCAGCAAGCGCCAAATTACCAAGAGCAGCAGGAGATGAGTTATCAAAGGCAGCAAGCTACCAACTATTCACGGCAACCAACGGACTATCGGCACCAGCAAGATATGGACTACCAGCGGCATCAGCAAGCGCCAAACTATCAACGACAGCGCCAGGATCAAGTGCGCATGTTCGCGACGAGCGGGCCGCTAGACGACGAGTACGATCGAGATGTGTCGCCGTGTGTTGTGGCTGGAGAGAAGGAACAGGGCAAAGGAATGAAGATGGCGGGGGCGTGGGTGGATTAATTGAGTAAGTGATAGAATGGGGTCAACATAGGGAGATGGAAGGGGTCCGAGGAAAGATTTCCATGGGTAGAAATGACAAATGGCTATATCTTGACCCATCCCGTACGTCCATGTATCACTCTCCCCCATCCATCTCCATCAACACCTCTTCCCCAACATCTCCCACCCCAACCCATCCCTCCCCTCCTCCCTCGTAATCTGCTCTGCCGCCTGAACCAAATCATACGTAATCCCCTCGCCCACCACACTATCCTTTTTATACTCGGGATGCTCGGCGACGAAATGCCTGATCCACTTCGCCGCAGTCCAGTACGTTCCATTCGCCCTCTTGCGGATCAGGTCGAGGTAGGTGGCAATGTCGCAGCGCGTCTCGACGTCGACATTCATGCTGTTGAGGTATGATTCGACCAGCGGGATGAGGCCAGGGAAACCGCCTTCAGCGGATTGTTGCCCGTTGATGACTTCATTGATGGTCATTTGTTCGTACTCATCCTCTACAGGACCGACAGGCGTAGGAGGGCGGCTGGGTGCCTCAGCAGGCGTAGACGTCCCTGTGCCCGAGCTCGATTTGTGCGACGAAAAAGGGTTCTTGCGGAACCAGAATTTCTGGGTCGAAACGGCGTCGCGGATGTGGGCTGTTTCCATGTTCTCGGATACCCGGGTGATGGGCATGTAGAAGTTGAGGTTGAAGGAGAGAATGGCGCGTGTGATGAGCACGATGAAGATTGAGAAGGCTGCGTTTTCGAAATCGGTGATTTGGATTTCCATCGGGCGGAACTCGACGCGCCAGCCAATGTCGGAACCAGGTGGCGGTGGCTTGAAGCGCATGTGCTGCCAGTTTGTCGACTGTAGGTTCTCAAAGTGATCTGCCTTGGTAAGGTCCAGCTCTTCGAGATCCTCGTTGAAGACAACGATCGGATCACGGATGAAGAGATGTGCAAAGTGAGTAGCTAAGAGATCATCCATACCGCCCTCAACTAGACGCTGCTTGAGATCTGGGTCAACAATGAGGTCAGGGTCGAGATATTCGGGTCGTAATCGCGGGTCTTGAGAAATGTACGTCGAGTTGGAAGCATATCGCGACTTTGGAAGACGCCATCGGTCATCCTTCAGAGGCTGGAAGAGTTAGTTGAGTCAGGCAGAGAGTGAGTTATTTCCACACCTTCTCTCCAAGCTCCTCTGGAGTGCGATCATCGACAGCTCTGCTGATCTGGTTCCAACGCACATCAGTATCGGCAAGGAATCCCTTGTAAATAGGCGTCGCTGCTGTCAAAGCCAAGAGAATCGGCCCCAGAGGTGTCAGTTGATCATACATCTTCCTTCCCTCTTCAATGTTCTTAGCCTGGAAAGTGATCTGGAGACAGCAGCTACCCATACCAAACGCCATAGCGTCCATGTGGATGAAGTTGTCCTTAGCAGCACCGTTTCGTACATCGTCGTCTTCAGGCCCAGTTATGCATATCATAGTTGACAGTGGGGTCTTTCCATGGCCATGCCGTGTTCTCATCCTTGAACACAGGCACGTTGACTTCAACCTTCCGTCCTCTTCGCGAGCGGATGTTGGCTGCTAGAGTAGGGAAACGAATGTGCGGATTTGCAATCTCATCTGGAACAAACTGCGAGCGCAGCTTGGGTCCTGAAACTGGGAAGGATGGGGTGATGCAATCCGGAGACCCTAGTCGAGGAAACGTTGTCAAGGTGATGGGGAACTCGGTGTTCTCCATGTGCTCCTTGGCAATCTTGCGTCTGGCGTCCTAGTGAGTATGCATCGCCGGAACGGACAAAAATAAGTCCTTACCTCCACTTCATATTTGGCTCCACATCCAGCAAGTCCTTGAACCCGATACCCCATGGCTTACCAGGGGTTGCTTCAAGCATGAACCTGCCAAACTCGGGATGGAAAACGGGCGCGGGATTGTCATGGCTCCTATTCTGGTCAATACAGCTCTGCCCGGCCCACTGCGGCTACCCTTACTGAGCATCTCCCGTCTGCACGTCGGGCACTCCTCCACCTTGCTGCAATAGTTTCTCGTCGGAAGCTAATGCTGCCAGGATGTCTGCCTGACGAAGGGACAGCCTGACTTTGCGGTTGTCTCTGTCATAGCAAACCACTAGGTATTCGACCTGACGCGGTGATCAGTGCTCGTTTTGTACTCATTCAACGGTTTATTTGCCTCGTCACCCCACAAAACGGCGCATCCCTCTCTTTACCCTTGGCATTTCGCCAGATAGCCAGTAGTTGCTGCCAACACCATTACTACGACTCTTTCTAGATGCCATTGGTGATCATACTTCAATGCCCCATGACCGGACGTGACTCGCAACCTTTTTCGCCTCTGGCCACTCGAGTGGCGTTCCAATGGCGCTTGATATGCGATTAGCGAGCACCGTAAGACGAGTGATTCCTTGTCTCACAGCAAACCCATCCCTAATCACAAGTAGGATGATAGACAGGACGAATCAGTGCACGGGCGGCTCGGGACGTTGTGTGAATGGGTCGTCTCTGGGCGATAGCGGGGAAGTCTCTCGGGGAGCACTGCAGCAAATATCCAGTCTCTAGCGGGCTGTTGCGGAACGCAGGGCGGCTGCAGAATCGATTCCGTTTCGGCAACACTGCGTCTACGCGAGGCCACAACGCAGGACAGAGCTCGCCGAGGTGGAAAATTGGACAGTGAGATAGGAGATAGATTTTCACACCACCAACACAGGGCAGGCCCGGGGATGTACAGCTAGAGATGGTTGGTATGGATTATTAATGATGTGCATAGCGCTTGCTGCTTGGCGCGCTTGTCATCGTTCTCAAACGATGACGCTTGCCCGATGCAATCAGCAGTTGCGAGCACAACTGCAACCTTGCTCCGGTGCGCTTTTACACACATCGATCGCTATTTTGCACGACTGTGCTACAGAATAGAATTGACAGCACGCCAAGATGCACATGCCATGCACATTCGCCTACCCACGTGCGCGCCACGACGTCCGACTGGCGCAATATATAGCTCCACATGGTCTCAGCATACCAAACGATGAACAGTAAATTTGCAGCTGTCGCTTAGGTGTGCTTGAGCGTCTGCCGTTGACTGCGGGCCGCAACACGTGCGCATGGGAGATCGATCTTTGGAAAAAAGCAAAACTCGACAAAGTGACGGGTACTCTTGTCTTGTCTGAGCCACCACCTCCCTCGCTCTTTCTTGCTTCCCGAGTGGATTGATGCGCTGGCAGATCACTAGACCATATGATCCTAAACAGGTGCTTGCAGGATCCACCTGAACGGTTCTGTGTTGCTAAGGGCCAGCATCACCCTGTTGGCAGACGTGTCGTGTTCATTGGCACAGCCAGATCGTCACTTGTACTACAATGTTGCGTGAGGCTGGGGCTTGCGTGACCGGACAACATTGCCAGACAGGCTTATCGTGGCATGTCTATTTTGAGCCTGTTGCAGACCTCGGGGTTGGACAAATGTTGCAGTGTGTGTGACCGAGCTCGACGTGCGACCTTACCTTTGCAGGATTTGGGTTGCTTCTGGAAAAAGAGAGACCTGCATGAACCAAGAGTCTGAGATGTGATCACGCAGTTGGGAGGCTGTGTATAAGTGATTATCGACATGAAAGTCGTTCGATCTTATTGTACTAAATGCTTTTACATTGCCAGCCTGAAAGCCGATTGGTATCTTTCAAACGCCCGTAACATGCCCAAAGATTTCGTACACTTCTGATAAAGTGTGATTCAACAGACTTTCCAATAGTCCGCGCTGGTCCTCGCGCTAAACGCCGAATAGATATTTGGGTCACCGTAACAGATGACCAAGTACAAGAAGCGCCGTGTCCCAGCTTCCTGGGCCTGATAGCCGCAAGGATGTGCCAAAAGTGTAATAGCTGCTCATGTGAGAAATGTGCCCAAAACACCGAAGATGCAGATCCATGACGAATACGTGGCGTGTACAGCTGACACCCAAAGACGCAATAATCGTAGGCGAAAGTGTCGGGCTAGGATCTCTCGTCCGAACGAAACGTGGTGTGCGCATAAGGAAGTGCGACTTGGCGTAGGGAGAATAGCTAACTGTAAGTCCAGGTAATAATACAAAGCTACAAGCTCTAGCAAGCTAATCTGCTGATGAGAAAGAGATCATTTTTTGCGCATATAAAAATGCAGCGGATATCGCGCACCACCGTGTCTGGAAGGTATGCTAAAGCGAAGCGCTGTTGCTGCGCTCCACAAGATCGAGTCCAGTTCCTGGGGACGTTACAAGGTTCGACCTCGGTATGCTGGCGAGCTGCCGCGTCGATTTCAAGTGACCGAACGTCTTCGAAGACGGCTGCTGCAAGTGTCCAGGAGGCGATTCAAAATCGCGATCATGCGGAAGGAGAGCCATGGTCGAGTGATTTGGGACGGAGGTTAGAACTAGTCATAGCCTTGCCTCCCATCTTACGTGTAAGCTTTGCGTAATCTGTGCACAAATTAGTATTGCGAGACGTGAGGAAAGAAATAAGTCTTACGTAGGCCACAAGCATTACACAAGGTTCTTGCACCGTCTGGGCCTCTTCGCCACTCAGGAGTCTCAGCTCTATTGCAGCTATGACATCTGCCTGGCGGAGCAGCGCGCTGTAAGTTATGTTAGTTTTGATATGTGTAAAGAACATGGAGAGGACTTACACCGCGCTTCCTCGTCTTGCTGTCGCCTCCGGCGAAGCCACCACCGCTCTTGCTGTCATCTCCGTAATTGCTAGAGGTATCATGGTCGTAGCCATTTACCGGGCGGTACCGATGATCCTGTGGAGGCTCTACGATAGTCGCTTGATGGTGGTTGAAAACCACCTTTTTCGCAGGTTTGAGAGACACATTGGTCCCCTCTCCTTTCTTTAGCACATATCGTCCCTCTTTTAACCCCTCCACATAGATAGGAGAGTCATCCCAATGCGCTGATTCTCGTAGGCTCGTTGCCGGTAGGTCTTGGAGAACTCTGAGATGCGGCCGGAGCCGTCCGCCATCTCATTCAGGGAGGCTTCCATGTCGAATCTCTCGAGATGTCGTTTTACGGATTCTCCATATGGGCTTACTGGAGCGGCCAATCTTCTTTTCCTCCAGACGGGCCATTTCCGAGCCCATCCCGCCATGATGATGGTGGAGGATATCGTGGTGGCGCAGAGTAGGTAGTTGTAGATGGGGGGTATGCAGAGTTTGGCGCACTTTGGGGTGGTGCTGAGAGGGGGTATCCAGAGGAATACTGTGGATATGAATACTGACTCATAGGTGCTGATGGAGGAGGCGCAGGCGCCTCGTAGTTGGCCTGGGGCGGAGGATAGGAAAACGGTGGGTTTGGGCGAGCCGCACTCGTTTGCGGAGACTGGGCAGTTTTTAATGGGTGGAGGGATGGCAACTTGGTGCTGGCTTGGGGAGCTGAATAAGAAGTACGTGGAGACGAGAAGGACGGGCGATGGAGAGGTTCCGTGTGAGATTGCGGGGGTGGTGGAGGTGGAGGTGCGTGAGATGCAGATGAAGCTATAAATGGGCTCCTGGGATGCGAGAATGGGTTCGTAGGGCCTTGGGAAGCATGCACATTGGCGGGATACGGTTGATGTCGCTGGTCTGTCGGAGAAGGTACAGCAGAAGAAGGATGGTAGTGCTGAGGAGCAGATGCGGGAGCAGAGGGCGGGGGAACAGATGCAGGATAGGACAGAGGCTGTTCAGCTCCGAGGGCCTCATGTATGGAAGGGCAGCGACTGGCGGGCGGTTGGACGTTGCGGTTCCTTCTCGTCGCCAGAGGTCCGTCGTGATTCGGGGCGGTGACAGCAACCCTCCAAGCGAGCCGGGTACTGCGCTGGCGGGTGACGATTGGTTGATTGCTGTGCAAATGGGAACGGCCCTGCCGTAAGGGTGCAACGGGGTGGCCATGGCTGTCGACTGCTTCCTGTGGTAGTCGGCTTCCTCTCGCTTGACTCGGTCGGGATGGTCCAGATGGTTGATTGATGGCAGACCGACGCTATAACGGAAGGGTTAGCAGATGTACCTCGAATGAATAGAAACGAAAGCGGGCCGTCACGGGACAAACAACGGACCTTTGCCTGCTGCCGGGGTCCAAGGCTTCCATTGTGGAGGGGGCAGTGAGTAGGTGAGTGAGTGCGAGCGGTTCCTCACAGCGCTGTCGAGGCGAACTGCTGCGGCGTTGCGAAGATGGCGGGGGTCGTGGGTCGTGGCTCCGCAGCTTATGTGCCTTCCCGCGCAATCAACACCAGCGCACCTGCCCGGATCGTGCGTTCCTCTGCGGGCGCAGCCAAGCGTTTCAATAATAAACTCGGCGTGGTCGGTCGTGGTGTTGCTCTATCCGCCCAAAACTTGGCGCACGCGGTGCGGTGAATGCCGCACTCTTTTAGCAGCGACAATGTCCAACTCTTCTCGAACACGCTCAGTAATGTAGTGGGGAGTGATGGCGGCGCGGTTGGTAATGTTGCTCCTTCCAATCTCGATGCTGTGGCTGACGTAGTGTCGCAGGCACAACGGCCGGGGAGGGGTTCCTCGCCTCAATATCGCTCAATGGCACGAAAGAGTCTAGCGGTCGGTGCTCTGAGCTGCAAGGTGGTGTGAGAGAGCAGTGACAAGTGTTACATGAACGAGAAGGTCGGCGACAGGAAGCGGTCCCGTGATCTGACGACGATAATGGGTGGATTTTGCGGATGTCAGCGCGTCTGTCGAGCTGCAAGCATGGTGTGAGGAGCAGAGAACGACTATGCTAGCAGATGCGATCGGAGATGAACCGCACGGCAACGAGTAGTCGCTCCAGTGTGACGAGCTGGTGCAGTAGAGGGCAAGGATGGACAGGATACGGGACGTCTGTTTGCCCCAGCAGGGATCTGGGAAGAGGGCGCTGACTTGGGTGTCCAAGATGCAGCTCACCAGGGCTCGAGGCAGGCCACCCAAAGCGGGCGCACAGCGGGCAAGGATATGCAGCACGCGAATCTGCCCTGGTCAGATCGCAGCGCCCCTTGAAGCAGCAGCCGATGGGCGGTCTCAAGAGAGGCGCACGGATCAGCGCCCTCGCGACGACGGGCTCAGAGCCCACTGCGCACCGTCGCGGCGTCAGATGGCGGTCACGGCTCCGAGGGTCAGCGCAGGCCAGCGCAGGCCTCACTTGCGTCCCTTTTCGATCGGCAGCCGTTTAGCAGGGACTCTCGCATCGCGAGTCCGCACGAATGGGGGCGTCGCGGCGACGACACGAGATTCCGCCAAACCCCAACGGGAACCGCCCCGGCTATCTGGAACGAATTATCGCCGTGGCATTCAATCGAGATTTCAACCGAGCGTCCTCTGCAGCGACCCCGGCAGCCACCCACGTTCGCCTGCCACCCTGCCACCCACCCGCTTGGCGAAACAGCCAGAGACGGTTATTGCCAGAAGCCAGAAGGTCTCACGGGCGCCACATTGGGACACCAGTGCGCTTGTGTTCACATGCAACCGCAGGCAACCGCAGGACGTCGCTACCGACGACTCCATGGCTTTGCGGCGTCGCAGTTGGGCAGCAATATATCACCTCACCCTAGCCGCTGTCGGGAACACCCATTTTCGCAGGGGCAGCACAGCCATCTGAATCAACACCAGCACGATTGGGCAAGGCGCGAGAGCGGGGGGCGCGCACGTTAGCCCGCGCCTCCCAACGCCCCAGCAGATGCCGGAGAACCTTCTCGAGGCCACCTCGGCCCGTGTTACGTGTAGAGAACGCTCGAGTCACGTCGCGAGAGCACCGTCAGCACGTCGTCACCTTCTTTTACCTGCTGTAGGAACTGCCCGCGGCCGCCAGAGACTCTAAATCGCGAGCTGGTTCTGGTGCGATGCCGTGGCTACGTCAGACGCAAGGCCTTCATTCCACCACCGAAGCACCGTTTCTGCGCCTGCACCACCTGTGCAACGCCGTGGCTTGATCGCCTTCCACTGTCAGCCCATGCGACTGCCATGCGCTACGTAGCGCAGCTGTCAAAGTCGCGGAACTTCTGGTAGCGACCCAAGCATCTCAACGCCGCTTACCGACAAGCCTCCCTCGCGATCTAGTCACATGTGGTCCACCGATACATCGAAGCATATCGCCGTGAAGCATCAGTCCTCCACTATGCGCGCCGACCGAACACTCCTCAAAGCTTATGCTGAGTCAAGATGCCATCGGTGAATTCTCATCGGACAGCTACCGTGCTCGCCCACTACTGTACCATGCAGTAACCCGTGACCATAGTACCTAGATCAGATCTCATGCACACACAGTCATCAAGGACTCACCTGTCTAAAGTGGCTTGCATTCGCTAAAGCGGTCCAACACTGCGCGCTTGAAGCGAAGCAGCGCATCGGAAGAATCCTTCCGGCCTGTCAAATCACACGCTACAAATCTCTAGACGCACGGTGAGCCTAAACATGGCCACTCCGTGCGACACGGGTTTTCAACAAGTCACAGCAGGCGTCATCCATGGCTGTCATCTGCTGTGCATATTTCACAGACCGAAAGCTTCACTCCCAACTGCTCCCATTCGTCGCTATGGTACCATTCACAACTCGGACAGTCGGACATGAAAATATGCGCACCTTCGGCGCTTTACAAACTTTCTTTGATCCGCACAGGGCGCTTGGGTTCCTACATATGCAGAGGTGCGGGAAATTTTTAGTCACTCGATCTGGACATGTCTCGCCGCAGTCGCAGCATAGGTGTACGGCGCATGACGACGAGTCACGACTCCGTGGGAGCATGAAGAGCCGGCACTCTGTCATTGTGTACAAGGAGAAATATTCCGTGGATACCTGGCACTGCGCAACGATCACGAGTAATTGTCAAAGTCAGAGATTCAAGGCACAAGATTCTATCGCATAACGCGTCCGACTGCTGGGCGTCCAATGCCCATGAGTAACATCGGCCCCAGCTTTGTTTCAGGATCAAGATACACCGCGAATCTACCAAGCTAAGATGCTTCTCCGAAAGACATCAAGGATTGCTGCACATTGACTCGATGTAAGACCAGCAAGGCCGCCAGCCATTCTCGATCTCATTGCTGGATTGGTTGGATGTCAATATTTGCATACACGATGCAACAAACACGTTGACGCGTCCTGCGCATACCGCCAGCGCCATATGCATTCGAGATATTGAGACCGGCGAAGACTCTAGACGGCTGTCGTTCCCGCGCAGCTCAGTGCGTTGCTCCGTTCAGGCAGATCCGTGCGGATCACGGGCTATCTCTGCGACGTTTCCTGCGCCGCACCACTCTCTGATCTTTGATCTTCCTCCATCTCAGGCTAAAACGTTCCCTTGCATTGGCGATCCCTCGAGCAGCATGGGGCAGCATCGTGTGAAACATCGTTTCGTGGCTTCACATGTCAACATGTCAATATCGATACAGGTTTGGTGTCAAAGCTGTCAAAGCCCACCGTACTGACACAACTCGACTCGCTCACACCCTAGCCCTTTGACACACGTCACCAATCTTCGCCAGACGCATCTTCCCATTACCTTATGCTAAAACTCTATGTGAATTATGGCGCCATTACCGGTATCAGCATGACATTCTCCTGAACAACTATTCGCGACGTTCCTGAGCGTGCGTACCCGCCACAACCAAATACAGGGTTCATGGATGAAGCCATCCCCCACGGTCCTTGCTGGCTGCGGGCTATCTGCCGACAGAAGATACATAATTTCTAGTGCGATCTAAACTTGCAAAACAGTATCATTGGGCAAGGAAAGCTTGCTATGCAGCCTGTCATCGATGGTGCAACTCGAACCTGCCCCACAATCTCGAAGACACATGGCCGCCGGAAGAGCCCCACAGTTCTTCCTGGATAAGGGTGCACGGAGAGGTCCGCGACACTGCCTCCGACCAGCATATGTGGTCTTTGCGATCAATGTACCCTGTCAGCCACCGGGGTTGAACTCCGTACCCACCCAGCTATCACATTTGGCGCCGATCCGAGAACAAACGAGCAGAAAGCGTCTCTGTCAGCTCGATGGGCATCTGGCAAACGCCGGTCATCCCGGCCGACGCCCTTGCATTGTTACATGCAGCTACAAACGGAATGACTCGCAAGGCCGATCGCTCCTTCTTGTGTCAGTAGCTGCGCATGAGCTGCCGAAATGTAGTCCGGAAGCATGATGAAAAGCATGCAACAATTAGCGATATGGTGGATAATACTATACAACTATGATAATTGCACCAGTCACACTCCTCGCTGAGCGATCTCAATGTTGGCATGTGGGAACCCACATCTCGCTTCCTCCGTCCAGCGATGAACTCGCTGTCGGCAAGCATTGCGTCCAGAACAGGTGTAATCCATCGCTCGATTCGTACGCCAGCGTAAGCGACATGGTACAACATCCGTCCTGTTGGAACAGAGTCAATATTCGATCGTACGACACTCGACGTACGCCGTTCGATAAGTCATTTTTTGCGTTTCATCATTTGACGGACGTGAGGCGCTTCTTCCTTCCGGCCCACACACTTACTCGTTCCATGCAAGATCGCCCTACTCGTCATTTGCTGCTTTCTGCTGCTTTTCGTGCGTCGCTTACCTCGCAGGAAAAGCACCGTTGAAAAGCGCCGTTTTTCAGGGTTCACAACCCACCGCAGAGCCACATGTGACTTTAATCGGCCTCCCGCATTACCTTCTTGTCAATCATTATCAGGGTTCTTGCGCTTTTCGGTCTAGTCCATCATGTTACGGCATAGCCACAGCCCTGATACCGCCGATTCGGGGAGTGTGCTTTCCAAATGGGCTGATTTGGGGGAAGCTGACTTCGAAATTTCGAAATGGTCCCCTTTTCTGGGACGCGTCGCAATTCGCAGACGCCAGCGCACAGGAACAGAGCGACGGAACCAATGCAGCTGGACAGCGCACAAAATGTCGAATGGTTGGGACGGGCGTTATGCCCTTGCAATGTCCGGACGAATGCACAAAGGATTCGTACCCAAATCCCGCGATTGTTGCGTCTGCTACCAGTTCCAATTCACAACGACGGACAAACTCTGCTGTGTTGCAGGATACTCACGACTGTCACAATTTGACAATCATGCTTAGAACAATATCGATCTATCTATGCACATTACTTGAAGATGTAAACAAATCTTCGATTACAACGGTAACAATTCCTACTCATAAGACCAGTATATATTGTTTTCTTGATCTCTTTAGGAAACGATCTCGCCAGCAAGGACAGCGTGCTTCACTCTGCACACCAAAAGTTATGTCGATGATCAGGTATGTACTACATCACGACGCAGAGCTCACATGTGCTTTCACATGCTACACAAACCGATGTCACAGAGCGATGCCTAGGTGTTCTGCACTAGATGAATACTCCATCGTGATATGCACCTTGGCAGTTATTTACAACGGACAAAACCTTCCGACATATCAGAACCCTGAGCGATCTTCTTCTAGGGCATACAAAGTCTGGGTATCGCCGTTCTTGGCCCGCATGACATGAGCTGGCAAAGGCGAAGACTATAAAGAAGGAATTTTGTGAAAGCGTCCTATGAGATCACTTCACTTCAATTTCGGCCCGATTTCAACCACTATTGAACCCAGCCGAAGTCAGCTCATAGGTACGAATATTGAAGGACTCCACCTTTAGCAACCCTTAGCAACACTTAGCAACAACTGAAATGTTGGATGTACGACAACGAAGCAACCACGAGCACACAGAAACGTCCCGAACGTCTGGAATATGGCGCCGAGCTAGATCGATGTGCCCTGGGATCTCCCGCTGACTTAATCGGATCTTGCTGTCATCCGAGATGCTTCAACGCGAAAGCGAATTCGAGCAACCTGACCAGGCCATGAGGCTCGTCCCGCAGCGGCAAACGGCGGCAACTCGATGCAATGACCACGGGCGGCTTGTCCTCCAGTTTCATACACGCCGTTTTTGGAACCCCTCAAGTCCTTGGTTGTAGCGATTTTCTTGCAGCGACACAGGTAGACCTTGGAGGTTCGCGGGGTAGATCTTTTGGTATTAGGACCGCCAGACCTCAACTACACAAGTTTGTGCACGTTGCACTGGACTTACTAGATCACAGTGCTAGCCAACGCCTGCCAGGTTGCGCTTTTCGTGTTCGTCAGTCAGACTCGTTCACGAGACACGCGAAACGGACAACAGTCCAAGATCACCTCGGCTCTAAAACGAACGGCCACGATAATAAGATTTACGACGACCCCACCTTGACGATCACCATACATCGTCCGACGACGCTCTGAACCTGCCTTTTCATAAACACAATGCTTTTGCCGAAGCACCTCCGAGACTATACAGCTTACCAGCGAGTCTAGATGATGCGCATAGGACAATTAAAAAAAAAGCAGGCGCCCAACGATGATCATAAGAAATGGCCTGAGAGTTGCTTTTTCCGCAGGAATTGTTTCCGAAGGCGCTACCACGTAAGTGCAGCGCCACCAGCACCGCAAGACGCATGAGAGAACCGTCCTGCAGATCTCACGCCATGAGGCGCGCACACCATCTCCACCGTCTGCAAGACTGTTTTGCTTGTTTTCTTTCGCGAAGGCAAGTGGTGGCGTATACTGCACGTGCTATTCGCGAAGGGGTGTGAGATCGTGCGTGTTCAAGGCACTTTTTAACCCAAACAAGAACACAGTGAATCAGCATTCGGGGCGATTAGCATCGGACATCGGATATCTGGGCAACCCTTGCCCATCGCGATGACCCGGATCGCGGAGTCATCTTGCATATGTCTCACCAGACACCTTGCAAGGGATACTGCCGCCTCATATTCGCTGTCATAGGGCGTGTCGGTCTCAATTTTACGGGCGGATCTCGAATCGATCTCGAGTGGTCTTCGGATGCCCGCGGTCCGGATTGTCGATTCGATGTTGAAAGCTGCCCTGTCGATGATCAGCTCGATGCGCTGGCTTTTCGGGCCTACAGAGAAATACGCTGGGCATCGAATGATGTTGATACGCTACTGTACGTGCGGGATCGACTCGAGGGTCGTGGTGGTGTTCGTCCGGTAGCTGCTCGCGTGATCGTACGGCTGGCTCATCCATGTTGACCACGGCCCAAACCGGACTGCGCGTGCTTGATCAGGAACCCCTACATCAGGGATACAACCATGCAACAATAAAAGGGTACCAAACAATCATCAATGTCACGTCGTAAGGGGTAAAGCTGGTAGGTAGTTCTTCTCGGCAGAACCACATTAAGGAAGCCACGTTGAATATACGGCCGTAAATACGCCCGCAACTTGGCGTTCTTTGTTTAGCATCAAACTTTATCTTCGACGGTGGAGTCAGAGCGGTACAGCGGTGTACTTGCATTGAGAAAGCGCCTGGCTAACGGAGCAGGATTCCTACGGCGGCCCTTTTTCAGGTTGTCGAGTTAAGCTAGTATGCCTTGGCGAGGGGAGTGAAGAGGAGCACGCGGTGACAAAAAAAGAGCCCACTCCTAAATCTCCTTAGATCGCAGGATCACAGCACCGCGAAAATAGCAAATTAAGATAAGTTTAAATTTTTAAAAGATAGAGCTTAATCAGGAGAAGATTTTATACATACAAGAATATTTTATTCTGTGATATAGTTAGGTAGTAATATAGCGTTGAAAAGAGGAGTTCTTTGTTGTTCGCCAAGTTTGGTGAGGAGACCGGGGCTTGTGAGTGGGCTCTTTTTTTGTAACCGCGTGAGGAGGCCTTGGGCATTACACTTTGTGTGAGCACATGAAAGCAAAAGATGGCAGAATGCACCGCGGTTATTCGAGTGAAGGTTGCACTGAGTTGAATTGCTCAGTGACAGGAGAGTCGTGAATCCCCGATCTGACTTTGGAATATGGTGCTCGCATTGAATCCACGCTTTCTATGAGTTTTGATCCCATGTCTGCTGGTTCAGCTATGTGAATCGCATGCTATTGTGTTGTACCTACTTTTTTTTTATGACGAGTGATGTTCTATCTTGCACGTTCAGTGTCGAATTGATGATTTTACAATGCACTATCACCAGGTGCCTGCAAAATTCGTGTACACTTTATATGCACGAAATGATCTAATAGTCTTTAGGAGCACACATATAAAGTAATAAGAGAGCCTGAGGACACACGCATCTCTAGAATTTTCTTATCTATCTTTGTGGAGGTTTTAAGAATATCTAGGCTACCTAAGCCTCTTCTTGTTGGGTGAGTGTGGACAGGAATTTTGCGGGCGACTGGTGCTGTCGTAACACTCATGCTTCTCACTACTCAACCCACAAACAATTATACTGCACCCGCCTCCCCAACGCTCATGAACACACTACTTTGCAGGTCACACTTCCCCCTCTCAATCACAACCACTACACAAACACCCTACTCCCTCCCCAGCAAAACCCCAAAAGCCAACAGCTCCACCCCCCAAGCCCTCCCACCCCCATCCAGTCTAAACACAAACTCATCAAGCGCATACACCCCATACGTCGGCCGATCCAGTCCAAACCACGACGGACAAGCCGAGAACGCCCCAACGTCATCCAGCGAGATATAGGTCCCTCTCCAAGAGCTGATCCCCCCATACCCACCATCAGCGTTCGTGGGGAAAAGCTGGAAATGCTTGGGTGAGCCGAATATGTCCTGCAAGACATCAGTTCCGTTGACGGCCCAGTGTGAGACGGTTAAACCTGGTGTGCCAGGCGTGCTGGTGATTTTGATGGTGGAGGTGGAGTTGGACTTGGAGTGTGATGCGCTGTATGTGCCGGCAAACCTCTCCTCGGCCTCGATTCTTGCAGCTTCTTCGCACGCAGGAATCAATTCATCGATAATTAGTCCTGACATCTCCACGGGCACCTGGCCCCTCGCTCCAGCTTTCAACACCACAAATCCGACCTCGAAATCCGGCACAAGCACGAAATTCGCCCCGTAGGCACCAAAATTCCCGCCCTTGGTGTACAAATCGACTACGCGATTCTCGCCCATACTTGCGCGGAAAATCTCCCACGGTTGCCCGACTGCGCCGATTAGCGAAGACGTATGGGATGTGGGCTTGAGCCAGGCGCGTGTTGTGTTTGGGGGGAGGAGGGAGGATGAGAGAATGGCGCGGCCAAGGGTGGAGAGGTCGTTTGCGGAGGAGAATGCGGCGCCCATGGCGATGCTGGGGCCATCGATGATGGTATCCCAGCCGCTTGCTGTCTCGGAGGTGATGATGACGCCGCGATTGATTGTTGGTGGTGTTGTTGCGGTTGTTGAAGTTAATTCGAGTGGAATAACGAGAAGTTTGGAGAGACTGTCTGCGTACGAAAGGCCGGTGAGGGATTCGAGGAGTAGGCCGAGGATGGCGAAACCGGCGTTGTTGTATGCGGGCGTAGTATTGGGCAAGAAGACTTGTTTGCGCGTGACCAAGTGCTCGAGAAAAACTTCCCTCGTGCAACCCTCTTTCCCGTACGCACAGGGCGACATCTCATCTTCCTTCAGCTCGGGGAAAACGTTGGGAAACGCAGCACCCAGTCCTCCTCCAGTGAGAAGATCAGTATCATATACTTCGTCGATGGTCAGATGTTTGCTCCTTAGCCGAACATTAAACTCACCTTCGCCAACAATCCCCCCCATATATCCCGCCAAAGCCCCAACCGTGATGTCATCCCACTCCCCCTTCCCCTTTAGTTCAGGCAGATACTTCACCACCGGATCGTTGAGTATCGCATCGCCCGCCTGCAGCAGTAACAAATACACAGTCAGAAGTTTCGTCGTGCTAGCAATTCTGTAGATTGAATTTCCATTCACCGTACTGTTTCCTTGTACGTCCGTACCGCGGTGGTGGAAGTCAAGCAGCGGCACTCCCTTATCCGACCTCGAGAAGATCTGGATCGAGTATGTGTCGTTGGCATTGACTGGCCCGTGCGAAGTGTTTCCTGATGTAAGTGCGGATTCGATAGTTGAACGAAGGGTAGCGAATATCGGATTTTTGGCGGAGAGGGATTTGGGGGCCGGAAAGACGGGACCGAGGAAGGGGCATATGCTTGCTACTGTGGTTGAAGCAGTGAGGATGGGGAGGAGGTGGGGGAGACGCATGATGAATCGAAGTCGATGCACGATTGTACTCACATCCTGAAATTCAGAGTTGAGTAGTATATGTAGTCAAAAACCATGGCTGGCCTCATTATCTTGGTATAAGTCTACCTTCCCATGCGGGTTACGCAGAGGATGTGTATACGAGAGAAGATAATGAGTGATTGGTGGATGCATCAAGCGAGTCCCCGAGGTCAGCGCTACGCGAGTCTGCAGTCTTGTCGAGACTTGGCTATGATACGAATACTGCTTGTCAAGTAGATGTGTAGAGATCACAAATCCTTGATGGTGACAAGCAAGCAAAGACCTATGACCGCTTCCTCCTCGAGTCTTTCTATTGGCTGTAGTAATGGAGAACTAAATGAGTCTTCCAATACGCATAACATGTGTGGCATCATCGACTGAAACTTCCGAAAAGGGAAGTATGTTGCGACTGCTCTGATTCTCCACAAAAGCAGTCCAAGTGGCGACATAAGTGGATCCAAACTACTCGAAAAACCGCAGGAATTGGTAATTTGCTATGCATGTGTCGCTTTTATAGTGTGTGATTCACTGCAATCTTTAATAGTAAGCCCCTTCGCGTTGGACGTAGTTCGAGGTTGTAGGCATGGCTTTTCCTAAGTTATGCGTACGACACAAAGACGATTCAGCCTTGTAACACTCTTTCTGTCAGAGTGTTTGAAGTGCGAACAATGCTTATGTCTTGCGTGATTGGAGTATTACAAGCTCAAGTGTCAAAGTATGGCCTTGATTCCTGCGTTACAGTCCAATCATCGTTTCATATTTAGTGCTTCCGTCTTTGCAATAGTGCTTAACAGGTGAGTTGTTTTGAGTTGCATCCGTCGAATCCAGAGATGTCATCGTTGAATACGTTGAAGGGGACGGCTCAGTGGCACAACTAAAGTTTGGGCAAACATTCTATTTAGATCCGGAGGTTGATCTTAGAACTTCTTGTGCATGAGCAGACTGAGCTTGTTTGGTAAGGGTGGTGGGCTGGGCTAGGTCTAGGGAAGCAGGACGACTTTACTTGGTGGGTGCGGCAGACTGAATCTGCTCGATGAGAGTAGGTCGAGCTTGTCTGGTATAGGTGGTGGATTCATTGATGGAATGGTTTAACGTCCTGGTTAAAAGACCCCCCTAGGGATACGAGGACGGGCTACGTCCGGGGTTCATGGTGCAGTCACGCTACCTGAGGTGCTTCACCTGGAATACAGAGCTGAGTGCACAGCGTTTGGGATAGCTGTTTCTCCGCCATTCGAGGAGCAGTTACACAAATAAGTGCTGGACTGAGCATGTTGAGCTGCGCTAGTGAACTTCTCCATGGGCAGCGGGTGAACATGTGAGAACGGAGAAGGCATCTCTTCAAAACAGACAGCCCGAGTCCCGCTGCTGCTAGATCGCCTCTATTGCTCTGAGCTTGTAATCACAAGGTCGGTTCATCGGCGGACTTGGGTGGTCGTGGTGCTGTTAAAGCCGCAGTTGCCAAGAGTTATCTCCTGTGCCATAAGTCAGGTTGATGCTGTGCAGCTGCTGTGCTTCATCGGCAGTCAGGCTCTCCTCGTGGCACGTAGCTAGGTTGGATTGGTATCGAGCGGCAGGCAGCGTCGGCGCGGTCGGCGTTGAGTTGGTGTTTCAGGTTCCGTAGTACAGTTGCGAGGGTGAGCGAGCGGCGGAGACCTTGTGCGTGGAAAGTGTGGTTAGAGCACGAGCCGAGATAAGTAGATAGGCAGGAGCGAACGCGTGTGCCTTCCCAAAGGGCCATGGTATTGGTCGGTTCATTGCCATCCCTCATGTCATCCATTGTATCGTGCTTGCCGCTGATCGTCACGGTCGACTTTGCTCATAACGCGGCTCTCGAACCACCCTCGTCGTGCTTCCCAGAGCGCTCACATCTGTAGAAGTGTGGTCATCTAATAATAGGTGTTCGTGGGGTAAGTTCGAGTGACTTGTAGGAGATGTTGAGGCTCAGTGGCGTCTTTGCCACAGTGCCCAGGTGCGTCATACATGCATGCGTTTGTCTCAGGCTGATTACTTCCGAACCAGCTTGGGCTTCAGCCCTGCAATAGCAACACCATCGAGCATGGCAATATCAAGTCCAAGCTAATATGCATTGTGATCAGTAATCAGAGATAGCACGTGCCGGCCCGCGCATGCAGTGGGTAGCGTGTCGTCTAACGTCGGAAGCTGCCAACAGGCGGGAGATCGTCGCGCGCTGCACACGCGAAGCAGGTGTCGATGGCAACGTCAAGTCGAACCATGGTACACGATGTGTTCAGCAGGGCATGTGGCATCGAGTCTGGGACCCGAGGCGCATCTGGAATCTCAGCAGGTGCCACTGGGCATGACGCTTACCCGATCTGGACAGGGCGGGGGATTACTGCAGGGTCCCTTCTGTCGAGGCCGTCTCCCTCTCTCCGTCCCGACAACCACACATTCACTCACAGCCGTCGTCGATTCCCGGATCTCGCGCCTTGCGCAACACCGAAATTGCGCCTCTCACATTCATTTATCGCTCGTCTGGCGAAACTTTATCTGCGGTGGAATTGCGGCGAAGCCTTTGTGACTCGCGGCTGCAGCCCCCCTGCTGGCCTGGATTAAATATCGTATGATCCATCGTACGACTTGCTCCCACGAACCCACGAACCCACGAACCACGACGGCCCTACCCAAACGAGGCGACTTCACAGCGCAACTCGACTCTCTGGCCAGCCTAGGCTTCCGACGTGCAGCAAATCCCTCAGGCGCGCTGCTGTGATCGCTGATTTTCGGGGCGCTCCCGTCGGCTGCGTGCATTGAACGCGAGAGAGCGACAGAGGCTGAAAGGGCATGACCTGATCGATCTGTGGCGTGGTAAGAATGCATTCTCATTGCCTCCTGCCCCCTGCCGTCTGTCTGCCCTTGCCATTTATTCTCGTGCTGGTGTAGTAGTTGTTGTTGCTGCTGTTGTGCTTGCTGTCGCTGTGACAGCCCAGACGACCCGCCCTCAGCATGGCCCCCGCCCCCCATGGCAGCGCCGAGGATGCGCTCGAGCTCGAGAGGATTGCAGTGCGTCGCGTTGATGTGACATTGGACGTCGAGCTCATGCTAACGCTCTGTGCAAGTCGGGTCCCTACTGTGTATACGACCCTTTCCGCTTACCCGCCGAGTCCCCAGGCACAACGCGCGTCGCACAGTCCGTCGGCGCCGCCTGCTGCGAAAGACAGCACCATGGAGGACCCAACGATGGCGGGCAATTATGCCTTCAGCAATATGCGCGGTCCTTGGCTCACCACGGCGGGAGAGAACATGACGCTCGCTGCCCCCGCCGAGGACATGTCCAGCTGGAATGAATGGATGCAGTACGACCCCGCTGCAGCCGCGTCTCAGCACACCCAAACAGTCGAAGCGAAACCTATGAGCGAACAGGGCCCCACAGGTTTTCTTAAGCCCGCTCGGCAGGACTCGCCCTCTGCCAACCGCCCCCAACCCCAACCCCAACACCAACACCCTCTCTCGCAGTCGATCCCACCCACCAGCACACCAGTATCCGCCCCCATGTACTCGCAACCGAACGGCATCCCGTTCACCTTTGGCCAGAACATCGATGCATCGCCTGCCTTCGACTTCACCGGCCACACCCTGAGCTCCCCGGCCGATGTTGAAGTTCAGCAGCAGAACGGCTTCTACTCGTCGCCCATGTGGCAGCAGCAGCAACAGCAGCGCCAGCAAATATCAGACGGCTTCTTCTCACCTCCTGGCTACGACCATAGGACGTTTGTCGCACCCCCGGCTTCGACACCCAGCCTGCATCACAGCCCCAGTTCGCTGAACAATGGCGGCCAAGGGAGCTCATCATCATCGCATTCATCGCCCGAGCCTGCAGTCAACATGAAGAAGCGCAAGTCGGTGGAAGACGACGATGAAGACGATGACCTGGAGTCGGCGCCGTCCGGAAAGAAAGGAAAGGGCCAACCGCCAAAAAAGACAGCGCACAACATGATTGAGAAGCGGTATCGGACGAACCTCAATGACAAAATTGCAGCTCTGCGCGACAGTAAGTGCCCGTTTCCACGCCTCGTGACCCCATTTGTGCATCAATTGACGATTCCCAGGTGTACCCAGCTTGCGTGTCATGTCGCGGCCAAACGGCAAAGAGGAGGACGATGATCCTGAGGATCTCGAGGGCCTCACCCCTGCTCACAAGCTCAACAAGGCTACTGTGCTGTCAAAAGCCACCGAATACATTCGGCATCTGGAGAAGCGCAACAAGCGATTACAGGATGAGGTCAACACATTAAAGACGCGGGTGGAGAGCTACGAGAAGATGGCCATCTCAGGGCCCATGGCATTGCACAACCCAGTAGGTACCCCTGATGGTAGGTATCATGAAGACCCGTTCATGGCATCGCATGGTCTGTCCATGGGTGGCCCCCCTCAAGGCATGATTCCTGTACCAGACAATATCGCAGCTCTGCAGCGCGGACTACCACCACAGCAACACTATGCATCCGCATATCCAGCCTATGCTGGTGGCGCACGTCAAGCACACAGTGGCCCTCCCATGGTCAACGGACGTCGCACCAGCGCCATGATGGGCAAGCTCATGGTGGGTTCGCTCGCTGGACTCATGGTTCTTGAAGGACTAGTCGAGCGGGAGCAGTCACAAGAGGATCCTGCTGGTCGTGGCCTCTTCGCGTTGCCCATCAACCTTGCCAGCATACTCGCTCCGCGTGTATCCATGGGCGCGTCTACCGCACAGCTTCCTCTCGCCAAACTCCTGCTTGTTATGGGAGCTTTCTTCTACCTTGTTGGTCCCCTACTCAGCTTCTCATCGAAGCCCAAGAAGAAGAGCACACCCGTTCTTTTGTCGCCTGCCCCGTCACTCGCGTCTCCCGTTGAGGTACGTCGCAAGGCGTGGCTCACTGCTATTCAAACCGTCTGGGTGCCGCAGCACAACTTCATCCTTGAAGTTGCCGCGCTTGGCCTCAAAACGCTCAAACTCAGCACACGCAAGATCATCGGATGGCCTGGATACGCTTATCTGACTGGCACTACCAAAGAGCAAGAAGCTGCGCGTCTCAAAGCTTGGGAGATCGCACTCGATGCCCAGCTTACAGGAGGCGATGCAGAGATCAGCAAAAGCCGATTGGTTCTCACTCTGATGGCCTCGGGCACTCTTCCTGACACCCCAGCACGACTTATGCTCAAAGCGTTGCACATTCGCGTACTTCTCTGGGAAATTGCCAATGCTGGCCATGGCGTCTGGTGGATGGTTGACGAATTGAGCGCAAAATTGGCTCGCAGCTACTGGAACATGGCTCGCAGTGAACACAGGATTGCTGCAAACCTGGCATCGAAGCAAGGCAGCGACGCTCAGCCCCTGCCAGACCACCTGGCTTCGCTCATAGAGAGGGAGTGTGATGACGTCCTTGTGCCTGCCATCATTCAACGTGCTTATAACCTGGCATGGAACAGGCCAAGTGCTGAGAGGACAATCATAGACCCCTCCATGGACGGTGTGGTTGAGGACTTTGCCATCTGCTCGCCTCTCGATGCCTTGGCTGCGTGGTACTCGAGCTTCGTCCTGGCAAAAGCACTTACCAGCACTCTCGCGACAAAGAGTTCATCACCAAAGGACGGCGTTGTCACTGACTTGAATCTTGCGCTTCAGTCTGCACCACCCAACTCACAAGCCCAGCTACGCGCTCTCGTCGCTCAAGCAGTCATCCTCGATAAGGATCGGAACACACGTATCGTCGCAGCCCTCGACGCACTTCCTTCAACACCCAGCTCCGGCGCCACCAGCCTCATGAACCCGGTCGACAACGTTCCCGTTGCTGCCGATGTCCGTACCGCCCTCACCCTTGCTCGATGCCTCTCACTTACCGCCTTCCCTTCATCCTCCGCACGCCGGCGCGCCACCGACAAAATCAACCAAATCACCCTGTCCGAAGTCACCACCACGCTCCTCTCCTTCGTCGCAGCTCACAAAGTCCTCAATCTCTTCATGCAAGACGCCGAGCTCCAAGCCGCCACAAGCTTCAAGCTCGAGCACTTTGCAAAGAGCCTACGAATGTGGGTCGGTCACGAGACTGGCAAGCGCAGTGGTCTCAGCAACAAAGTGCGCTCCCGCATTGTGGCGAGCTGTCTCGAGGCGAGCACGAAACTTGTCGGACTCAAGGACAAAGATGATGTAGCAGACGTGGACGATGGGTATGTCAGTGCCAGCGTCAACGATGACTAGATTAGAGCAATCGTTACCTTCATCGGTTTTACTTTTCTTTTGTCATAAGATCATAGGGTTCCTGTGAATATATGGAGTTGGGACGGCCTATGGGTTCGGCTACATTATACCACATACGGCGTTGTATCTTTGCTGTTTGCGCGATGAGGCTGGAGGAATACATGCGTTGATGACAGGGTGGGCATGCGAGACGGGTTCGTCTGGTACTTGGTATATACACGCACCGCAGTCAGCGGGATTTTTTTCTTCTCCTTCCTTTTGTTTTCGGCTACAGTAGCTATCATACTTTGAATGAAGATGAGCATGTCATCTTGCATATCTCAGTCGCCGGTGCAGAGTGAGGCTATGTTGATCAGTGAGTTGAGAGGCAATACATGAGTTGAAGAGTAGATTGTTTGTGATTATTATATTAAATATGCAGTACCGGCTGTGAGCGAGCGACTATGAAGAAGTAACCTGGAGAAAATAAGACTGTCCGAAATGGAGAATTTTGTGTTCGATCTCTCTGCCGCGAGAACCGAAATGTCGAAGAAAGGGTGCGTCCGATATACAGCTGCATACATGTGCCACCGAACAGAGGAACCCGCTCTCGTCGCCCAGCCGCGCTGCAATGTAGAAAGGAAGTAAATGCGAAGACAAATCTCTCATCAAAACACGAGAGAAACCTCAACCCCTCTCCCCAACCTCGCCCCTCGAAAACCCAAACTCCCTCCCGACGAGGATAGCCTCATCATCCCACTCGGCCACACTCTTCTTCCTCACAAACGGGCTCGAACTCGCACACGTGCATACGCTCATCTGCCTGCTCCTGTCCACCACAGTCCCGCTCGAATTACTCCCATACGTCGAATTGCTCGCCGCGCGGTAGAATTCGCCCTGCAGCAGTCTGTGATGTGCATCGGGGCCGTTGGCGCCAACCACCTTCTCGTTGACGACGCCGGCCCAGATGGCGGAAAGCGGGAGGAAGATGCACACGATGGTGGGCGTGATGATGCCGAGTTCGTCGACGTTTTTGACGAATTGGAGGCCGGTGAAGAGGGCTAGTTGCGTTAGTCTAACAATACAAGAGGGGGAGGGGGAAGTATGTGTACCTGGAATAATCATAGTCTGACAGCCCATAATGAAGATAATCTGCATGGGCCCGAACTGCGGCATGTTAAGGGTCCGGCGCTGGACAATAGCATGCCCAAGCTTGTATGTGAAGATGCAGCTGTAGAAGCTGATGGCGACGGCTTGGGTGATGTAGGACTGCATGACGAGGTCGAGGTACGACCCGCCGTCCTGGCCGTTGAGCGTCTGAATGATGCTGGTGATGACGAAGGCGGCTTTATAGCCGACGGCGACCATGGCGGTCGCGGTGGTTGCGCCCATGATCATGTAGCGCTGGTAAGGCGCGGTGGTGATGCAGACGACCCAGACCTGTACGCTGAGCGAGATCATGATGAGCACTGTGACGATCAGGGTGAAGATGCTTGCGGCGATGGAGGTGTTGACGTCGGTTTTGGAGACGCGGGAGGTGTCCTGGGAGAATTGGGTGTAGGGATGCCAGAGGGTGCTGGTCACGAAGCAACTGAGGAGGATGCAGCGGATGGTGTTGGTAACTAGACACAGGGCATTGACAATGAAGATTCCAGACTTGCGCTTCTCTCTGCGGGTCAAGAGAGATAGCACCAGCAACAGAAGCAGGGTTGCGCCGATCTGGGAACCGTAGGCAAGGCCCAGTCGTGCGGTGTAGAGACGATATTCGTTCACTGTCTGCATGGAAATGGGAATTTCCTGGCCATCAGGGCCTAGTACCATGAACTCTTGCGTGTACGGGTCGAAGTCTGGAGGAGGAACCATTGAAGCCATGACGGTTGTGAAGTTGCCGTGCAGGCTCGATATGAGTGTTGAAAGTCTGAGATCTTGTGTGTTAAACCTTGGGTGGGAGTTGCACGATAGCGGTGCAGTCCGCACGATAGGTCGTATCGAGAATAAAGAGGTCGTCTCAGTTGAGGTCCGAAAAGCTTGGTGGTTGCAATGTCGATATGCCAGTTAAACAAGAGGACAAGGAGTAGAGACGACGGGGTAGACTAAAGAGAGACGAAGAAAAGCAGGTGATTTACGGAGACGAAAAGATAAACGCGGCGGCCACGTGCTCATAATATGAAGGTTGCAAACATTGTCGATGTAGAGCGGGAAGGAGCACTGGGAACAACAATGGCAAGAGCACCTCAAAACCCGACTATTGGCACAGTCACCACAGCTTGCCTGCATCACGTTGAAACTATCGAGGAGTTGAGACAGTCGCAGCTCTTAGTATTGTTCTCGCTCCTTCACCTGAGTGCAAGTAGGTGCTCGCCGCGTATTTGAGTGACGCTTCACCAATGCTCTGGTACGGATAGCCATCTCCTGTCTTGTAATTAGTCAGATAGACGCTCCTCAGCTCTACTAACAGTCCAATTGGAGCCGTTTGCGGCCTGTGAAGTGAGTGTGGAAGTAGCGTATTTTCCTTACTATTGTTCCTGAACCCTTGGATGTCCAGGCTCTGGAACACTTCGCGTGAGTACGGCGACTACACGACAATTCAAATATTGGCAACGAAAAGACCTTACCATGCCATCGGGTGAAGACGAATATGCTGTGTAACCACTAACACCGCGACTCGGGATGTAAGATGAGGAGTAATGCACGTGGTGTTGGATTGGGCAGGGGCGGCTGCTAGCGTCTAATCGAGCTAGCGTTGCGCTAGCGCTGCACGTCATGGCCGTTCCCGAGAAGGCAGGCACCCGTGACAGCGCGTTCTCATCGTCAAGTTTCTCGCCACGACGCGTCAATCAACTTTGCAAAGATGAGTTGGTCGCTAGCCGCACCCAAAACGCCTCATACAGAGCCGCAGACTTATCAGCTCAGCGAAGACAAAACTGCTCACATCGTGCACGATGATCATGGAGCGCTAAGAGTTGTGCATGAGCTCAACCCTGACAAGCATACAGAGCTTGGCCGAATTGGTAAGTTAACCACTTGAACATGACGATATCACGTGGGACTAAGTTGAATAGTTGTCGGACGTTGTGGCGCGAAGCTAGAAGCTGTCAGAGTAGCCCTGGACATTATCTCTGGTCATGTGCCTTCAAAAGCTCCACAGCAAGAGAAGTACCAATTGTTACCGCGCTCGGGCGAACGAGTTGAGATTATATTACTACGACCCGGAGATTTGGTCAGCTCATCCGTTGCTACGAGCGGCTTGACATGTCTTTGGCACCCGGTATCCGAAATTCAGGTAACCTCTTCAGCCGCTGAAGCAGGCGCTAAAGAGCATGCCAATGGTGTAGACGGCGTTGCAGACACACACGAGGAAGAGACCGAAGATGAAGACCTTGAAGATACAGTATTGGCCGTCAAAGCAACACAATCAAAGTCTCAACAGCCCCGGGCAACTCCTCAATTGTCCCACCAGCGTTCCGTAGTCATTCAGGAGACTCCGACCGCTGCCCGTGTCAATGGCGTCAATGAGTACCCAAATGACACTGAGATGAATATCAACCAACCGGAGCTGACGAAACAGACACCGGAGTCAGATCAAGTGGACCACGTTGAAGTAGAGCCTTATTCGACAGCTCGCACTGGCCAATCACAGAAAGCTTGGAACGTTATAAGAGAAGTAACAGAACCACAAGACAACTTCTTGGACGCTCCTGGAAATGAAGTGTCTGACCTAGAAGAGACACCGGCGCAGGTAACTGTTGGACGTACTAAACGCGCCCCGAAAGTGGTAGTGAAGAAGCGGCCAAACCCGGCGAGGAACGATGAGGATCCTGATGCGGAACCTCCTGAGCGACCATTGAAGCGTACTAAGAGAGCTGCACCGAGTGACAACGACACTCAGGACAGTCGACTAAGCAACATCGAAGTAGAAACTTCGCCGGCACCTGCAGCCGCCACCGCTAAGAAGGGTCGACCACGAAAGTCGGCTGTCAAGGAATTCGAAGATGTAATCGAAACAACTCCATCTCGATCCCAAAGAAGTTCACAGCGGTCTGTCTCAGTTCAAACTGCTGAACCTTACTCCGGAGACACGCCTCGTGTGGCCACAAGTAACTCCAGCATAACAGACAAAAGTCATGCTGTGAAGTTTCTGAAGAAACAGGGTGCCACCCTCGTTGAGTCTACTAAAGAGGGATTCAACATTCTGTGGTATGCCTATCTCTGCTCATATTTGGGTTCTTCACTGACATCAGCTAGTGTTCGAGATGGTGATCTTTACAATACATCTAAAGTCCTACAAGCAGTTGCGACCGGCACGCCCATTGTCACCGACAAGTGGCTGACTGACTCGGCGAAGGCAAACCAGTTTTTGTCTGTAGATGCTTACCGACCTTCTGTGCCCAAGCAAGAGAAGGAATGGAAGTTCAAGCTTGATGATATCTTCGGCCAGCCCCAGACACCCTTCGAAGGCTACATTATCCATTTCACAACCAGTGCTCATGCATTGTACAAGCCATTCACCGAGATTGAGCAGGTTTGTAAGGCCGCCGGTGCAGTGAAGGTCACCAAAAAGAAGATGGACAAGAGTGGTAAGGTTATCGTGCTTGCTGTGGAGGGAGAGGACAAGGAGGCCGAGAAGCTCATGCAGGATGGGATCACCTGCTACTACCGACACTTACTACCCATGAGCATCTTCCGAGGAACGCTTGATCTTGATAGCGACGAGTTCAAGATTAGCGCTGGCGGTACCGATGAGGCTGCGGATACAACGAAGGAGTCGAGGTCGAGGCGGGGACGCAAAGGTTGAAGGAGGCACGAACACAATTAATGACTGAGAGATGTTTTGATAGCGATGCGGAACGACATAGATATCTGGCGTCTACTGCCGCATAACCTGCATGAGTTCCCTAAGAAAGGATGATATGGGATTTATTTTAGTCGATCATGAGCCACGGCCGTACGCACTATACCCCAACAATATCCAGGTAATTTGTTCTCCAAATAATCTCCACAATCTTTGAGTTGTTTTGCTCGTCCTCCGAACTACGGTACCCACCCAGGGAAAGAATTTTACCCATAGTGTCATCTGCATAAGCGAACCTGACCCACACGAATCATGCATCCCGCCCACCAAAACAGTGCCTCCAAATGCAAGATCTAGCCGTCAAAATGAGGCCGATGACAGTAAAATCTGCTCATTAGATACCATGGAAATTCGGATTTCATCAAATCACGTGTCAAGCCGTGGCGCAACTCATGCGCCTGCTCGATAAATCCTCCGTGGCGCAATTGGCTAGCGCGTCTGACTGTTAAATTCCTTAGCAATCAGGAGGTTGAAAGTTCGAGCCTTTCCGGGGGAGCATTGTTTTTGCGGGTGTGGGTGGCCTGATCGATGGGGGAGGTGAAGGACTTTTTTTTGGGGATTGTTGGGGCGGGTCGGATGGGTAGGGGATGGGATGGGATGGGGTGGATCAGGCTGGGATTATTCAAATGGTGTTTGGATACGTCGATTATTCTATGGTGCTTTGATGACGGCAGTGGAAAGATGTTGGGATAAGCTGGTTGCGTGGAGATGGAGTGAGTTGTGAACGTAGCTATGAGGCACCTTCCTCCCGTACAGCGATCGCCAGCTGTAGCGGAGTTTAATGCTCACTGTGTGTTTTCATTGGATTGCAGGATATTCGATGGCTGTAATGGTAGAATTGTTTTCACGGTGAAAATTGTGACCCCTGACTTGATCTAATGCCCGCACGTTCAGACTCCATACCTTTTTGATGACCCCCATCTTGAACGCTCATCAATAGGCTGCAAAGTTACGACAAGCTCAGATTGCCATGTACGTATACAGATTTTACGACATATGTTTCGCTTATAGCCTCGCTACCAAGACGAATAGTTTGGTCGAGTTGAAGCAGGAGAAAGCGAGATTCATCATTGGCACCAGGCGCTGGCAAAATTCCTGCCCGCCTGCGTATATATCTAGGCTCCTCTAGAGACTTGTATTAAGTTTACCTCTAACAACTGTCAGCTCATGTTATAAGTGAATAGCGGGCACGAATTTTGCCGCTGCCTGGTGGTGGTGGAAAACCACGTGTTGGATGTCGATGACGCAAAGATATGACGAGGGCGTTGGTATTGTTTCTTGGCTAACAATGAATAGGTTCAAGAAAAACTACAAGCTATCGCAGAAGATTGACTAAAGACACCCGAGCATTCTAGGATCGATCTGCAACGGCTGCTAGGCCTTGCGGATGCCTTCACTGACTTAGTTAGCTCAACACTCATGCGAGAAGAGGATAACGAATTTACCGTTTGTTTGTTTGTGGGTGTTGTCGTAGAACTTCTGGAAGACGAAATGTGCTGCGAAGAGCTCGGCGTCGAAGTGGTCTGAGACTGTGCTGATATTTGAGCTTGAGCCTGCGCCTCCATTCGCCCAGCTTGCGCCTTAGCAATTGGCACCAGAGAGCAGAAAACGCCGGGAAGCATTGGAACGGGTTGGAAGTATAACGAGACTTAAAGGTGTTTGAAGTGAGTTGTGGCTGCTGGATGAAGAACAGATGGGATGATACTGCCTTTGTCCTCGAGAACTCTTATACATCCAACCACCATATCTTGTCCTCCGTGTTCCATCATCAACTCAACCCTTTCTCATTCGAAACCTCTCAGCGCGAAAGCCCCGTTCAGTATCAATCGTACACAAGCCATACTTACCGCCTATACAGGCAAATGCCACCATACTCTCAAGAGTTACTACATGCAACAATCTTCCTGACGCCGCATAGCACTGCGTATAGCCATGATAGCTCGTGCAGTCAGACGTGAACTCCACAGTCGAACCATTATTTGTACACAAGGTGCCACTAATAACCGAGTCCCCGAGTCTACACTACACGTGGCTGTTGGTTCAGCCGCAAAGCTTGCATGCGGACCTCCGATTTGGGTAACAGAGAATGGAAGCGCAACTTGTAAGGCTACGATCGATGACTGACGGGCCTGGTTGATGCTATTACACTGCGATCGATGATGTGAGACGGTGCGCTGTAGGTATGAGTGCACGAAGTACTGCGTTGTGACTGAGGATGAGGCTCGTCATGCGGAGTTGTGGTGAGCCAGATGCACTTCGCCCAGAAATCACTTCCGAACTGCGATAAATGGAAATTACAAAGAGTGTGCCTAAGTGATGGACCTCGAGACGAAACCAACGGTCCGTGGAGCTACACCTGTCACGTGAGCACCCGACGCGTCTCAACGCGTCTCCCAAAACTTTGCCCCACCACCTAACTTGATTTCCACCAACCCCAAGACCAACACAACAGACCACCCGTCCCACACGAACAACGCAGACCTACAAATCCAACCAAGTCACACCACGCACAAAAAAGAAACGACGATGGACCACCCCCAAACCCCGCGCATCCTCGCCCCGCACCTCTCCCAATTCCAGCACCGCATCGTGCGCATCCTCGGCAAAGTCGTCCAACTGCGCGGCGAAACCGCCGTCATCGACGCCGGCGGCAACGTGGACGTTGTTTTGAACCGCGACTCGCACCTGGCGGTCGGCCATGCGGTCGAGGTTATTGGGAAAGTCGATGGCAATTTGAATGTCAAGGTGCAAGCGTGCACGGATTGGGGGACGAGTGTTGGTAAGTGGATATGACGGGGGTGGACATGTGAGGAAATTAGGGCTAATGTGTGGGCAGATTTCAATGCGGCAAATGCGGTTGTTGAGGCTACGCATAGGCACAAGGCGATTTTTTATGATGGGGAGTGAGGGTGGAGGGATGCGAGGCAGAACAGGAACGGCTTGACTGGTGACGGCGAATGCGACCATTGAGGGAACAGAAAACAGATGCGACGAGGGAGGCAGATCACAGGAGATATGTCAGCAATCATGACATTCCATGTATGTGCTGCGCCTGCTAAGAATGCGCTACAATGCGGTGTACTTCCCAGCCTGTACTGTACGCCCAAGCCTCCAAAAGATGTACATAGGTATCGCGGAACACAAGTCAAACGCCGGACAACTCCACGTACCCAAATGTAGTTTACAAACACACGCGCTAGATTTCACAGACTCCTTTCAAAGCTTACTCCTCACACCCTCTAGCCTGAATTTGACATCCTTCAATTGTTTCGCAGTCGGCTTCCACTCCTCAAACATGCCCAACAGCTCTTCAACCTCTTGGCCCAGCTCTTTTTTCACGAAGTCTTCCTCCAGTAAGCCCCGCATAGCCCACGGTAAGAAGAACGGGTTCGGATTCGCGCTTGTAGCAGAAGGTTCGTAGTCCTTCACGCGGAGCTTGTAGACGTCCTTAACATATGGCTTCTCGCCAATGATTGGTATGTTGATGCCCTGGAAGCTTCCCGCCGTGGAGGGTCGGTCTTTTGGCGCAACCGGTAGGGAGGTAGTTTCAAGCGCGTGTTGCACTGCGAGGGAGTAAATGGCGGGATCTTCGTACACGCGGGAGTGGCCTTCGCCGCCGTAGAGGGAGCCGGCGAGTGCGGGCGAGAGTTCGCGGATCAGGCCGTGGTCTGGGAGGCCGAGATTACGAAGCTTCAGGGCGAAGCCGACAAGGTGAGTGAGGAAGTCAGGGGCGTGGATGCGGCCATCGACGAAGACGGCACGGTATATGTAGGGGTGCGAAAGGGTGGAGAAGGTTGAGGACTGTGGGATGGTTAGCGATGGACTGGCTTATGTTCGATCAGTATATGCTTACTTCGAGAGACACCAGTTGGTCATCGATGCTGCCAACGTAACAAATGCGCACGCCAAATCTCAAAACTTCGTCCAGCGCTGCGAGATACATCTGACTGACCAGACTCTTTGGGTTGCTGAACTCGAAAAGCTCAGCAGCAGTAGGACCAAAGTACTTTGTCTTGTACTCGATGAAAGGACCCATATTAACGCCCGCCATTGCGCATACGCCGATGCGTGTCGCATTGACGCATCCAAACTGTATGAGCTTGGCCACCAGCATCATCGCTACCGGTACACCTTGGGAGTGACATGCAACGAGAATGAAATCTGCTTGCTTGATGTGCTCGATCCAGTTCAGAAGCAACTTCCACAATGTATTGACACGCTCAGCAATAAACCCTTCTCCCTCCAGCGCGATTTGCTCGATCTCTGGAGAGTAGCCTCGCGCCTCAGTCCAGTCCTTGATTGCTGCAGCAGCGGCGTTGGCAAAGCGAATCGAAGTGCCCGTTGGCTGACCGAGGACTTTCTGGATAATGGGAGCTGGGAAGAAGCCATGTACTCCAATTGCTACGGCTTTCTTAATCCGTGGCGGTGCTGGGTTGATGTGGAGATGTGGTGCGGGTGCTTCTCCGCCGAGGAAGTATTGCCGGATTTGTTGCCAGAACTTGGGCTGCTGTACCAATCGATACGTGGTCTTGAACTCTGGCATGAGTAGATTTGGCGGCTCTTGCTTGGCCTTCGCAAGCGCTTTGGGCGCGGGCTGAGCTGATGGGGCGGATTCGGGGCGTGTGGGTTCTAGTACCGGCGAGGTCTTTGTTGGCGTCGCAGCCTTGCTGGAAGCCGGCGACTCCACAGGTGTCTCGATGGGTTTGCTGGTAGACTTGGGCCGACCTCTTAGCGAACGGAAAGATCTCCTCGCCAAGGACTCTACTTTAGATGGCTCTGGTGCTTCCTGTGGCTGTTCCGACTGTTTCGAATCCTTTGGCATGCCCGATTCCGCTGGGGACTGCTCTTGCTCGTTGAACTGAGCGGCTTCTGGGTTTGATTGTGAGGGTGTGTTGAATACAGCGACCTCCCCAACATGTTTCTGCGGCTGGCCATTTGTTGACTTGCTCTCCACGTCTGGCTTGCCTCTGTACCAAAATGCCCAAGCCGATGGCTTTGACGGCGTACTGCTAGTAGTCGTTGATGCAGTTTCGGTCACCCCCTCTGCCGTGGTGAGCATAGCGGTCTCGGACGAGTGCGGCTCCTCGGTGGTGGAAGTAGGCTGCGTCTCCGAGGGCGGTACCTCTACGTTGTCAGATTTCGGTGCAGATGCTGCTTCTGTCGAGGGCGCCTCGGAAGGGTTGGCTTGAGCATTCTGCGCGCTGCTCCAACCCCAGAACCACGATGTGTTTCTCGCCTGAGGTTTGCCGGCCGCATTTGGCGCATCTTGCATTTGTGTCTTTTGATCTTGAGCGCCCTGAGCTGTCGCATCTTTCCCCGCCTGATCTTTCGCTTGACTATTCTGCGTTGCCCCAGCGCTATCCAGCCCCTTTGCTTTCGCATCTGCCTCCTCTGAGGGCGTGGGCCCAGGCAGAGGTGTGCTCTGCGCCTCTTGTATGGTGCCTTGCGCCTCACTTCTAGCCTTGCCTGCTTCTGAGTATCCGTCGGGTCTCGACCACCAACTGCGCCAGCCCCAAGTGTTGGCAGCCTGGTCGGTCGACGGTATTGGGGGAGGATGTGGCGGCAATGGGGGTTCGCTGATCTTGGGCATGGCTGTATCGTCGTCTTCTTTGGCAGGCGTTGGTGGTTTTGGCTCTTCGGTCAGCCCGTCCGAGCCGACATTGACTTTGGTTATCGAAGTCGGCAGTGCGCTTCCTTTACTCGACTTGCGCTTGGTGAGGAACTTGGTTGGCGAGTCGTCCCTGGGCTTCCTCGCCTCCTCCCCGGGCAGCTCGCCCGTAGCACCGCCAGCAACGCCGATGCTCTCCTTGGCTGTTTTCACTACGGCCGGTGCCTTCATCCGCCAGCTGCCTGTTCCGCCCAGCCATTTCTTCCCGCGCGGTGTTTGGCTGCCCGTGGTTGTCGGTGTCGATGCGCCGTCTGAAGTTGCCGTCGACTCGGCTAGCGATTTGTTCGATGATGCATTCTGCACGTCTTCGCTGTCACTAGGCGCTGTAGAGGTGTTTGTGCTGGTGGTGCTGGCCTCAGGTGGGAGTTCCGGGCCAGTGCTGCTGCTGCTGCTGCCAGCAACAGATGCCTCGGTATTCGCCTTCGACTTCTTGCGTGGGTTCATGCGTGCGGGCAGCGAGAAGGAAGTGAGCAGGCGAAACGGGCGCTATACAGTGTCAGCGCGTGCAGGTCATGTGCGGTTTGTGTTTACCTTCATCCCAAGTTGGACGGGTTGGTTGACCATAGGGTCAACGTCATGCAAGCCCGTGCGCCAGACTTCTGAGTTGCGGTAGACTAGCGCGACTTACGGCGGCAGGGATCCAAATCGATAACGGAAGTAAATTTCGCCCGCCGCCAACTTTTTACCCTGCACGACCACATCGCCAACCGCAAAGATGGCGATCCAAAAGAAGGTGCGCTTGCGGTGGAAAGCTATGTAGAAAGCTTGCGCTAACAATCTGCAGCACGGAAAAGGTCGTCTCGACAAATGGTACAAGCTCGCAAAAGAGAAGGGCTACCGTGCGCGTGCCGCCTTCAAGCTGATCCAGCTGAACAAGAAATACAACTTCTTGGAGAAGAGCAAGGTCTTGATCGATCTTTGCGCTGCGCCAGGATCATGGTGTCAAGTCGCTTCCGAGGTGCGTGGCAGTGGAAGAACTGGCGGCAGCAGAGCTAATTCACTCAGGTCATGCCCGCGCAATCCCTCATCGTCGGTGTCGATCTTGCGCCAATCAAGCCTATCCCGCGATGCATCACCTTCCAGAGCGACATTACGACCGACAAATGCCGAGCGACTCTGCGCCAACATCTCAAGCATTTCAAGGCGGACACGGTTCTTCACGATGGTGCGCCCAACGTCGGTACTGCTTGGGTGCAAGATGCCTTTACACAGGCTGAGCTGGTGCTCCAATCTATGAAGCTGGCGACAGAGTTCCTGGTAGAGGGCGGTACATTCGTCACAAAGGTCTTCCGATCGAAAGACTACAACTCCCTGCTCTGGGTGTTCAACCAACTTTTCACAAAGGTCGAGGCTACCAAGCCACCGTCGAGTCGAAATGTCTCTGCCGAAATCTTCGTCGTCTGTCGTGGCTACAAGGCGCCAAAGAACCTCGACCCCAAGTTTCTCGACGCCCGCTCCGTCTTTGCAGAGCTTGCAGAGCCCGCCCCCAACAACGAGGCGAAGGTCTTCAACCCCGAGAAGAAGAAGAGGAAGCGTGGAGGTTACGAAGAGGGTGACTGGACGCAGTTCCACGAAGTGCCCGTCTCTGAATTCATCCAGACCACAGACCCAATCGCCATGCTCGGTAGTCTGAACAAGCTCAGTTTTGAGCAGCCACCGAACGGAGATGTTGCCATAGCTACCATTGACAAACTCAAGGAGACCACCAAGGAAGTAAGAAACTGCTGTGCCGATCTGAAGGTCCTTGGTCGAGCCGACTTCAAGCGTCTCCTACGCTGGCGACTGAAGGTTCGAGACATCTTTGGCTTTTCTGCGAAGAAGAAGGAAGAAGAAGCCGAGAAAGCGAAGGACGCAGAGGAAGGCGATGAGGTTGCAGAGATCGAGGACATGGACGATGAGATGAAGATTCAAGAAGAGCTGGAGCGACTCAAGGAGAAGGATTCGAAATCCAAGAAGAAGCAACGACGCAACGAAAACGAACGGAAGCAGAAGGAGATTGTTCGCATGCAGATGAACATGACAACGCCATACGAAATCGGTATGGAACAGGCAGGACCTCAAGGTGACGATGCCATGTTTGCACTAAAGTCAGTTGATAAGGCTGGTGCGCTCTCCAGAATCGCTAAAGGCAAGATGGCTACCATCGTCGAGCGCGAGAGGGCCGACGAATCTAGCGAGGAGGAGCAGGAAACTGACGATGAGGGTGACTATCTTGAACGGGATCTCGACGAGATGTATGGCGAGTACGTTGAGCAACGATCAGCCCGCGACGCAAAATACCGTGCAAAGCGCGCGAAGAACGAAGGCGACGATGGCGAGTGGAACGGTTTCTCAGACGATGGCAAAGAAGCCAGTAGCGACGAAGAGCTTGTGCAGGATGAGGACAGTGACTGGAGTGATGATGAAGAAGATGGCCCCAAGGGCCTGATCACAGATTTGGACAATGAGGCACCATCAAATAGGCCACTCACCAAAAGAGCAGAACGTTTCTTCGACCAGGATATCTTCAAGGGCATCGATGGGCTGGATGATTTGGAAGAGGACGACGACAGTGGCATTGATGTTGAGGACGCCATGGAGGTGGACGTCAAGGAAGTTCCCGCGCCTATCGCTGAAACCGCACTGCCTACCAGACCAGCCAAGAAGGCCTCATTCGCCCCAGCCGCCGCCGACCCCGATTCTTCCGACGACGAAGACAAGATTGAAGAAGTCAAGCGCGACGAGACACAATGGGAACAAGACGACATGCCTATGAAGAACGGCAAGCCCGACATTGACATCATCACCGCCGAAGCCATGACGCTCGCCCACCAAATGGCCACGGGCAAGAAAACCAAACACGATCTCCTAGACGACTCCTTCAACCGCTACTCCCTCCGCGACGTCGACGGCCTGCCCGACTGGTTCCTCGACGACGAAAACCGACACTCCAAAATGCAACGCCCCGTCACCGCGGCCGCCGCCTCCGCCATCAAAGAAAAACTCCGCGCCCTCAACGCGCGGCCCATCAAGAAAGTCCGCGAAGCCCAGGCCCGCAAGAAATTCAAGGCCGCCCAGCGCCTCGAGAAATTGAAGAAGAAGTCCGCGCTGCTCGCGGACGAGGAGGGCATGACGGAGAAGGAGAAGGCGCAGAGTATTGCGCGGTTGATGAGTAGGGCAGCGAAGAAGAAGCCCAAGCAGAAGGTTAGTGTGGTGGTGGCCAGGGGTGGCAATAAGGGAATCAAGAATAGGCCCAAGGGCACGAAGGGCAAGTATAAGATGGTGGATGCGCGGTTGAAGAAGGATGTTAGGGGCGAGAAGAGGGCGGCGAAGAAGAGGAAGTGAAGAATTGTAGTTTAGAGGGGAGTTTGAATGAGTATTTGGAGTTTCATGAGATGATTGTGGTTCTTTTGGTGCTGCGGTATGTGTTGATATAAAAGTCCGTGGGTGGGTATGGGTGTTGAGGTATGTTGCGTATGCTCCTTCCTCAAACAATTCGCTAGCTAGTACGCAGCTTCTACGCGTGAGTCTCATCCACCGTGCTCCTTGAACATCTCAACGCCCCCCCCCCCCCCCCCCCCCCGGGAGGTTTTTTTTAAGTTGCACTTGAAAAAACCCGGCCAGATGCCCCCTTTCCACCGTGAAAATTTTACCAAACCAACATTGCCTTTGTTAGAGCTGCCTCCTCGAGCTTCCACATTCAGCTTCTCACACAAATTGCTTGTTTCCCCTCATAATAACATACTCGAGTCTGACTATGTGCGTCGTCTGCGAAGACAGTTGTGCTTGCCACGCGAATTGCTATTTCTCCATCATGCTGAGCTTTTGCGACCTGTTGGTTGCGTGCTTGGTCTTTGGAGTTTGCGAGGCATGGATTGGTGGACTTGACAAGCAGAAGCCAAAGCGTGTAGAGATTGCAAATATCAGCATCGAATTGAAGGTTGCGTGAGTATCTAACATGACACGAACTAGGGGCCTCGGTTCGAATGCTTATGTGCGCTGCGCAAACCAGGTCAAGGATTGTAATTGCTGTATGTAGGAGGTACAGCTTGACTTGGGGGTTATATTTGCTGATACATCAGATTGGCTTATCGACTCGACGTTTGAAGCAGGTCGGACAGCCCACATACTTTGCTTTACTACACTACAGATTGTTCACAGCAAACGCCTCGAATCAGCAGACTTCCTATATTAAGGCCGCCTCGACCGGCTTCTGTACTGCACCACCAGAAGACTCGAGTGTCCAGAACTCGATTCTTCCTCTTCTAACTCTTTTCTAAATAGGTACACACCCCGAGCACACATTCATCATGGCCGAATACGAACTCGCCACGCAGGACAACATACGGCGCCACATGGATGACGACCCCTGCGTCATCTGTGGCACAGATGGCCATAGTGTCTGGCACGAAGTGTCCTATCATCAACCTCCCGCCTGCAACGGATTCTCCGCTTAGAAAGTTCTTTGCTCCAGACAGAGTGGTTGGCGTTCGCAACCAGATGAAGAAATACCTTAAGATGCCAAGGGAGGAGCCCAAACCGAAGGAAGTCACTGGGAACTCGACTGACGGTCATGATTTTCAAGCGCAGTCTGGAGCTACTACTACTGCCCCCATGGATACTACTGCTGCTGCAGATGAAGACACGCTACTCAGTTCCCATCTTGCCAAGATCACCACGACTGGAACTGACAATCTGAAGAAGGTACGCGACATCACACAGAAAGAGGCTGTCGATTCAGAACTGGCGAAAGCTGCAGAGGTACCAAGTTCTGCCTTGGGAAACGGCAACATCTTCAAGTCTACAGCACGTGTGAGCAGCGCGGCAAGTGCGAAGTTCCCTCTTCGCAAAGAGTTCGCAAACACAAATTCCGAAGTATTCACCAACCACTTCGAAGTCGTGTTCAAACCTACTACGCAATTCTTCGTGTATGAGGTACTGAAGATGCCAGCTGGAAAGTCCAAGAGGAAGTCCAAATTCATCCTGAAGACCGCGATTGAGGCCTGGGACTTTCTGAAGAACAACAAGGAGCACTTCACCACAGGCGGGATCAACACCATCGTCGCTTGGAAAGACCTTCACAGCGAGATGAACTGCAACCGTGTCGTTGATGGAGCAGATAACACCCAAGTTGGTGCGATTTGGATGCCGGATGCTATTGCGGATGGTAGCCAGCGCATTCAGTTGTTCATCAAACTTCAGCGGGAGCTCGATCTCGCTGGACTTCAAAACTATATCAATGCAAGTCAGGCAGCAAGCGACGCGGAATTCGCCTTCAGCCCCATAGTTGACGCGTTGAACATTGCTGTTTCGTCGAGCTTGTCTCGTGACGACGTCATTCTGCAGTCGGCCAGCAAATTCTTCGTGAAGAATGGCTACAAACCCTTGGCAGGCGGTAAGAACCTCAAGAGCTTATGCACCATTCGAGGATACTACTACACCATCAAGCCTGGTATGCAGAAGGTACTGCTGAACGTGAATGCAGCCACTAGCGCATTCTTTTGCCCCATCACTGTTGCAGACTTTCTGAAAGACGAAACTTTCACGTACGCTGAGCGTGAGAAGCATCTCAAGACGCTTAGGCTGTACATCGAGCCAGATCGTACAGCGACCGATGACCCTGACGACAAGCATACTGATCACCTCAACAAGCCGCAAAACCGCATCAAGTCATTCTGTGGACTCGGTCCTGTATTTACAGACTCCCAGATGTCTTTCCACAAGAACAAAAAAGACGACCAGGGTAATTGGGTACAAGATGAGAACAAGACTCGTGTCATCGACCATCTCCAGAAGACCTTCGCCAAGCCATTCAAGAAGGACGGTTACGCTATCAATGTTGGAACCGCTGCAGATACTGTCTACTACCCAGCTGAGTACCTGCGTATCATGCCGTATCAGATTTACAGGCAATTGCTCCCTGATACCGTGGTAGAGGACATGCTCACGCAAGCGACGCATCTCCCAGAGCAGAGTAGGCGTCTCATTGAGGTGGAGGCAATGCATTTACTTGGTCTAGACCCAGCAAAGTCTCTGCAGAATCTTGTGAGTTATTTGTCTCGACTTTGAGAAATTTCGCTAACGATGTATGCTCTTAGCGTGGCTGTCCACAGTTGCAAATTTCACCGACTATGTTGCAGATCCCATCAGCTCAGATGGAGAAATTGGACATAATTTATGGTGCGAAGACCTCAAACCAGCAGCCCAATACACAAGCTCAGTGGAATCTCCAAAACCTGAAAGCATTTATTGATGCTCCAGGGAACAAGGCCCCCGCAAAAACCCACAACTGTCTCTGGCTAGTCGAGGAGGGCATCGTAAAAGACACTGTCGAAAATTACCAAGAAACATTTGGCAGATTGGTCAAACAGTATGGCATTTGTGCTGGTGCAAAAGCTGTCCACACACAGAAACTCAGCAGTCTCCGAGATGGTGCGACACACTCCGCCATCAAGACCAGACTATCAGATGGCATTCAAACTTTCGTCAAGAACAACAAGGGCACAAACCTGGTGGTTCTACTTCTCAAGACCCAGAGCATTCCAGTATATTCTGCTTTCAAAGCGGCCGCGGATACGGAGGCGGGGTTGCAATCAATATGCATGACGCAAGCGCCAAACTACATCAGTGCAAAGCAGAAATGTAAAGAAAATATCGACCAATACATGGCAAACATCATGATGAAAGCGAATCTCAAGTTTGGTGGAGGCAATCACACCGTTCAGTTCGCCGCAAAGCCTCTCACCCACATCGCAACAACATTGCAGGACACGTTGGTGCTTGGTGCTGATATTACCCACCCTTCCCCTGGTTCTCTGGTCGGATGTCCATCCATTGCAGCAGTTGTTGGCTCAGTGAACTCAATGTCCACGAAGTATCTCGGCTCCATGAGGCTCCAGGAAACCTGCAAGAAAGAAGTAGGTGTTGTTGTTCAGATTCGCCTTCAATCATACTAACACTACTTCAGATCATTGACGACCTTCAGGCTATGGTTTACGAGAGAATCGTTGCCTACGAACAAGCAACCCGCAATTTTCCAAAGAGGATTCTCTTCTACAGGGACGGTGTATCTACAGGACAATTCGCCAAGGTCAGAGATGAAGAGCTGCCATCAATCAAAGCAGCGTTCCGACAAAGGTATCCTATCGTGAAAGGGCGAGAAACTACCCCGCTTCCCAGAGTCACTATTGTCGTGGCTGTGAAGCGTCACCACACACGCTTCTACCCAGCTAAAGCTCTCAAGCACCTAAACGGCAATTGTGTACCAGGCACCCTCGTTGACCGCGTTGTCACATCCCCCCACTACTGTGACTTCTTCTTGCAGTCCCACCACGGCCTGAAGGGCACGGCCATCCCCACTCACTACGTCGTCATCGCCAACGAGATAGGCCTTGGAGACAAAGAGCTTCAAGAGCTCACTTGGAAGATGTGCTACACCTACGTCCGCGCCACACTCGGCGTATCATATGCCCCGCCCGCATATTATTCCGACAGGCTCTGCGATCGTGGTCGCGCTTACATGCGTGACTTCTACAGTCCGGATCCCGACAGCGCGTATACCCAGGCATACGACGCCATGAAAAAGATAATCGAGCAAAACGCTGCGGCTTCTTTGGCTGAAAAGATCAGTGCACTTCCGCCGGTGCCGATACGTCCTGGTCGAAATGCGGCGAGGAAGTCTGCGGCTCAGATTGGCATCGAGCGCGCTCATCGCAGAGCTGTGGAGGATGAGCTTGAAAGACAGGTTCTTGCGTGGGCGCGCAAAGACTTTGAGGATCTGAGGGAGGGAGGTTGCGGTCCTTGGAAGAAGAGCCTCGATGACACGATGTTCTGGATGTGAGTGGTGAGGTTTTCCCTGTTGGGACGGTTGGCGCTGTTTCCTTTCCTTGTTTTCTTTCCTTTGTTGGACTCTGTTGGCGTTTTGCTTACTGCTTTACTCGTTTGCTTCTTCCTTGCGATGTGTTACCTGATGTTTAAACACATCAGGAAGTTTTCCTTGCTGCTTCTGGCGCTGTCGAGTTTTGTACTTAGACCGTTTCTTGCGTCGCATGTCTTGTCTTCTTGCGCAGTCTCGCTATACTTGTGTATATGGCTGACATTCTTACACTCATTCACATAGACTTGGAATGACTGAATCAATTCCTCATATCCTAAGCAATATCCTGAACTCGTACCATTCTATTTGTAGCTGCATCAGTCAACATCTTAACAGATTGTATTCGTCTTAGGGTCACTTGACGTGACTAGATAGCTTTTGAGATAGGTCGTCCTCGGCCTAGATCAAGGATGTAAGGCTGTAGATCGAGGTCTCCATGCCCCAAAATGTCATATTCATGCTTTTCAGTGTTGTGTAGTTGACGCGGGATCACGCACAATTGCAAACGCGCAAAATTTCCCACATGTTCACAACTTGAAACTTCAATCCCACTTCCCACATCGCACAAATCATCAAACTTGGGCAGCCACCTGACCTACCGTATCTCAACTCGCACACTACACATCGAACAATCATAGCCATGTTGGAGCCTACCCAAATGACACCGCCGCCACATTCGTCGAGGGCGGCGCTTGGGCCCGAATCCGGTCAGTCTTATGCGTCGAGCACACGACCAGAACGATCCAGCGCCTACGAGACATGAACGCGGCGAAAGAGGCCAAGATCGCGAGCCTTCACGTCAAGGCGGTGGAGTTTGAGCTCGAGATGGCGGAGGCTGAAATTGAGCACAAAATGGCTATCAGGGAGATTAAGCGTGAAGAGCGCAGAGCGGTGGAACAGGTTGCGATCGAGCGCAGGATGGAGGAGATGGTGCGCAGAGCGGAGGAGTCGATTGCGAGTGAGAGACAGAGACAGGCTGCTCTGGAGAAGGAGAAAGCGGAAATCCTTGCCTGTCTCTATCAGCGCGAGCAGCGGGATAATGCGATGATCGAGGACTCTGGCGGTTCGCCTAGAAAGAAGTACGTCGATACACTTTGGAAGCGTAGGTAAAATTACTGACTGACTTATAGGCGTAACATGGAGCACGAGGCTGCGGAGGTCACTGAGACTATGGACGAGACGGACTTGGAGGATGGCCATAACTGATATGCTTCTCTGCAGTTGGTGGAACGAGTCTCGTGGGGTAGAGGGATAAAGACACGGAGTTCTGGGACGGAAGTGAATGGACTGTGTATCTGATCGATTTGGTCCCCAGGATAGTACACCATGATCACTCCCCTGATTGGCCTCAAGACTTCTATGCAATACATGCAGCCTCCGAAGGAAGCACTGTGATTACACAAAATGTAATATGAGTATGCAAGAACAGTTCAGATATGGATTGAGATCCTCCAGACTGAGCTGTTAATTCAAGAGACTAGAGAACTTCAACGAGTGATGTGTTACATAGCTCATAGAACGCGGTATGATACGAAAGTCAGAGAAATCGTGGGATGGTACAAATACGTTTCATTTGCATACCTCAATTAATCATCCAAATCATCCTCATACCACTCTCCATACAATTCCCGCTCTATCTTGAGCTATGTCAGAACAATACCCCTACCGCACCGGCACCACCGCTTCCCCCGGTGATGACACAGAAATCGCATGCCTATACGGCCAGCTGAATGAGCTTGCGCAGCAGCGCGATGAGGCAGAGGATGGGGCTGCTGAGCTCAAGGGCAAGCTTCGCGCTGCCAACGTCAAGATCGACCGTCTTGAGGTCAGGGTCGATCGATCCCCGCGGATACGGATCCGAGTACATGGAGAGGGAGATGGCACCTCTGAAGTGCGAAAACCGCACGGTCAAGGAAAAGGCGTCCCGCATGAGTCGCGGATTGGAGGAGGCTGCGCGCAAAGATCGCGAGGCCCAGGCAGCTACAAGGCGCCTGGAGAAGAAGGTGGAGGAGTTGACGAAGAATCTTGGTGGCGTTCGCCTGGCCAGTGATGCCTTCCAGCGTCAGGCTGAGGCTCCCTCTGCTAAGCCACAGCAAGAGCAGGAGCATGCGCTTGGCTCCCGTGGCTCCACTGTCACCGCTCGGGGTGCTGTCAAGAAGCGTGGCGTCGAAGACTTGGTCAATCTACCATCGAGGCCCGCGAAGAAGTATGCGGCTAAAAAGAACTTGCGTAGAGGCGAGGATATGAAGTGAGTCATCCGCCATTCTGTGCTCTTGAGCATTCCACTAATACCTCAAAGTGGGGGTGTAGCGCGGGCTGCAGAGCAGCGGGGAGGAGATAAGATGGAGAAGGAGGATGATGATGATGAGTTATTGTAGCAGTCGGGGTTTCCTGAGACCGTAACCCTTATTTGTGGCGTTCGTGTTTCTACTGCGGGAATAAGTGAGATTGGTGCAAATCCATAATTCAAGCATGCACATTCTCAGACTCTGTGCAGTGTGCATGAAATCTTAATTTAAAGGCAGTTGCATCTTCATGACGTATCATGTTATTATGAAGGTGATTAATTACATCCCATATACTTTACTTATTAGACAAGCAGCAGATTCATTATCAATGCCTTGTTCTTCTTCGATACAATGCCAAAGGGCAGTGTGACCAATGAAAAAAAGTAAAGGTGGTGGTTCAAAAATTTGCAGGCCCAAGCTAACCCACAGTACTGTCAAGATAGGCACTACGGATTCTGTCAAGATAGCCACCGAAGTGTACTTCAAGATTGCACCGCAGTGTCCTTCCGACACTTGATTATCGATCGGGCCCGTGAGGACCAAGAGGTGCACCTCACCACGATTGCTCACCTATAAGCGAGCAAGGCTTGATAGGTGATATGTGCCCCGTCCAGGTTCGAGGAGGATACATCATTGGCTTGCGCCGCTGATTGCTCCTGTCTCTAGGCTAACAGCCAGAAACAGATAGCCGTAATGGGAATCTGTCACTTCTGTTATATCATACTTTCTAAGACCGAGGAACTGCAACACCGTACTGCTCTGGGCCAGCCAGGAACTAGTCGATGCTGTAGCACCTGCGGTAGTCGAATAGTTGATGAGATTGTGCTTGACGAATGTCAGAGGCTCTTGGCGGGACCGACTGTGCTTACAGCACAAGCGAGGACTTTTTCCCCTATCAGTCGAACATGGGCGGTGTTCAGTGGAGAAGAAGAAAGAGGAACGGAGGTCCAAGGGATTAAATACTCGTTGTGCGCTTGGCGTGCGCGCTAGAACACGTGATATCTAATTTACGTCATTTCCCATAGCTGGGAAAGGTCCAGAAGCGAGGTGAAGGAGCACTTTGAGAGGCGGGCCGCTTTTCGGAGTGGACCAGCACACGAGGAACGATACAACCCGCCCGGCATCCCGACTAAGCTAATCAAAAGGTTGAACAGCCCTTGAAAACTTGCGACTAGCTTGGCACTGCTCGCGACTCTCTACGTTGCCCAGACGCCGTTGTAAAGCAACCTCTGGAGCGATCCACAATAGTCCAGAAATGGTCCAAAGCCGACAAAAGCTCCTTGAAGCAGCCCTGAAGGGCACCAAGGCGCAGCTTGCTAAGACCAGAGAGCAAAATGTAGAGCTCTCCGTGAAGCTCGAGGAATCCGAGCGCGAACGAAAGGCCCTGTAACGAGAGGCACAAGAACTGCTTTTGATCGGGAAGCTACGAGACAGCACTGATGAGTCCGGCGAAGAGCCTGGCTTGCAGTATACGGACGACAAATCTCTACTTGCCCGACTCCCTGATGTTCCCTCACACCTGCCACGGATTTCACGATCTACCACGGGACCTAGGTCTTTCGTGTCTCTTGGTGTGACACCAGAAGGGAAAGTAGAATATGTTCCAGATCAGGTACAAAAGCCAACGGGTTTGGACAAGCCAGCTAGAGTAGCGAAGCGCTCACACAGCGAGATCGAGTACGTGACATGTTCAATTTAGACAACACCTGGCTAGTTCAATCATAGACAACCAACAGACAACATCGCAATTTCGTCTACTGAGCGCATAATTTTGTGCATTCGGTGTTACATCAAGAATCGCCGTTGCGATTCCGGGGAGCCATGTCAATCTTGTATCGATAACGATGCCACATGTCGCAGGGCCAGATGCAAGGACTATGATACCGATACATGCAAGCGCCAGAGCTGTCTGCGAGCTCATGCAGAGGATGAAGGCTCATACAAAAACCTGGAATACCTTCCACATATTTCCAAATATGTGGTCAATACATCGGGATCCAAGAAGCGTAAGACGGGAGGTGGTCTTGGCAGGAAGAAAGGGTTGTGAATTGGCAGCCAACATTCAGATGGTCATGCTTGTATCTCGTGAGGTTATTTCGAGCACATAGCCCAAAGGTCTTCAGTACATTCTAGGCGTGCAGTGGCGCGATGAAATGGCTGCGTGTAAACTCAGAGCACAGTATGAATACTTCATCACTAAATTCTTCATCCGAAGATCTCCCCTTCTATGGGCTTCCTAACGTTGATCTTTTCCGTACACTCGACCCGCAACGCCTTCTCTTTCCCGTTCCTCTCTACAGCCCCAAGCCTCACTGCCAAAACGCCCATTTCAACTTCAATATCCCCAGCTGTTACGTTTCCGTCTAGGCCATCGAACATTGGTGCGCCAAAGGCTCGCGCGATCTCTAACGGGTTCAAACTGACGGAGCGGCCGAGGTGCCAGTAGCCATGATATAAGGGCATGGTTGAGAGTATGGAAGTGTATGATACAACCATGCCTAGCGCCACGTATACGACGTGAAGTTCGTACTTCCCTTCCCTGAGCACAAGCGCGCGTTGAAACAATGGCCCACGGGATAGAGAAATGGCAGACACGAGAGTCGCGAAACCCACTTTTTTGAGCTGAAGGCGAGCCAATGCACGAGATGCCGACCACAAAGTTCTCAAGCAGTAAACATCGTTTATTTTGCCAATTGTCGTTCCGCGAAGCAGCCCAGTCCAGAAAGAAATCGCCACCCCTTCGCCGAGAGCGCCGAGCGTCATCAGACAAATGAGAATCTCCATGATCGAGAGATACGTCGGTGGCTGGATACCTGCTGGCCATGACTCCGGCGTCGATTTGTCTGAAGCGTAGAGTAGCGCGGTGCAGGAGCCGGTTAACATACACAGCATCCCCATCGCCATGGCTCCTTTCCATGGAAACCTTCTCATGCACCCCGCTCTCCACGTCCTCTTCAAGTGCCGTGGACTGCGATGGTATTGCTTCGCTTCCTGTCTTGTACCAGCAGACACTCCAACACCTGGCCTTGAGTCGTGAGCTGCAGGTGCGGAGTGGAGGTGCGTAGACTCCGTCCATGGCAAGACTTCTGTGTATGTTTGGCCTCGGTCCCTATTGCTTAAAAGCTGCGATCGGAACCCTAACGTGGATATAGGGGTTTTTGGTGGCGATGGCGTGCGTGAAGGAAATCTGCCGGGCCGGGATAAAGGGTTCTGGGCTGGCGGGCTTGGAGTAGATGATGCTGGCGCCGGGGTATACGTCACAGATGGTGATGAATAGCTTGTAGCTTGCTGCTGACTTCTCATTGGAGAGTGCGTATATTCTTGCGTGGGCGGAGGTCGGTATGCTTGATAGCCGGAGGGTGGTGCGGCGTTTGAGAGAATTGAGACGGCGTCGTCGTCGTTACGATTGTGGTGGGTGTCGTCCTCTGGGGAGACGGGCGATATTGATGTGTAAATCATCTTTACCTCGAATGTGTTATGAGGAAACGACAGATTGACAGCGAGGCGTGAAAACTGTGGTGAGAAATTTGGAGACTCTGGCATGTGTTCTCACAAAAGACCCCATATATGGTATGTCCTGTTGACCCGCAAGACTGATCGTGCGCAACTCTTCCAGAACTGGAACTCTTACACAGTACTCAATACTCTTCGAAAGCGAAGATAGTTTTGCCCGTGTGCCACATTCATATTGCTTCAAGGCTGTCCTGATTCAGAGCCGCTGTCAGATTCTCCAAGAATCAGGGTCCCGCGCCGCAGACGCGATTCCCACACATATGTTGGATGCTGTGCAGTTTCTTCCAATAAAATTGTATTGCGCGCTGCTGAAACGCACTTCATCCACATGCGGTGCGGTTGGGGAGGCTGAGGTGCGCGCCTTAGATCCTTCCCTCACGGCTTTGCCGCAAACATCATGCAGATGTGCTATTTTGGTCACACTGTGCGCCCCGAAAAGCTCTGTGAAACTCTATCAGGCCCGACTTCGAAGGCGTAGTAATTGACTGGTGCGCAATGTCGGACGTGGTTTTGCCTAGTTGTTGGTATTGTCCATTTTCTGCAACATGGGCGCCAACGGTTCTACACGCTCTTAGGTAACATTCGTCCAGGGTATCACCAACGCACCGTCAACCTGGAAGAGAGCCTCGCGTTTGCCGAAACAACGTCGATGAAGTCTGTACGGAAGTGGTGCCGAAGTAGTGCATTCACGCCGGTTATCGATACGGAGTAGTAGACATAGAATCGTTCCGCAATGCCGAGGTCCACTGAGCTCCCCCAACGTTCTTACATGATTGCATACCATGGCCCTCTACGTTCCGCCATGAGACCTTCATAACACTTGAGGAAGTGTCAACCACCACAGAAAGAATGTCGAACACAGTGAAGCCCCCCACAGCCATCCTGTTCGACATCGGCGGTGTAGTTGTACGTTTTCTGGCCCCACACCTGGGCGCACCCCAGACACGCAACGAAGCTAACATTGACAACATAGGTCATCAGTCCGTTCCAAGCAATTCTCGACTACGAAATCGAAAACAAAATTCCCATCGGTTACATCAACTACGCGATCCAAAAAGGTCCACACGATACAGGCGCATGGCAGCTAATTGAGCGCGGTGAGGTCGAACTCAATGACGACTGGTTCGCATCGTTCAAGAAACAACTCACGAAGCCGGAGGTGTGGTCCGAATATCTACAAAAGCAGGTCAAGGATGGCGCAACAGGTCTGGGGCAGCCGATTGAAGGTGGGAAGATTGATGGCCATGGCAAGGGAGTGCCAGACATCGACGCGAAGCGGCTATTCTGGCGCATGATGAAGATAAGCAGAGCGCCAGACCCATATATGTACCCAGCACTCAGAAAGCTCAAGGAGAGTGGTCGATTTGTCCTTGGAGCATTCAGCAACAATGTCACGTTCCCTGAGGGTATCTTGGACGAGGAAGGGCAACTCTTCACGAAGGACCTTATGCATGCGCCCCCGCCAAATCCATACGCAAATGACTCGAAGGATGTGACAACCAACTTTGACATCTTCCTTGGCTCAGCAGCTGTTGGCGTGCGGAAGCCCGACCCAGAGGCGTATAAGCTTTCAGTAAGAGAGATGGACAAGATTGCACAGAAGAAAGGCTTGGGTAGAGTGACAGCTGAAGATACGCTGTTCTTAGATGACATTGGCATCAATCTCAAGTTTGCGAAGAAGACCGGGTTGCGCACGATCAAAGTCAATCTTGGAAGGACAAGAGATGCCGTGCAAGAGCTAGAAAAGCAAGTAGGGTTTTCTTTATTGGACGACAAAGCTAAACTGTAGAAATGGAATGGTAAAGAATGATGAACAAAAACTTCCGGACACTTGCGCTAGAAGCAATAATAACTCTGCGCCTCCTTCAAGTCACCCCAATGCCACCCACCCGAGCCCGCGCTAGTGTCATCGAGTCGAACCATGTCGCCCATACCTATGGGATTCACATTAGTTGTGTCCTGGCATACTCCTCTCCATCAATTTGACTTACATTGCTCGCCTTTGAACATCATGCATATTCCGCACCGCCACCTTGAGCTACAGGCATAGTACTTGTCTCCATTGTCGAGTGTGTTACACTTGCCGTTGGCGTAAAGATAATTTGGGTTCCCAGTGGAGTTCAAGCATCTTTGACATGCCATGTTAGATGTACTAGCTGGAGGGAGTGTTATGATATCTCTGAGGTATACATCGACCGGCGTAGCCATGCTGAGACTGGCGAGCCAGAGGCTAAAGATTGGTATGCTGATGCGGGTCATGATCATCGTGATGGAAGTCAGAATTTGTGGTGAAAATATTCGAAATTGTACAGGTTGCGCGACTGTATTAAGAAGTAGGATACTGAAGGGCGTAACATGACAAAGGAAAGTTAGGGACCAGCTTTCATTTATGTTGTTCGCTCGCTGTGCCTTTGTGTGCTATATAAAGAATGGGGCGTGGCTTACCTGTGTCCAGCGGCTTTGTTGGTCCTCCGCCACACTCACGTCTACCAACAAATAAATTGAGTCACTCAAGTGTTTTCGAAAAGTATGTATTGCCAAATTTTAAGTTGGTAGCTGAAGAAATGGGATCTAGATATACAGTTTGCGGATTCTAGCTAGGCAAGGCGACGATGTCCCGTGTGATGCGATCATTATTCGTCCAAACTTTCTTTCAACTCCAAGCGCGTTGAAAGGTTATTTTTGGTATGCTGCGACGTTGGAAAATCATTCGTAGTCAAGACACGCAGTGCGAGACGGATGCCCATTACGCATCATGTTGAAGACACATACCATAGGTCCTTTAAATTGAGTAACAGATGTCTCTGCATCTAACAGTAAATCCTCTCTTGACATGGCCCTAGCTACGTGGCTGGCACAAGTTTTCTTGGAAAGCTGCTCCTTGAACAGATTCTTCTTCGATCCGAGCAAGGACTGTGTAGACCTCCTAAGTGAGACATTCAAAATCCTCCGGGGGCCTTCGAAGGCGCTGAAGGACCTTTCTGGCTTCTTGTACGCGGTTGGCGTTCAAGAGTCAGCGGCGTGCAAAAGGGCGGGCTGATGGGGTTCAACAAACCATTGTTGCGATGGAGTAAGAGCTTGTGGAGCTTCATAGCTTCCTAGCTCAGCATTTGGATGAGCAGATGGTGTCTGGCATACAGATTGTAGGCATTGGGATCGTGGATCATGGCCTGGGAAAGATGAAATGAGACGAAACACGTGAACCTGCGAAGCTCAGGCTTGCACAGATGTCGTACATTAGCCGTGATGAACGAGCATAGATTTTGGTGGAAACATGAGTCCAATGACATGGGCCAAAAATCAATATTGACGTACAACCTCTCGTGATAGTGCATATTCATTACTTCTGTCCATCTCCTCAGAAGTTTATAGCTGTACTCTCTTCTGCTGCATCCAAGAGAGTTTTCCAAGCAGCTTTCTCGTCCAGGCGAGAAGCTCGCTCGTCTCCAGCCCAGAGCCTCCATTGTTCCTGAATCTGGTAGCCAATAACGTGAGTTCCCTCTACAACTGGCCATCCAAGCTTCTCTGCAAGCTTGATCATTCTGGTACGTCGAGGTTTGAAGCACATGTCAAGCAGTACGCCCTTGCTATCACTCAAGAGGAAACGCTCTAGGATCACGGCTACGTCTTTCTCGGCTTTCGTTTGCGGTTCAAAGTCTGGCACGGTACCAACAATGTAATACGGCGCTTCCAAGCTTTCGGCCTCCTCCAAAGACTTGACGTGGATGATTTTGGGAGTAACAGCCATCTTCTGTGTATCGGTGTTGAGCGCCTCCACCTCCGCAACATCGCGATTTAATACATATATCGTGGGACAACTAAGGTGGCTGCTGAGGGCATAAACGGCTGCGCGGCTAGCGCCTCCGGCCCCAATAACCAGAGCTGATGCCGTGCGGCTAGGACGTGGCCGAGAGCTCTCGTCTCCTTTCTCTAGTAGACATCCCTTGATGCCACGCCAGTCTGTATTTGTCCCAACAATTTTGCCATCCCGGCGGTAGTTGTTGTTGCAAGCTCCGATAGTCGTCGCCAGGTCGTCTAGCTCGTCAAGAAGTGGCATTACAGTGTTTTTGTATGGCATGGTCACGACGAGACCAGCAGTGGATGACTTTCGTGCAAGCGCTGCAACTTCTTCGACAGTGTCGCACTCAGTACTGTGAAAGGTCCACGGAAGACCAAGGGACGTCGCAATCATATTGTGCATTGGTGGGGCAATAGAATGTTTGACACCGATGCCCACAAGGTGTAATGTTTTTGTTTCCGTATTTTCTGTGGCCATTTTTTATGTTGATGGAAGTTTCAGGCCTTAGAAATGGTAGAATCTGGAAAGGTACGTCGTGGTATAAGTTGATGTATTTCACCCCGGTTGGTATGGAACATGATTTAAGCGGTGGGGTGCTTCCCCCCACATTCTAGTGGGAGATTGTTTACCATAGCCGAACAAGTATGTCCGCCCGCACGAACGTGAATCTTCACAAACGGGCCCTAACAAACCTTGTCACTATCGGGTTCGTAAGATCGGCATTTAAAAATCTATCTTAAGTTCGCCTGAACTGCATTGATTCATCTCCATGACATACGTTCCAAGCTTGACGGAGTGAGGAGATAGAGACAAGCACTTTGTTGCTATGCAAGTGCCTAAGCTAGACTTAAAGAAACTTACTTCAATTCACTCAGATGGACACAAATGCCTCGCCTATTACCAGAAGGCGACGATGGGTGTGACAGTCATTAAAGATATTCCAGGATACTGTAGACATGTAGGCACGCCTGCTAGAAATATGACCATTTGTCGGCAATCGGTGGCTTGGGTAGAGGAAGAATAAATAGAGACAGGAATTACATGTATATGTTGCTCATGTGTATGAATGGTTTGCGTAGACATGCGGCCTATACAGTGGTGTGTGAGATCTATCATGAGTAATCATCCAGCGATTACTTTAAGTTAAGCTTGTTGACCAATTTCGCCCAGGAAGCCATTCCCCGCCGCGCATGTTCTGTTGGCACATGCTCTCCCTCTTCAGACATTGTTCTCGAGAACAATTCCATGGAGATGAATCCCTCATAGCCCATGTCATGAATGATCGCCCGTGCGATATCCTCCACCGGAAGGTACGCCCCTCGATCTTCTTCGTACGCAAATGCTCTGGCGTTTCGCGACCAGCTCATCCGTGGTGGCTGACCAGAAGTGTAGAAAGGGTGGCCTTCAACCAGTGGCGAGGTCATCCGCTCCGCGTCCACCACCTGAATATAAAACACCTTCTTCAAATCCACCTGTTGAACCATCTGACGAATAGATTCCTTGAAGTCTGAATCAGCATTTGCTGTCTTGCCATCCACTGTTGTGGGATCGGCCCAAACACGCCCGGCAATATTAAATGTGTCGAGGCATAGGCCGAAATTCGGACGATCCACTTGTTTGACAACTTCCCACGCTTTGTCCCAGGTGTCGATATGCGTGCTCCAGCAAAGATTCTCGTATGCGAAACGAACCTGAGGCTCTTCACGTAGTCCCAAATCCGCCAGCTTTCGTAGGTCGCCGACAATGACATTCATATCTCCCGTGAGCTGATCAATGGGTAGGAAGTTGGCCGGGATCTGAATTGTTGCGGTCTTCAGCTCTTTCACGATGCGGAACCAGACATGGATCTTGTCGATAAGCTTTTCATGCTTCTGGCGATCCAATAACCCCTCATAAAAGAGAAATGGTTGCAACCCGATTATTTGGAGCCCTGCTACCTGACACATTTCGTGAATCTGGCGGGCAGCTTCGACGAGATTTTCAGGGGTGGGGCTTTCGCATTTGGAAAGCTTCTTGGCCATGTATTCAAGGTCCTCATACGAAAATTTCAATTCCTTTGAAGCCTTGCTGACCTGCCACCCTGATCTTGTTGTCAAGTTCGTGAACCCATGCGCGCCCCAGAGAGGCGGACATGATCGCTGGCTGGAAAACAGCCATAATGTCTCAGCAAAGAATCCAAGAAGGCGTTCTCAAATTAACGATAATCTAGAAGACTAGAGTAAGGAGGCGACGATTGTCCGTCTAAGAGCCGAAGAGGTGGTAAAATCCAGCTTCGCATTTGGTCGTGGCAGAGTTGCAATTCCGGTAACGTTAGGGCGACTCCGAAAATCCCCACTTGGGGAAGTTCGTAAGTTGCGTCCTTCCGGGTAAGGTATTACCCCAAGTTAGCGCTTTGTTGGTTTCTACCTCGATTTCCTAGTATGAACCGTCGCGCTATTACAGCACAATTGTTCACTCGAACCCATCTTATTCAAGTTCACTTGCAGCAAATGCCCGAGCTCCCCTCAAACCACAATGGCCATGGTCAGACAGAAGATGAAGCAGCCGAAGCAAAAGCGAACCTCAACTTCTTCATCTTCGGCAACAACATATCGCACACTCTCACCTCACATGCACAATGCGGCGTTCGCAAAACTCCGGTATCCTAGGCACTACACGATCTACGAAACAAAGGCTGTCGATGAGAGCGTCGAACGTCTGATGAGACAATCTAATCTTGGGGGGCACCTCCGTTACGTTCCCACATAAACTCCAGATTGGAAAGTTTGTCGACGTGATCACACCGCGGGCAGCCAGCGTCGGTGCGGTCAACACGGTTGTGGTCAAAGAAGGGAGTATTGGAGGGCGTTAATACGGATTGGTCAGGCATCCGATCTTGTGTTGTCAAGAATCGTCTACCGGACATTGAGTCGTCGACGGCTGTCGTCTTGGGTGCGGGTGGAGCGGCGCGTGCAGTTTGCTATGCGTTAGAGACGTTGAGAGTCAAGAATGTTATTATTGTCAATCGCAGCCGTTCAAATGCTGAAGGAAAATGACAATGCATTTTCCCGGGTTATCAACACAAGTGTGTACCCAGTTGGACGATGTACGTTCGGTTGCAAAAACACCCAGTGCGGGTTGTTGTGGGGCGTATTCCCGCCGATGACCTTACCGAAGAAGGCGTACCATCTAATCTATTTTCTGGAGCTGAGTCAGGTGCTCTGGTAGAGATGGCATATCGGCCTTTGGAGACTAGACTGATGAAGGTAGCTTCAAGGTACTCGGCATGGCGAGTTTTTAAGGGTATGCATGTGCTGAGGGAGCAGGCGTACGCCCAATTTGAGCTTTGGACCGGCGAGCAATGAAGTGGACGTGATAGTCATCAACCCGGCGGCGTTTACGCATAGAGGTGTTGCGATTCGAGATGCTTTGCTGGAGGTGGATATACCGTTTATCGAGATACATGTTACGAATACGCATGCGAGAGGAGTGTTTAGCCACCATAGTCATCTGTCGAATAAGACGGAGGCGGTGATTATGGGGATGGGGAGGTTTGTGTATGTTGTGGCTGTTGAGCACGCGGTGAAGAATGTTAAGTCGAGACGGCGGTGAGGATGTGTGGAATGGAAGGCCGTCTGTCTGTTTTGCGTGGATCAAAATTTGCAATGCGGATGAGACTGGACCTCCGAATTATCCTAACAATATTAAACTCTTCTCTGTATTGGCAGGACTTACTTTGTGATGCCTCTGATGCTATAGTATGGACATGGATCGCCTCGTCTTATTTAGTCGTCTCTGATAAGAAGTCCAACATGAAGATTTGCGGAAGAATAAGTATTAATGATGATAGTAATACACGGTGTCAACAATGTCGCTAAAAACCTAGTCCTCGATGGCAAATTCGTCACTCCTCCGTTCATGCACCTCCCCAGGCCCAAAGATGTCCGGGTTCCTATTCTTCAGAGCCGCAATCTGACTCTCCTTGAATATCTGGAACGTAGCAGGGTCGTCTCTTTCCAGATTCTGCAGCTCCGCAGCATTTTCAACTACGTTGTTGAACGCCTTCTCCCAGCCTACACCCTCGATCATGTGACGCATTTCATCACCACTGTAATTGTGGAAATACATGCGTAGCGAGCGAAGATGCTCAGGGAGGCCATGATCGTCCATGGTACCGGAGAGGAAGGCAGGATTGTTGTGCGGCTCGTCTCCAGAAGAGGAGTTTGGACGGCTAGGGTTCAAGAGGCCGGTGCGGACGCGGTGTCCAAAGCGATGAAGTCGGCCTTCTTCCTGAGACATGTGGCGTGAAGCAAGAGATACGTCGGAGTTGTGCCTTGACCGTAGAGTAAGACCTTCTTCCTCGTCGGAGTCTTGGTTGGCGATGTCTGTGATGCTATTGTCGAGAGTTGGGACCTTGGAGATGGGAGGTGAGTTGCTCGGCATGGAGCCCGAGGAGCTATTAATGGAGTGAGTATCAGAAGGCTGCAGGCGTGTTTCGGGATATTCGTCCTCGAAGCGCTGAATCATGCCTTGAAGAGTCTGATCGAGGAAAAGCAGGCGGCCTGTGGCTGCGTTAGCAAAGAAGTCCGCAGGACCAGTTCTACTAGAAGCCTTACGATATCCCATATCACTACCACTCTTAGCTTCCCTGATTAATGCTGGCTGAATCCTTGCCCGAGTGTTGCGTGCTGTCTCGAGCAGGTTTTTGGACATTGCCCTTGCCTTGCCCGGTTCTTCGAAGTAGTCGGCTCGGCTTCTTGTGGGGGTGTTGGCTCCACTAGCAGGCAGGGATACTATACCCAAGTCGGTTGCTTTGTGAGACAGACAATAGCTCAGGGCTTTGGCGATGCCAGTACCACCAACAATATAATCATTGTCCGGCGCGGAAGACATACTTTCCGGCTCGTAGTTCGTGTCATCGTTCCCGACAAGCTGCATGAGAATTTGAGGCAACTCGACGGGCTTAGGAGCCGCGTTGAGCTCTGGAACTTCGTTGATTGACTCAATGTTACGTAGACAGTATGCGACGACTTGCTTAGCAAGTGCTCTGACAATCTCGTTCGATTCTGGGGACGGCACATCAATGTCCACACATATCAGAGAGCGAGACAGCTTCGCGGCTAGTGTGAGCGATGCGTAAAGTGCCGCTGCCTCCTCCTGTGTTTCTTCGTCCGTGGCGTTGGCGACTCTTGTCAACTCTGGATTTTCGAGGACGTTGATGTGCGCAATTTGAGGGCAATCTGGCAGGATCTCTGCAATTGCAATGGCATCCTCGGGTTTCAGATCTACATCCGCCAGATGTATACGCTTTAGCTCTTTGAACATGGGCATGTACTTTCTGATCAGACACAACGAGGAGCTATGTGAGAATAGGCCCTTGTTGTGGGATAAATCGAGGAATCGGAAGCTGGGCATGGTAATCAACGCTGGAAACAACATCTTCAGCGACTCTGGCGTAAGCCCGGTATCTTGTAGACACAACGCCCAAGTGGGAACGTGTTTGCCAAGGCCTTCGCAAAGTTGAGGTATCCAACTCCCGCAGACATCATTGCCACCAAGGTCAATTCCCTGGCAGACCCCAGAGCGGATGTAGTGGAGAACGTGTTCCAACCCTTGGCTGTCGATATCATTTGTAGCGAGTCCCAGTCGCTGGACACACTGATGATACAGGCCGTCGATGATTTTTCTGATGCTTGACGAGGTCAATGAGCATTCGCCCAGCACAAGTTCTTGTAGTGTAGAACCTCCCAGGCGCTCAGCAATAGCCTTGGACATGATTTCCGCGACGTCTCTAGACCGTGCTTCGTTCGTGGGCACGGTGCCTTGTGGTGTTTCTGTTACTGGCGACGAAACCTGGGCGCGGGGGCGTGGGAACGGTATCATCGAAACGTCGATAGCAACGATGGATTTACACATGTAGATAAACAGTGCTATATGCTTCCAGCCTTCGGCAGTGATCTTGGGGTTGTTCTTGAGAACAAGCTTCTTGATAGCGCAGCCGTGGTCGCCTGTTGCTTGATTAGATCCGTTCTGTACCGGCGTAGATGTCGACCGTCTGGGACCGTCTGGTAATTTCGCAGCCAGTAACCCAGCCAAGATGACCCTAACCTTCTCATCGTTAAGATCCGCGTCTTCGAGGAAAAGCTTCTTTACGGGCACAATGGCAAGCCAGTCGGATAGCGTCAAAACATCAGCGAGCTGCAAGCGCGAGCCCGTAAGATCGAGGCTGGTGACCACACCTGGATGCGCAAGCGAACAGGCGGACGGAGAGGATAGTTGATCACATATACGTTTCAAAATGGGCGATTCGCGCAATTGGCAGCATCTCCGGTAAATGCGCAGGGGATCTATCGTTGGACGGTCCTGGGACTTGGGCGGTGTCACTGCAGTTGTGGCAGGTACACCCTCGACACTGCCATGGTCGCTTTCTCTAGTGAACTCGATTGGTATTGAGCCGTTCTCCTCGGCTTTGCGGCGCTTCTTCTCCTTCCTCTCCTTGCGTTCCGCCTCAGATCGCTTCTTCTTCTCCTTTTTGTGGCTGTTCTCCTTCTTTTCCTCGTCCGGCACCGTGCCCTCTGGGTTCGGATCGCTCTCGTTGCCAAGACTCTCCTGCGCAACGGCGACTACACCGTCCTTCTCCTTCTCTTCGACCACGGCTGCTGGATGCTTGAGCGCCTCGCCTTCGCCGCGCTCCTTGAGTTTCTTCTCTTTGCGCTTCTTGTTCCTGTCGTCCACATCCACATCGTCTTTGTACCTCGGCCCTCCGGCAATTTCGACATCTACGCAGAAAGCGACCTTGCGCAGTTTGCTCGTATCCAGCTCGGGCACCAGGCAGCGGTTGCGGTTCGGATCGACGTTCATGACCTTCCTAGGGCACATGCCACCGTTGGGGTACACTTTGCCAGCCGTACCGACCTGAGTACCCGATGACAGCCGTCGCAACGCACTCGACAGGAACGAGGCCTTGGGCGGCTGAGGCACGTACGGCTCAAGGCCATTTTGGCCACCAGTCGACGCTGCTTGGATGCCGTTCAGCGCCCCGTTGGCGGAAGGCGAGATTCCATTGGTGCCATTCGCGGGCGCGGGCGAGCCTTGGGCCTGGGCATGGGTTGTCTGGGCCGGCGGGTTCTGCGACGAGAACTTGGAGCTGATGCTGGATATCCACGACGTGCTGCGGATCCTGCCCTTGGAGTCTGGTGGTGTCAAGCTGCCCGGCTTCTCCGCGCTGCCTCGGCTAAGCAGGGTCGGTCGCTTGGGGGGTATCTTCTGGGGCGGCGTCGTCGTCGGACTTGGTTGCGAGTTTTGCGCGGCGGGTTTCTGGGGCGCTGGCACCGTCAAGGGCGCGGGCTTGGTGGTGGGAACAGCGTCATGGTGGTTCTGCTGCTCGCGCTCGTCGTGGTGGGGCTGGGCGGGGAGGCCGCCATGCGACGACGTCTTTGGGGGCGCGTCCCTCGTCAGGCCGGGCGAAGAGGGCGCCTGCTGGCGATGGTGGTGATCTATCAGACGGGCGCTGTTAGTCTGGCCCTCGCATCTTCAGCGTCACTTGGCTCCAGCGGCCAGCGGAGCCTCCGGGTAAGCGGCTCTCACCTCTAGTAGAATGATGCAGCCACGATACGTCGACGCCGTGGATGTCTTCCATTGCCGCCGCCGTGTCGTGCGGTGCTTGAACTGCCGTCATTGCGAGAATGCGAACGTCGCCATGTGTCGCGGGTGAATGCCGTTGGTCAGTGACGCGGAAGCCGCGGGGGTTATGGCTTTACGAGCTTCGATCGCCGCCGGACTTGATTGGAAATTGTTGCGTGATACTGCCGGCGCCCGGAATCACCACCTGCTACCAAGACTGCGCAGATTTGTGTGCAGGCTCAGAGAAGACATGCGACAAGATTCATGCTTCTTGATTCGTGCCATTTTCGGCTCCAACGACGTGATGGGTGGGCCTCCGACAGGTCTCAGGCTGTTCGCGAGGATCCGTATGACGAAAGCGTCGGCGGCATCGGACGGCTCTTCATCTCCAATGCTCACCTATACGGCCCGCATTCTTTGACCCTTATACCTTACCGACCAGTGTCAGCGACTGCGACTCTTTTGCTATTGTACCTAGCGCAGCACTCCTCTACAGTGCCCGTTGCCTTGCACGTCTTTGTTGCCGATGCGCCGCGCCGATCAAAAAGCTGACTGGTGAAGGACTTTTTCGAGCTGCTAGCTGACTGTGCGTTCGCGTTCGCGCTGGCGTTGAAACAGCGACATCGTCTAGATCACTTGCTGGCCAAGTGATTGGAAACGTTGGGAAACGTCATGCAAACTTAAAACATCACATGTAGCCTTCTAATAGCAAGCGCGTGTTGTATCTTACTGTTTCGATTTGCCTTCTGCACTTGACCCTATGAGTCAACAACTGGTTTATGCTGTTGCCTTGCATATGAGGAAGCTATGTCTATTGTCTACTGTATCGCTGCTACAAGTTATCAGCTACAACAGAAAGCGAAGGTGCAACAAGTAGCTGTGCATCATACAGCTTCACGCTATCAGATGCTACTGTCAACTTTCCATCCAAGTCGGCAACAGCATGTGCAAGGGAAGGGCGGAATGAACTAACGAATATCACATCATCGTCATCATCATCATCATCACACACGCTGGGTCAAAGTACTGGCTTATGGTAGCCAACTGCAGCATGCCATCTCATCATCTCATTAGAGTCGTGGAAGGCTATCTACAGCACCGAAACAGGTATCATTCCAATCCGTGCCCAGACGCCGGATGCCGTGCTTTTGTCATCATCAAACGTTACCGAAGGACAACTTATGCCTTGAGCTCGGCAATCTTCCTCTGGACGCGCTCCTCCTTCTCGGCCTTGCTGAGCTTGACGCTCCTGTACTTCTTGGACTCGGCCTTCCACTCCTCCTTGGTCTTCTTGTTGTCCGACTCTTCCTTCTTCCAGGGGTCCTCACGGATCTGCTTGTGGGCATCCTGGTAGAGCTCCTCAAGACCATCGGCCTCAAGGTCGTCGTCGATGTAGCCGCTGAATTGGGACTTGTAGCGCTCCTCGTCATCGTCGGCGAGGGTCTCCATGTACTCAGCGACGTGGCCAGCGAAAATGTACTTGCGAAGGGTCTCAGCATCGAGCTCCTTGCCCTCAATGTCGTAACCGGGGAAGCGGTTCTCGGAGTGAGGAATGAATACACCACCGTCGGAGCAGCCCTTCATGGCACCGAAGACACGGGCACCAGTAGAAGTGCGGACGAGACCGACATCCAAGAAGACCTTGAAGGGGCGGCGCTCCTCACCGTCGACCTCAGCAGCCTCGGTGAGGGTGAACTCACCGTCAGCCTCCTCGACACCGACGAAGTCCTCGTCCATCTCGAGCTTCTTGAGGGTGCGGCGAGCGAGAAGGAGACCGGTGGCGTAGGCGGCGGACCAGTTGGTGAGACCGTGGGTGATGCCGTAGGGCTTTAGCTCGTGAGCGCTGCAAAATCTGTTAGCCAATTCCCTGCCATATTGCAGTGCGCAAAACGTACTATGCGGCCATGAAGACCTTGTCACCGCCCAATCTCGGAGTGGACGATCTGGGCGACGATGTCCTTGTTGGTGAAGCGGACGACGAGACGGTACTTGGGCGCATTGTACTTGTTCTTCGCCTGAGTGATCAACCTCTTACGGGCATAGTAATCGGCTGCGCACAGTCAGTAGCTGGTTTCGAGGGAGACTTGGAGAGATAACTTACTCTTGCCCTGGCGGCGGCGCTTGTACTTCACTTGGTACCGCGAGAAGTAGGCGTCATTCTTTTGGAGTTTGGACTTATCTCAGAGTCAGCGATTGACGCTTCAAACCCGCATTCGAAGCAACTCGCGAAGACTCTACTCGACTGGCGTCGAAGCGGGGGATCCCATCATGAAGATGGGCAGAGCAATGCTACGAGCATTCGAGGTGTATACTTACGAAAGGCATCTTGACCGGCTGTTCTCCTTGTCGTACTTGAGGATGGCTGCGGGAGGAAAGTTCGTGGTCCTGGCCCGCGATATGAATATCGACGTGGCCCGTGCTGAATGTGGGCGTTAGCGCGGTGCTCCAGTCGCGACTCCCGCTTTCGAGGTGGGTGACCAGGAACGCCATGACATCTGTACATGGGAGTCTTGAGAGGTACCAGACGTCTCTGCCATTACTGATGCTGATACATTGGGATACAGTACTCCATGCTGCATGCACTCAGATTAGCTAGACGATTTACACTGCGCTCAGGCTTTGCCATTTTGTATTATGTAGAAGAAACATGCGTGCCTACCATTACCGGAGATTGCTGTGCAGCAATTGTTTGGCGTGAGATCTACGACTTGGCTCAGTGCTCGCTTTTTCCTCCGGTATCAATATGTAAACACCTGCTGAAATTGCAGCTCTCAAGTCTGTTCAGCACGAGCATTGAAGAGCAGCAAGTACCTAGGGTCCGTGCCACCCCGCCAACAACGTCAACCCCACGAGGCACCGAGCACCATCAATCGTCAGCTTGTCAACACCAATTATAACCACCGCCTTTACACTCCAAGCTCTAGACAGCATGTCCGAAGTACCCATTGGTATGTTGAGCTATTGCCTCATTAAAAAAGAGCTCTGCTGATGCGACGCCTAGTGCTTGACGGCGGAACCGGCTTCCTTAAGGCAGGCTACGCAGGCCAGGTCGGTCTCCCTCGCGATCGCATACTTACTATCAGAACGCACGAAGCTGACTAGCCCTTGTCTCAGAACTTCCCCGATCACCAGTACCCGTCCATTGTCGGCCGCCCAATCCTGCGAACGGAAGAGCGCGATGGCGGAGACATCCAGCTCAAGGACATCATGTGCGGAGACGAGGCGGCGGCGGCGCGCTCTATGCTCCAAATCACCTACCCCGTATGTGGTTACTCAAGAACTGTTGAGGGTAGCCTCAGTGTACGCTAACGCTGTCTCACCCTCGACAGATGGAGAACGGTATCGTCAAGCGCTGGGATGACATGCAACACCTCTGGGACTACACATTCCTCGAGAAGATGAAACTAGACCCCACCGGACGCAAGATCCTGCTCACCGAACCGCCCATGAACCCTCTGAAGAACCGAGAGACAATGTGCGAGGTCATGTTCGAGCGCTATGGCTTTGGAGGCGTGTACGTGGCTATTCAGGCTGTATTGGCATTGTACGCGCAGGGCTTGTCGTCGGGTGTGGTAGTCGACTCAGGAGATGGTGTCACACATATTGTCCCTGTCTACGAGAGCACTGTTCTCAACCACCTTACGCGCCGCCTTGACGTTGCTGGGCGCGACGTCACACGCAACCTCATTGCGCTACTGCTACGAAGAGGATACGCACTCAACCGAACCGCCGATTTTGAGACTGTCCGCCAGATTAAAGAAAAGCTATGTTACGTATCGTACGACCTCGAGCTCGACCAGCGCCTCAGCGAAGACACAACGGTACTCGTTGAGTCGTACACCCTTCCAGATGGTCGGGTCATCCGAGTAGGCAGTGAGCGTTTCGAAGCACCCGAGTGTCTGTTCCAGCCGCATCTTGTGGACGTTGAGCAGCCTGGTATCGCCGAGTTCTTGTTCAACACAATCCAATCCGCCGAGGTCGATGTCAGGAGCAGTCTGTACAAGGCGATTGTGTTGAGTGGTGGAAGCAGCATGTATCCAGGTCTTCCCAGTCGGTTGGAGAAGGAACTGAAGCAGCTGTGGCTCACCAGGATATTGGGCGGAAACCCAGAGCGATTAAACGTATGTTGCGCTTGCCCATTATGCATGGCTATACTGACGGGAATTGCAGAAATTCAAAGTCCGCATCGAAGATCCACCACGGCGACGCCACATGGTCTTCCTTGGTGGGGCTGTGCTCGCAAACATCGTAAGTAGTCGTGAACCATCTGACTCGAACATATGCTTACTCTACGCAGATGGCCGACAAGGAGGACATGTGGATATCAAAGGCGGAATGGGAGGAGCAGGGTTCACGAGCCTTGGAGAAGTTGGGTGCGAGATGAGCATAAGAAGGACGAAGCTAGGCTTGTGGTTGATCATCACAATACATTTTGGCAAACAAAAACCTATGTCGCTGCCCATGTGCCAAGCATGGCGTTCTGCATCTCATTCCTCGGCTGTGGTCTATCACACTAACAAGCTCAATTATGGCGCACTCTCATCACCTCACATCCTCGATAGTGTAAATACCGCTAAACTGAGACACGACTATTGATGTGCCCTCCGCCTCCGAGCACATCCGGGGCCAAGGTTGTGTGTGAAGTTCAGCCGCACGGGAGATCGACGGATGTTGTACGACAGTTAATTGCTCATCCTCCTGCAGCAATCTATGTGCACAGATAGGCATCGCATATCTGTCCGTCTCGGCGCTGCATCGCTCCAACTCTGGTGTATTGGAAATTGCCTGGCCGTTCCATGAAAACAGTCCTCAACATTAACTCGTAATCGGTCGATTGCCCATCCGTGGCTTTAGAGCTGTGTACTACATGTTGTCGATCACATCCAATAGCTTGGAGCTATACACCGGGCATTTGCGTCGTACTTGAAATCTAGCATTACCATGTATAGCTCAGAGTGTCCTTCCAATAGCACGATCCTAGCTCCGTTCCTTCGTAATTCAGAACATGCAGTAGAAGGTTCACTGCCAACGTCGCTACGAAAGTGACAATCGCCCAGTCTGACGTGTTGGCTGCGGTCAATGAGATGTCAGGCGCGCGCACGATTTGGAAGCTGGAAGAATGGTTCCAGAAGACCCGATACGACGTCTTTGTCAGTTCTAGTGCGCAAGCTTAATTAAGACTTCATGACGTTCGTTGTATTGTCGCGCGAACTTCCGGAAGTGCCAATTTCTCAAAGAACAGGAACAGGGCTGCGGTTACGACCGGTAAATATTGCACCATCTCATGATGTGTGTGCGTGTGCTGCAGGATCCGGAGAAGTGGCAGATGAAGTTTGCGCGCGCTAGCTTCAATATCGGTACATGCAGGAAATGGACGAAGCGCTTAGATTATCACAACCACCTACCCGCGTTATCCTGCAAGATGGCTAAATTGTGGAAGCGTGGCATTGCCCGCTAGGTGCTGGCGACGCCCCTCTTCATGCGCTGTACTTGCCATGGAAGATCCTTTGGAACAAATATGGTGAGGTAGATGCAAGCCGAAACACTATTTCACCGCAGATGACTGTGGGCCGCAGAAGCGTTGGAGCTCACACGCGAGGGCGGAGTGCGTGTGCTCACGTGTTGGGCATTGCATCCGGCGCTAATCGAGGTAGCGGAATTCCAACCCTCCTGCGTCATTCATCGTAGCAGCAAACGCGCGATGGACACTAATTTCCAAAGAGCGCCCCACTATAGTTGGACCAAGGACATGCCTAACAGATGACGATAGCAGTTTCCAGGCGAGTCGGCATGTCTCGCTGCAATGCCTGGCGGTGCACAAAGATGCGTTGTGCCGCCCACTTCTCTCACGCGTCAATCAGACTGTGACCCGCCACTACCCCAGCGATCGCAAGCTTCGAACCCTGCGTGAAGGTGATACAGAGCCAGGGTCCAAGAGCCCGTGCATCCATCCCATCCTGTCATAAAGACCGTGGTAGCACGACGGCGAAGGCGCGCTTTCAGCGGAAGATCAACCTCGTTCCTTTCCAATAAGATCGGCCTGCATCCCAAGAACCAAGCATTCCCAGGACCCATATTAAACACGCTTACCGCTCGGAAACACGGTACTTTGTGTTCGTTACTTGCTCTCTCACCACCTCTTTAAAGATACATATCTAGCCTCACCCGGGCCGCTATATTTCCTCATAACACTCTCAAACAAGGCCCACCTGCCAACGTCTTATGAGGCCAACTTCGCCCTCTTCTTTCTCTCGACTCCTCCACAACTCCAACACACCCCACCAAAACATGGCGCCCCGTACGGCAGACCGCAACATGCCCTCCATCAGTTCGCCCCTGTCGCCCAGGACTGAGCCGCTTGCCATTCCCTCTCAGGCGCGACGACGACCCAACCTCAACTCACGCCAGTCCTCAAACGCCCCCACCTCTGCATCTGGGCACTTGAGGCTGCCATCGTTGCCACGCTTCCACCCAGCCAACTTTGCATCTTCTCAGAATTCCAGCCAAGCAATCACGCCAGTGACGGGTCCAAACAGCCCCAACACGCCCTCGTCGCCCCAGAACGCTCGGAGCAGGCAGTATGAGGTCCAGCGACAAATGTACGCCTACCAGCAGCAACTGCTAGCCAACACCAACGGTCAGGTCCGCGCACCAACATCGGCAAAGCCCACGAGCCCACGTCTGGAGCCGCTTGCAAGTCCTGGAGCAGTCACGCCCCTTGAGCTTGGAGGCGCCGATGGCTACCTTACTGCCGGTGTCAACCCAGCTGATGCAGCTAAACATGTCGAGCACTTGATCCGCGAAGAAGCCCGTCGACGTGGTGACTGGTCTCCCGGACGGCCGACTTCTGTGGGCGGTTGTTGACTCACCGACCAAAAGTTTATGCAATCGTCACCAAGGAAAAGTGCAAGAGCATAAAACGATAGCACACGTCTACAGCATATCTATCCGTTACACGCATTTCGGAGTTCGACTACCATAGGGAATCGGAGCATCATCGGCGTTCTATCTTACCACACGGAAACGATGGGTGGCAAACCCGCGAGAGATTATTACCTCACAAGAAGGATCTCGGGACTTTGGTCCTCCTCGCGAGTTCGCTACCTCATGACCATCACATCCAAGCGCTGGAGTGTGGCAGCCAACATTCACTTCTTCGATACCGGTCCTTTTGTGTTCTTTTACTTAGTTTACACTGCATCTCGCCTGTCCACAGCTTGATCACAAGCGCTCCGCCCCATTTGGTGTCGAGCAGGACAGATGACGAGTTTTCAACAGCAAGCAGTTCAATCATACCAACATCTCACACGGCTTCGCGCCCAAAGTTGCTCGTGATTGTCATCTAATCGGAATTTGCCACTTAACATGTGTCGTACCTTCCCATTCAGTTTCCTCTATGCAAGTGCACTAAAGTTTGCCGACTTTGCCGTACACTCCGCTCTACTCATCTCCGCACCGTATCATCGCTCCCTTTGACCCCCTTGAGCGGCCACTAGTCGCAGCGCTGTCCGTACCATCAATTACGGTGTAGCATAACCCCACAGAATACACAAAGTTAGTACGCCGCTGCTGGCAAGACGAACTGTTCTTTCGGCAGCATATTTCCTCCCAATCATGCCCCTGCCAACGCACGGCGACAGCGGGAAACATGAGTCTTGGACGGCAATCCCCTTATCTACCATCCCCTCATGTCTTGAGGTGGCCCTCCATCTCACATGGCGTCGCAACCTGATTCGGCACACATTGGAGATCAACCGTCGCACTCAGAACACAGCCAAGCGCACTGATCAAGGCCACCTTTGCGCCCCCGCAGCCTAGCAAAATCGATCTTCACATTATAGACTGGATTGGGAATTATCCACATGGCTTCCTCACGCCATTAGCACAGTGTGTACGAGTCATCTTGGCATCAGCGATACTTGGGCTCAACGATGCATGCTTTCGGACAACGCTCTCATGCGATTTGAGAGTTGAGACACATGCTTAAACATACGTCGTTGCACATGAAGGCGGTTGAGGCGCTACATCATGAAGGTGGCTGTGTGGTACCCGAGCAGCACGTCGAACGGCATGCGACACGGTCGTTGGCTGGGTTTCAACGCCGAGCGTGGCCACAGCAGATGGCACAATCCCAACCCAACAAACAAGTGCAAACGTGTCTATTCTTGTGCAAGCGCAAAGTGGTTGCAGATATCTCTCTCTGGACGCCTATGGAACAGCCAATTTTGGGGGATGGATGTTGCTGATACGAACAGACCGTTGCATCTCTGCGGCGTGCTTCAGCCGAACATTGCCATTCATGTGGGTCTTCGAGATGCAGGATGCGTTAGAAGTCGGTTAAAGTACAACAGGATGAATTATTCGAGTGAAATGACTCGGCATCCAAACGCTAGCTGTAGGTCCAGTGCTAATAGGTGCATTGGACTCCGGTGCAGAACATATCAACGTCGGCAGCATGCAGCGCACCGCGAGCAAGAATGGCGAGCCAGAAACCTGACTGATACCCCGTTGTTCAAAACTGCGTCTTACTCGCGGGCACTGAGGTCGATCAGACCCTGGAATTTCCTTATCAAAACCAGGCAGATCTTATCAGGATTTGCACAACTTAGCACCTTCATTCGTTCAGAGCCTAGCAATCATGGAGACTTTTCACAAGCAAAGTGTTTGATCGAGTAGGTACCTGCTTAACAAGCAACGACCTGCCTTTGACACGATCGCCGATGTGCTGGGAATGGAAAAGATGTTCCGCTGAGCAAGTCTAAGCGAGTAGCGTCTGCGGCTTAACTTGCCTTTCTGATCGACACAGAAATTCGAGGTGCGGTGCTGACCGAGGACCATGGAGGCGAAAACCAAAGGACGACAGTCATTGATACAGTGACTAAGCGATCCCAGGACAATTGTCGAAGTGGAGACCCGTCTTACCGCCGTCCTCGCTGGGTACGGACGTACCGCCTACAGTGCCATCTAGAGAAGGTGTCGCTGTGCAATTGGTGACGATTTACAGCACCATGTTACTCGTGAAACTGGCCACTCCACACGAGTTCGTACAATTGCACCGTTCAACGAGCTTATTTTAATGCGAAATTGTGGATCCTCTAATTCAAGGAAGGCCCGAAAGCCGGCGGAATGCGCAGAGTTAACTAAACTTCAAGATCGAAACGAATTCCTGCGTATGACGTCAGTGGCGTCATGACCACGAAGCAGATCGCGAACACAGTCAAAGCTTGCTTGTCTAACCGTGAACAGACAAGAGGCTTCACACCGTCCCTCACAGCTTCAAGCTGCTAATTTGGAGAGAATGTATGATTCGGAGAGCAAATATTTGTAATGTGGGCTCCACGCACACCGCAGTTGTTACCAAGCCACCGCCAATACGTCCTGACGGACATCGGGAGTTTCGGAAAGATCCTTTCGATGCACTGTTCTTACCATGAATGAAACATCTCTATGGCATTAATATCACATGCGTACCGGGCGGAGTGCTACTCCGATCGTCCTGAGAATTAAGGCCCCCGCCGCAGCTCACGGTTGGATTCGACATGGGAAAGACGTTTCCCCATCTTCGGACCGTTTACGGTGGTGCTCCCCACGGCGCTACATACTTCGCGGAACGTGGACACTACGCGGCAACTAGGATGAATGCATCGGAGTGAACATCAGCAATTCTAATCGAGATTGGAAACTGGAACTGTAAGAGGAAGGTCAAACAGGTATACGCGGCTGTTAACTCGCTGGAATGTCATTTGTGCCGCGCTGTGCGGGAGCTGGTTTGTTGCTATCTCAGTCGTAACCTTGGAAATCTTCAATCTGGCGTCAGGCCTACCCACAGTTCATACACAAAGACCAGCTTCATGTACCACTCACCAGACGCCAGCACAATGGCCGCAGATGGTCTTCACGAACTTGACTGTCCAGCGATCATGAACAATTTAGGACAACGGGACGGCAAACCCGCATTAGTAGCCATAACCATTTGCATCTCTGCACGTTGCGCAGATCGTGCGAGTGCCGAATTGCAGCCTTGCGACCGATATGCAACCGACCAAAGACAGTATGGCGAGGACGGGACGATGCATCAGGAACTCCACACCCGGGCAAGGTATAAAGACCGTACAAGTCCCGATTGCTGGGTCGGTCATACTCCGGTGTCTTGGGTGCTCGTGCGAGCAAGATTTCGGACAATCCCAAGCAGGAATCTCTCGATCCTCATTATCAAACCCGATCGGAGCGTCAAGTCCCAATGCTGCAAGGCTTCTGTGCCGGTGGAGGAAAGGAGATCTTTCGTGTTAGGCTCTGGTAAGACTGATCTTCGGCAGTACAATCAAGTTTGCTGGATTATGATGAACGGTCGATCGAAAATGTTGGGAGACGCGGCACAAGATTGCTGACTGGCGCGGTCTACGCGGCTTTTTCGAGACGGGCAACGTTCCTTTGTTTACCGCTGGCATTGCCCTGTTCGTAATATAGCCACTGAAGAGGTGGACGACCAGGAACCATCCATCATGGTTTTCCTTTTCGCGCATACGCATTAGGCACGTTAGGCTGACGCGGCGATGGCGAAGATGTGGCTACCAGCAGCAATGTCTCTCCACGGAGATAGAGAACGAACAGCGTACAACAGGTCCCAAGCAGCTCATACTGCATCTATCCAACCCGAGTCAAACTATATCACGACACAACGATAGTGAAAGATCTGGGACAGGCCACGATTCAATCATGTCTAATCATGTCTTTGCGAATCCATTTGGTGAGACGTTCTTCGGCTTTGTCCATGTTCACCTCCTTTGAAGCTTTGCGCTTAAGGACATACTTCAGACCGCGGTAGTGATGGCCGCCGCCTAAATGAGCAAAGAACTGCCGCTTCGTATTGAAGCGCCTGTTGCATACGATGCATGGGGACGGATCTGGGGTGTCCAGCTCCTTGTCGTCGTAGTAGTACTTTGCTGGCGCGTCTGCGAAGCCCCGTATAGTGAGTCCGGGCTCGCTCTTAGGTTCACTAGCTGCTGGCTCCGAGTTGACTGGCTCCGGGTTTAATGGCTGCTTACGATTGTGTCCTGTCTTTTTGAGATGTTTTCGGAGTGCACGCCTCTCTGAGAAACTTTGCTGGCACGCACGGCATTCTACGCTGTTTGGCTGGAATAGCTGCAGGCCGATGGCAGTGAGCTGATCCTTGACTTGAGTTGCATTCGGTCGCACGCCGCGTTCGGAACTCAGCATTTTGCTGATTAGGCTCAGCAAATCAAGCGAATAATCCACGGCAATGTCCACGGGCTCGATATCGTCCACGACCAATGGTTCAGCGAGTGAGCAGAGTCTGTAAAGGACACAGCCAAAAGCATAGATGTCAGACTTTTGGGAGAATGCAGCTGCATACCCTGGGCCTCGAATTTCCTTGGGTTGTTAGCACAATTCCATTTACGACGCGGCTTTCGATCATACGGGCGCTTCGTATCCTGGCGTGCCTCTCTGTCCAGTGATACGCGTACCAATAGTTTGCACGTGGCTTGCGATGCCGAAGTCTGCGACGACTAGATCAGGCACATCGCGCTGCGTTATTGGGTTCCAGGGTTCTCGAAGCAACACTGTTTCTAGTCAGTGACAGCAACCGCTTCGATGATCATTGTCACATTACCGTTCATGGGCTTCATGTCCTGGTGCAGTATGTTCATGCTATGACAGAACTCAAGCGCAACAGCAATTTGATAGCCTATCTCAACTATTTGGCTTTCCGTAAACCGCTGACTGCTCTTGTTAGCAGAGAATGCCTAGTCACACGAATTCAAAACATACGCAGCTCCCCGCAGCATTTGTACTTGTCGGTCCAGATCCTTCCCCCGATAGTAATCCATGAAGAACGACAGCGTATTAGTCTTGCGATTGTACTCGAGTCCATCATGCAAGGCCGCAATGTGCGGCGCCCCGCGCAGCGCTTTCATATGATCATACTCATCCAAGGCGGCTTCTGCATTCTCACGCTGAACTTGCTTGCACGCGACAACCTAACTCGTCAGCTCCATTCTACTGTTAGACCCAGATACAAACCTCGCCATCGCGCAAGACTTTGAAGACTTGACCGAATCCTCCACCCCCAATCCATTTCAGGACTTGATAGGAGGGCCTGTCGCTTTCTATCAGCCAGGGGCGGTTTGGCATTGTGAGCCGCTGAGTTCCGATTTCGATACGTTCAGGAGAAACGAGGGTGAGACTTGGTGGTGCGGAGTCGTACCGGCAGCTTTGCCCTATTGAGATGTAGCTGACGATCTAGCCTGAAATAACCATGCAGCACATTCCCTTACATGAGCATCTGCTGCCTTGATCACATAAATTGCTAACTCGCCCGGAGTTCGCTCTTTGCAAAGTCACCGAATAAATGTTCGCGTCACTGTACCAAGCTTCACATGTCATCACGGCTCAAAAGAGGGTTCGCACCGAAAAGCTTCAGCAGTCGCTGTGAATGAAGTGTATTACGAACGCCTGGGCATGTATCGATCGCTCACCGCTGTAGTCTTGGGCTGGAGTTCGACTACATCGAGACTGTTTGCCAGTCTCGATGCTATGCAGGGATGCGCTCGTTGACCAGCTTCTGGGTCCACTTCGGCAATGCGGTTGAAGGTCGCCTGGTTTGCTTCGTCACTGCACAGGGTTTTGATAGTTGTTTTGAGCGAATTGATGATCAACTTGCTCAGGCTTTCACCCATGATATCAATTTCACCACAGACACACCACTGGTGCATTCAATGTCGAAATACCGCGCTTGCTGGTCTTATGAGCAAGTTTTCAGGTCATATACTGGCTCTTCGATCCAATGATATGCTGTCACAAGCTAATGAGTTGGATGTGACATCCCGCATTGGCACTCATTCCTCCCGACGGATTGTCCATTGGCATGGAAACCTTCTCAACACATGAGTCGACCTCACCAATTCACAAGATACGCTATGTGACATCGGCCATCATGCCGCTGACTTACCGCTTCACACTTTTACACGAGAATGCAGCACGCTGCCTATATAAGCCTGCGCCTCCTCATTACTTCTCCATCATCAACATCCATCTTCTCATCTTCTATGACACCATGGCTGTGGGCGACAGGGCTTGATCTTTTCGGATGTTTGAGTCTGTGGATTAGTATCTGCCTCCAAAAACCACAGAACATTTACTAGTATGGTATCTTTGTCTGCCCTACACTGTGGTGACTATTGAAAATGACGATGGTGATGTCGATGGGGTGATGTGAAGTTATCTACTAGGGCGGGTTGAGAATCTGCGAATCATGTGTGAGGGCGTCATGGTGATGATCGTCATCGTCAATAAGTTTCAGCGATCAACGCCATCTACTGCTCGTAATCACGGCAAGAACAAGTACATGACTTGTCCTATTTACTTTTCCTCCTCACAGTCATCTTCGAATCCATGCTCGCGAGAGGAAGAGCAGCATGTGCTCAACCATGGAAGTGTAAAAGGTAATTGTGAGGTCAAAACGCGCGACGGGGTTGTTCGCTCTCGGCAGTACTCATCTTTCAACCCGCTTGGGAACTCAAGGCTCTCTTTACGACAGAAATTGCCCGAGCTAGAACAGTTGGGCTCCATTCAATGGTCTGAAGCTATACACAGGGCGCTGTTGTATGAAACGAAAACTGGTACTGCTACATGTCGCTTCAATATTGGCGATGGCATTGCTCACTTTCTTGAGTAGACACTTCTCTTGTTAGTTTGAGACTTCCAAGATGGTACGCAATGGTTGCTACGCAAAGGCACCTGCGTTTTCATCTTCGCAAGAAGCCAAACGCGCTACCAGAAACAACGTCCGCATGAGATGAGATAGCGAAATAGAAGGTGATATACCCCTAGTTTTAGCCTATCAGTGATCGACGTCATGAAACAATTCTCGTGGCAATGGGTATCATTCTATTCGGCCGTGTTAAAGACGACTAAAGTCCGGAGCTTAGAAATACACTAACGAAGGGTTTCTATTAAATGCGCAGCGATCATAGCTTCTTCAAGCTGGCGACGTCATGTTCCCAAGGCGCATCCAAGCCTTCGTTTAATTCGTACTTCTGCGGTGCATCACCGTAAACTGTAAAACTCTTCACTCCAACCTTTGTAGAGAAGCCAAACGATCCCGCCATCTTGATCTTACCACCTCCATACGTGAAGGCAATTTCGCTGGTACCGTCTTGCACCAAGCTCTCTCCATCGTCCAGATAAAGTGTACCGCTGGCCTTGTCGTCTGCATCGGGCGCGACGAGTAATTCGAAGTCGTTGTCTCGGAGGGCTTTTGTTGTCATTGCGCTGTTGACGCGCGCTGGAATGATGGATCCGCCTTTGACAAGGATTGCAATGTCACTCGTGCTCAAATTGTTGTATGTAATGGTGGATCCAGTGCCAGTGATAGGCTTCTGGTCGCGTATATCGTACCAGACTCCCTGGGGCACGTAGAAAGAGACTGAGGTAGATTTTTCATCCGTTACTGGATTGATGAGCATAGAGGGTCCGTAAAAGAATTGCGTGTCAATGGCGAAAGTCTTGCTATCCGTCGGGTACTGCATCCTTTGAGAAGTCAGCATGACGTGCTTGTGAACATTGTATGCTTGCTTACCAAAGGGGTGCTAGCATCGGAGTGCCATCTACGGTCTGCTTATGCATGGCAGTGTAGATATAGTCAAGCAGCCTGTAGCGAATGTCGATAGCCTTCCGTGCTGCCTCTGCGACTGATGTCCAGCGGTAAGCCTCTTGAGGAATTGCGTTGTTGACGTTGTGATTCCTGTAGAAGGGGTAGAAAGCACCAAGTACAGTCCAACGAGCGCACAGATGCTCATTGGTGTTCTGAAGGAAGCCACAGACATCGGCGCCGGCCTAAATTATGTTAGCGAGACTCTGCGTTGTGATCAGATAAACTTACCATTGGAACTTGGAAGATCGAAACAAATTGGAGTAGGTGACGAATCGAAATAAGATATTGGTCCCATGCTGACAGGTTGTCACCAAGCCAATGACCTACGTGCGCACCAGCACCTACGAAGGTGCTCCGCGTGATAACCATTGGTCTCTTGTCAGGTCGTCGGTTGAGCATGCTGTTTCGGCTTGTCGTACTCATCATTGTCCCATAGCTGAGGCCACTCGTCAGATGTCATCATTGTCAGATTATTGCAAACACTTACAGATTGTGTGTATCATACTCAGCTAAGCCGTTTTGATGAATAATGTCAGTATCCGCGGTTTTATTGCTCAGAACTCGGAAGGCGTTATTAATTTTGTATGACGGATCGAGCAGATTTCGATTGGGCAATCCCTTCTTATTACCCGAGGCGCTGGCTTCACGTTTTGAATTTTCGCGGTCGTTGGTCAGGTCAACAGCTGCATCTTTCATCGAACCGCGGCCGACGGGGTAAGAAGCGGTTCTTCTTCCATTTTTCTCCTTGACAATCCCGTGGCTGGACGCGCGTGAGATATCGCGCGCTACGATTCCTTCAGTGTCTGATGTCGCTGCTGCACCCGGGTTTTGTGCAGGGGTATTCGCAGAAGTTTGATGGTTCGTTCATGTCGATCCAAAGAGCATCAATGTCCAGCCCCAGTTCTCGGCATTGAAGAAGCTGGAAAACTCCGAGTTCCAGTATTCTTGGGTATTGGAATGGAACCAATCCGGGAACACTGCAGTCCCAGGCCACACACTGCCTTGGTGACATAGTCCTGTTCTTCTTCAAGAAAATATCAGCATTGACTCCATTGTTGTAGGCATCGTAGTTCTGTGCCGCAACCGCTGCATCTCGTGTTAGCTCACATCAACTTTCTAGTAGTTGATGTAACCGACCTGGGTCAACCATGACAATATAATGCTGATCCTTGCTGTGTAGGTCACTGATCAAGGCCCGCATCTTATCGAGGGGAAAGCTTTGTCCCAAAGTGAAAACTTTGTAGCCGTCCATGTAGTCGATGTCTATTCGTATTAAGCTTGAAGCAGTGTGCATCGGGAATAGATAGACCTACCTGTCCACATGGTCTCGAGAGGGATGTTTGCCTTGGAGTAGTTGGCAACGACTTCAGCCACCTGATCCGCACTTTCGTAACCGAAACGGCATTGATGGAAACCGAGACCCCAGTATGGCATCATGGCAGCCTTTTGTGTGATCTCGCTGTACTCACGAGCGACGTCAAATGGAGCTGGGCCAGCCATGAAGTAAAGATCGATGACGCCGCCAATGACATTGTACTCGAGATATTGGCCGTTGTCGTTGTTGATCTTAATGTCCATACCGTTGCTGTTAAGCAGAAGGACACCATGAGAGAGACCGGATCCGGCTCTGTGCTCGTAGTAGACGGGATGGGTGCCGTACAAATTCGTCCCAACTGGGACTCCGCCAGCGTCTCGGGCCCACATGGTCCTCACATAGTTTGATGTCGGTAGTCGCAAGGAGTCTGTGTGCTCGCCTAGTCCATAAAGATTCGGGTTGTCTGGCAACGACGTCCGTAATCGCCAGTATTGCGACTCGAAAACCAAGTCAGATCCTTTTGTCGAGAATATCTCTTCTCCATTGCTTTTCCGAGTGACTGTAAACGAGAATGGTTCTTCTTCGATGGACACGTCCAGGAGTGATGCACTAGAGCTAGCAGATCCAGATGGCCTTGGTACAACGGATTCAGGCACTTGGTAGACTTGCTCATCCTTGTCATATATGATGACATGGAGTCGAGAGTCTTCTCTGTTAGCTGATGCCATGTAATGCATGCATTACGGTCGAAGAAGGGGGTGGTACATACCAGTTTGCCACTCAGCCCGAAACTTGAGATCTTGAAGGTCTTCGCTGTAGGAGATTTACATGCTTGTCCCAGCAAGCGTCAGGTCTTGCTGTCCAGCTGTTATCGGGAACGCTGCACATTGCTGGCCCTTATAACCCGGGCCAACTATCGGCCCTCTTAAGGGGCACTGCGTTCCCCCCATTGCAAGGAAGCTAGTCCACAGAAGGATGCAAGTATGTAGGAATGTGATTAGTTGCCGGCATGACGGGAAGAAACTGGTAGTGAAGCATTATGAACCGGAGAGCCATGACTGTCCTATATAGTCGACTAAACTAAGGTGCTTAGCCCTTGCTTCCCGGTTTGAACATCATCGTGAATAACAGTCTGCCTAGTGATGCTTTGGTCGGAATGGCAATAATCTTACAGGTCGTCACGAGTGCATCCATTGCAGAGTGTCGGGCGGCAGCAGGCGAATTGGCGGGTGCTTGGGTAGTACACTGGACCTGCCGTATTAGGGGTTGGAGATGCAACGACGATGAAGACGCTTGGAAGGAGTGACCGGAGATGCAGGTTGTTCCGTGCCTGATTATACCAATGATGGAGCTGTGTGAAGGTTGATCTGCTGTGCATGACACGAGGTACATGTCCTGCGCTAGACTGGTTCAGGTTTCTTTGCGGGGTAAATAACAACACTGACCGGGGATATCGTGGACATAATTCGAAGTGTATCTTGCAACCAGAGCTTCAAGTCAAACAAGAACAAAGTCTCGAGGGGAGATGCGAACATGTCCGGCGAGGTTTGCCTCAATAGAGAGCCTGACTACATTCCTCAAGTGCTTAGGGTTTGAAGGTAGTCTCACCAGTGAAGTAAATCGGCCCATTATATAAGCATAACGTTTACATGTTGACTCGGAATGCGCATCCACTCTACGACCACCCATGGCCGCTAGCACGACAGACATGCAGAAACAAACTCTACTCGGTCACAAGCCACCTACTCATGGATCTCTTCACAACACCCTCGCCTTGTCCGCTCCACTGCTCCAAGCTGGCTGCCAATAGCCTCGTGCGCACCACGGTAGCTCATGGTCACAAGTCCGCCCTCACACTATCGACGTCATCCCATCCATCTCGCCCTTGCATCGAAACTGTGCATTGTCGACGGAACATCTAGCGCTGTGCTGTTATCTGCCATCTGTTGCACAATATCGAACGGCCCCAGACTGCGGTACCCAGCTACCGGGTATCTCTGCGGCTCTTCATTCCCTCCGTATTTGACCTCAAGCTCGAGCTCGATCTCTGGTAATTGGAATGCCAGGAATGATCGGCATGCGCGGAACAACCTGGGGTAGATGCTAGCGTCAAGATCTCCACAGAGTAACTTCACCGATGCGACATCTTGTCGGCTCCCAACCGGTCCGCTTTTCAAGCGCCTCTGCGTCGAATCAGCATTTGACTCAAACCGTTACGCCCGAAGCAGTTGGTCATGCGCTGTGCTCGCTCGACTGCCACGATGCATCCTTCCCGGAGGCAGGATATACGACGTCACCCTGGAGAACAACACACCACGGCAAGCACGAGCTACTTCCTGCGTAGCTCGGGGCGACTGTTCGACAAGGGGTCTCAGATCGACGTTGTCGAGAACCAAGGTTTGACTATACACCTGCTTAATTCGAGTGGTCGCATATGTAACACCTTGGTGGTACCGACATCATCAAGACATGTGCGGCGGTCGCGTGCTTTGGATGCCACCTCAACAAAATTCGAACGTTAACCACGTTTCTCAAGTCACAGCGAAGATGGTTCTGGGTCATGCCACACGCGCGCGAGGCGAGATGGAGCGTTTGCTACTTTGACTCTTCCCTTGTGCGTCATAGCTACCGACCGCGCGGTTATCCTCCGTGGTGTTGTGTCGGTTCAGAAGGTCCAAGTCTTTCCCAAACACCTCCTCAAGAGCGTCGTGTCTGCAAGGGGTTATTGCCTGGTCCCTCGTGCCACACGCCAGACACCACATTTGCAGTATCCGTATAGCTTGGCTGTTTTGTGCTTCCCCTATGCGACATCGAACGCCAGCAGGTACTGGAAAAATTCGTGCGCACTGTCTCTGAGAATGCTGAGCACTGGAACCACTCTTATTTCGCTATACAAGTCTGCCGCATTCGATCGCTACTCGGGAGAGTGCTAGGGAGTGGGTGAAGGAACGGTTATTGCGTGTTTCGATTGAGCCTTATCGAGTGCCGCTAATGTGCTCTCACCGAAAGAGTCCTCTTGTGGTTCCGCGACTGTGATCTGCAATGTCAAATCGGGAGTTGTCTCAACCTCTCGATCCATCAGGCTCTTCATTGAGCCATAGAGACCAGCGACTGAGCGCATGGATATGCCTTTGGCGCGCCCAAGAGAACCTCCAAGCCTCTTTTTGAAAGATTTCTTCGATGGAGCTGCTTCAACCATTAGAGCATCAGCTAACACAGCAGCAAGTGTTACTTTGTCGGCAGTTTTGAGGTCGATGGTTGCGTATATTTCTTCAACCTTTTGTCCTGCCTTTGTGTGAAGTGGTGTGCGTCCACGCTGTGGCGAAGCTTGGTCTGGAATGTCACAGTATTCCGGTGAGATTGAGTTTCCCTTTGAGCAGTCAGTACGCTGTTCCTTGGAGATTCACTACTGAATATGCTTACCCGTTTTAACCATTCTTTCGGAACCATCAGCGACTCGGTCGAATTTGCCGCATAGGCTGCTCGTTGAACTGGCATTGATACTGCGTCGGCTCTTACACTGCGGTTGCTCATGTCCGTACCTCTTGTAACGGGCTGCGGAGATTCAGTCCGTGTAGGCAATGGAGATTCGATACGCGGAGGAACCTGAAGCTGAGAGTATAAATGCCCATGATCGCGAACAATACTCTGTACAAGCAGAGCTGACCTTGATTTTACGATCGGTCGTGAGGGTTTCTTCTCTGATGTAGGTTCTGGACGGGAAAGTACCTCAGTCAACGGTTTGAGACGCCGTCGAGACGTCGATATGACCTGCGGCGCTTTCTTCACCACTGCCTCAACATTTACATCTTGCTCGATGTTGCGCTTTTTGACTGGCACGCTTTCAGATCTGATGGGTACTGACAAGGTCCTGCGGTGAACAGTCAGCCATGTTAACATCACAAAATGTGTGGAAAACTTGCCGATCGAGCTTTGTCCCACGAGTGCTTGCATGAGCAAGTGGATTCGTAGTAGCCTTATCCGGTGGTGATTGGACTGACGGCAGTCCGCCGATCGAATGCGAGATCCTTTCTGGAGCCTCTCCCCTCCGAGCTGCAGATACAGTAGTTCTGTGCGTAATTCGCGGTAATCGCAGGTCCTTGTTCGCATCGCTCTCTTGTGCACCTGCCCATCGCACTGATTTGCGAATAGCTTCCTGGCGTCCAGTCACAGATCTACACATGATACATCAGATTTGACCAACTACATAGACAGATCTACTTACCCAACTGGGGCCAACCCAACTTCATTTGCCGTGCGCTGGTACTCATCCGCAACTTTCTCAGGCACGTGTACGTTTTTGCCGACGACGGGCTCATCACATGCGAAGCGATAGGGTACGTCGACGAGGGGAGAGTTGCGCTCAATATTAGCAACGCTCTGACTGCGGCCCAATGCTTTTGGCTTCTTGGGAGCCGACTTGGTCTTCATCGCGGCGCCGTTATCGACACTCAAGCTCGCGGATCTGAAGGCTTGATACCCTCGCTGGAGGTGGTGCGGAGATATCCCTTGTAAACCATATACCGCTTTGGTATATTCATCGCTATAATCCTGTGCGCTTTGAGATGGGTTCGAAGGTCGTTCGGTTGGAACAGACTTTGCATCTTGGAAATTCCGTCGTTGCAAAGTGGGCGGTGGTGAAGCGCACTTTGACCGGGCGCCTCTATTGACGTTCAGACTTTGAGCCTCACCCATAGTGAAGAAGGATATGGGAAATGAAGCATATGTGAGGAGGATTTTAGCGATGTAGCATTGGGATCAAACTTGGAGAAAGGTCAGCGAGCAGCAGCGGACAACGAGTACGCTACTAATAGCCGGTACTAACGGGAGTATGCTCGGTACTTGCTTTTGGGAATCTGTGGTTGATTGTGGTGCCGAAGGTGCATGAGCTTCGCATGGTAGCGGACCATAGTCTATCACAGCCATACTTCGACCAACATATCCACACTCACGTCCGAGTGACTGTGCAGTCTCCTGAAGTATGGCCTAGCCTCTTACTGTTGGCATCATCTTTCCGCATCTTAGCAAAATGGACAGAGTCTCCTGAAGGTATACGATGCTGAACTTTGACGGTTTTGCTGCCCACTTCATCCCATTGTAGCAGTCTTGCTGCATCATTAATATCCGACTTATCCCGCAGCTTGGGAGCGAGTCTCTCTAGCACCCTCTCCTAGAGCGGCGGAACGGGAGCTAAGAGCATTTGCCGGAGCTTATACAGCCACAGCTTGGGACCAGACTGAAAGCTGGACGGAGCTCATGGGACACGGCTCGGAGTGAAACCAAGCACATTCCATAAATACACTATATAATCAACTATAAACAAGTCCTCATCAGCGGGTATCATCACATGACATGCGTTCGTTCCAACATGTCCAAAATTTGGCACGCTAGGCCCCTCACATAACCGTACAACATCCCAACTTCTTGAGCAACTTGGGCAAGCCCTTCTTGACCATCTGTTCGATCTCGTCGTTGCCGTTCTGGTTCTGGTTCTGCTGTTGGTGTTGTCCGCCATGCTGCTGCCCACCGTGGTGCTGTTGACCGCCATGTTGCTGTCCACCGTGTTGCTGACCACCATGACCGCCAGGATAGCCACCATAGTTGGGCGCTTGGGGTGCGGGTGGCATGTGATCGACGCTTCCACCTTGAAGGTTCACGTAGATGCGTCCCTCATTGGCTTCTGTTTTGTATTGTAGACCTAGCTCTCGGCAGACTTGCTCTACTCGGGGCTTGATCTTTTGAATGTGGCCTGGAGAATGATTGCCTTTGCCAACAATAACATGCAGATGGGTCTCTCCGCGCTGCCTGCCTGCCTTGATGCGCTCTTCTAGGACGTCTTCGGCTTCTTCGACAAACAGGCCGTGCAAGTCAATGGTATCGCCCGCGACGCGTCCAGACTCGTTATTGGCGCGGAAAATATAGTCTCGCGCTTGGCGGTTGTATTGTTCCATTTTGGCGGCATGTTGCTTGCCTTCTTCGCTGAGTTCGTGGGCGCGCGCGCCGTCGCCGGACTCGTAGGCCTGGTGGGCGCGGTCGAAGCAGGAGCTGCGCTTGCCGGCCTCTTGGCGAGCGAGGTCACGCAGACGATCATATTCGGCTTCTGTGTCATTGGAGGCGTGGTTGAGGGCTACAGAGGCGTGTTAGTCGCTACAAAGCTCAATTGGACGTGGTCTGGGTCATGGACGTACAGCGCGAGCCCAACGAAAACATCTCCATGGCGGCCATGGCGATGCGACAGCAGAAACAATGGGAGTTGGAGATGCGATTGAGTGGGAAGTGATGCTTTGTGATGTGTTGTCGCTGTCAAGCTGTAGCTCCACAAGAGACCATCGGCGCTAATGCAAGCATCCGAGATGGCGCAGGGTCCAGATCGCTGGCCTGCCGGCGCTGCCATGTACCCATCTATGGACATGAGTGCGTATGGCACATTCGATACATGGCTTTGAAGTGATTGGGGCTGGCTGCTTCAGAACCTAATCTTGGGCCCAACAAAGACGATTACAAATGCGAGGAGCCACAGGCCGAAGATGAGGCCGTATAGCTTCAGTCTGGCAAACCAGCCTTTGCCCTCGGTCATCTTCCTCAAGGTGCCCATCCTTCGGCTCGCGGCATCCATGCCTAGCTGGTTCTTGTCCAGCCCTGATATGGCGCGGTCTAGTACGCCCTTGTCGCCTTCCAGCGTCTGGCCAAAGTGCACCGACTGCTGCTTGAGCTGTTTGGCCATCTCGAGAAGGCTCGAAGTCAGCGTCTCCTGCTCGTTGCGATTGTGTGAGAGAAGCGCTTCTGTTTTGGGTAGATTCGGGTCGCCAGTTGTAGCCGCGGCCTTTGATCCGAACAGGGAGTTTCCGCTGGCTGTCTGCGCTCCTTGCGCTCCTTGCGCTCCTTGCGCCTCGTCCGCCTTGCCTCTCCGCCGGATGGACGAGGTGAAGTTCTCTGCAGCGTTCAGGAGCGCTTCATTGCCTTCGCTTGATGTGGTCACGTCTCTCCCCGCATCTGCGTGCAGTCGTGGGGCGTACGACGGGAATTGGTCTGCGTCTTCTTCGTCTGAGTCGATCGAGGCTTCCGACTCTGTGTCGTCGAGCTGGTTGAGCTCGTATATCCGCTGGTTGAGCTGCTTGATGAGCTCTCGCTTCTGCTGCAGGTCTGCTTGCAGCGCATGCTTTTTGGATTTGGAGGGGATGGTGGACGCGGAATGTTCGAGACTGAGGAGGAGTGTGCGCGCATGCTCAATGTTCTGTGTCCTGTGTTAGAGACTGGGAACTTATGACACAGACTGAGAGTACAAGTCTGTCAACATGGAGAGGCGAGAGGCACACGTACAGCACTGACGCGTGCCCGCTCGTAACTCGACTTGCGCAGCTGTGGCGTGGGCTCTGCTAGCACTATTCGGTCCAGCCTCGACAACAGCCGGTTGAGGTTGATGGAAGTGGGATCGGGGAAGCCTGTGGGTGATTGGGTTCTTGTCGACATGCTTGTTTGCCGTGTTGTGAATGTGGATGTGAAGGTGAATGTGAATGTGTTGCTGGACTAGATGACCAAATGTCCGGGCCTGGGTGAAGTTCAGACGTCACACATGGCGTTTGGCAAACTATGACCAATCACCGTGGACCTTGCTGGGCCCCTCTGTCCGCGACAGGCACCAAGAAGCTCCATGCAGCAACACACAACCCGAGGCCCACAAGACGCAATGACACAACCGGGAGCTGCCTTTCACCGCCCACCAGACCTCAGCAGCAAGCTACCGAAGCTCGTCCCCCGCAAACGCGCTTCGACACGCGACGCGCCGTCGGCCCCGCCCCCGCCCACACCTACCCTACCAGCGGCCGCCGCAGCTCGAGGGGACACGAGTACACGCGGCCGTCGAGGCGCATATTGAGTCCCGGAAGACCATCCAGCTGGTTTCTGAAAAGCGAAACATGCACTCTCGTCGAGGCCTTCGTGTTTGGCATCGCAGACTCGGTCCGTGACCGAGCGGTATCGAGTATCAAGCCTGCCGAGAGGACCGGCGTCGTGGACAAGGTCGTCGACGTACTAGCGCAAGCAGAGGCGATACTGGAGCGATGCCCACCCGAAGACACGGGCTCGCGCTTCGGCAACCCCGTCTTCCGCACCTATCTGGATGAGGTGGACAAGGCATTGCCATCATGGCACGCACAGCTCGGCCTCACAGACCAACCGCAAGTCGACGAGATATCCACCTACCTCGCCCACTCGTTCGGAAACAAGCGCCGCATTGACTACGGCTCCGGCCACGAGCTCAACTTCTTCCTCTGGCTCCTGTGCCTGAACCGCCTGTCGCTCCTTCCGCCCTCCACCTTCCCCGCCCTCGCCCTCACCGTCCTTCCTGCCTATCTGCGCGTCATGCGCAAGATCCAGTCAAGCTACTACCTCGAACCCGCTGGCTCCCACGGCGTCTGGGGCCTCGACGACTACCAATTCCTCCCGTTCCTGTTCGGCGCCGCACAGCTCCTGCACCACCCGTACATTACCCCAAAATCCATACACAACGCCCTGGTCTTGGAGGAAGAGGGCAAAGAGTACCTCTACCTAGACCAGATTGCCTTCGTCAACAGCGTCAAAAACGTCGACGGTCTGCGCTGGCACAGTCCCATGCTCGACGACGTCAGCGCAGCCAAGAACTGGGCCAAGATTGAGGGCGGCATGAGGAAGATGTTCCGCAAGGAGATTCTCGAGAAGCTGCCCGTCATGCAGCACTTCTTGTTTGGGTCGTTGGTCAAGCCGGTAGAGGGCATGAGCACAGAGGACGAGGCCGGTGTTGAGCCCGAAGAGCAGGAAGTGGAGGGTGGAGAGGTAAAGGTGTTTGATGACGAGGCAGGGAAGAGACACGTACATGCGAACGCGGGATGGGGAGACTGTTGTGGAATCAGAGTCCCAGCAGCGGTTGGCGCAGAGGGAGAGGAGAGGAAGATGGGCGTTGGAAAGGCATTGAGGAGGGTGCCCTTTGATTGAGCGTGCACGGCGAGAGTGGGCCTAGGTCCGACATAGATCTCCTGTGCGCGGGCGTACATGACAATAGCACTAGACACGATTAACGAACAAAAACAATTCTGAGAGCTTCTTGCATTCCATGGAAATCACGTTCCAATCTAGCATCAACATCTCTTGACGATCGCTATGGTATCACACTTCTTCCTCCCTCTCCAACAGCCTTCATGTCCGTCCTATTCCACCCTCTAAGCCTTTCCCGCCTTGATCTCCTTCTCAATATCCGCCTTCAGATCCTCGGGCTTCTTCGTGCTAGCCCACCGTCCCTTGACCTTTCCATCGCGGCCAATCAAGAACTTTTCAAAGTTCCACTTGACGCGCTTGAGCCCCATGAGCCCGGGCTTCTCGTTCTTCAGCCACTCAAACGCCGGGTCTGCCTTGTCGCCGTTGACGTCCACTTTGCCGAGCACGGGGAAGGACACGCCGTAGTTGACCTGGCAAAAGGATTGGATCTCGTCGTTTGCTGGGTGCCATGTATTAGTGACTGACCTGACCTGACCTGACCTAGCCTAGCCTAGCCCGCTGTGAGGGGGAGAAGGGCAGGGGACACTCACATCCAGGATCCTGTCCGCCAAACTGGTTGCAAGGGAATCCGAGTATCTCAAAGTCATCCGGGTATTGCGCCTTCAGGTCCTTGTACAGCTTCTCGAGGCCGGCGAATTGCGGTGTGAAGCCGCACTTGGAGGCTGTGTTGACGACGAGGACGACTTTGTTGTTCAGCTTGGCCAGGTCGTAGGGTTGGCCCTTCTCTATTACATCATGTTAGCGGGGTGACCTGTACAAGGGCGCGGATGTGCGGGCGGGGTGTTTGCTGCTGGGAGAGCAACGTACTGTCCGCGGGCTTAAAGTCGAAGAAGGAAGTTGCGGAAGACATGGTTGCGTATGTTGCTCGTCGCAGCCGTGTATACGTTCGCGTAGTGGGAGTTACAATAGCTACACAAAGTCGAGTAGTGAGAGGTGGTGTCAGGTGTTTATGTTTGATGCGCAAACTCGTCGCAAGGATGCGTCGCGGGGCTGTGCTCGCTGCTCGAATCATGTCATGTGAAGAGCCCCAAGGACGTTGGATTCTAGCCCGCTGCCAGCTTACAAAGTCACACACGACACAGCGTCTTTCACAGCAGATTCAATGTACTACCTCGGCTCAAGCCGTGCTGGGTAGCACCGACAGAACGTTGCGCGGAACTCGTGGGCAAGTGGGGCGTGAAAGCTACGTCATGGCCGGTGATGGATTTATTTGGAATTTCCCATTAGGAGACTGCCGACCTTTGCCGTCTCATTGAGTGTAATGGTGGTTGCGAAGCAACACAATCCCCCGTCGGAACGGATGGATGCAATGTTTTCACCAGTATTGCTTATAGATCACAGATGTAGTCGGCGCAGCAAGAACATATGCGCTAATGTGTTGAGACAGCGTCTATTCTAGTTACAATGAAATGGTCTCCAGCCCACGACCAACCATCCGCCAATAGCATGTTTGACGAGCAGCTGAGACAGTCATGGTCGTGCGGCTCGACCTACAATCTTCTTCTTTCTTCTAGTAAACAAACGAAATACAATTACCAATGACAAACACGGTCTACAGTGGACCAAATGATCAATCTAGTACATCAACAACAAGCATACTCATGCCAATTCCTCTTGCAATGAGTCGGACCGAAGTCCTTTCGCCCGTGGGCATCCCTGTCGTCACGCCACGCGATCGATCAGGGTATCCGGCAATTCCGTCCACGGCTGGGACATCTCCTTGGCTTGGGACAGCCATGTCGGTGGTCATCCGGGAAGAGGCATCCATCCATTGGGCAAGTGGAGGTGTGGCCATTTTCATCCGCTGGTTTGCGGGAATCCATCCAGGGCAACGCAGTAAAATCAACATGCAGGAGGCATGTATATCCATCCAGTATAATTCCAGGTACAATCCGGGTGATTGTGACAAACCTTTACCAGGTGTCAAAGCAGACGGAGTCCACAGTGACATGGATTCATTCAGCCACCATAGTTCTCGCGGAACTTGGCGCAAATGTCGTGCAGCCCGACCACCTCCTTGGTGAGCTGAAGGTCGTCGCGCAAATCATTGGGGTTGCTCAAGTTGCTGAGAATGTCGATGATCTGCTGCTTCTTGCTCAGGAACTGCTGAGCGAGTTGGTCACGTGCTTGCTGGCGCTGTTGCTCCGCTGTGATCTTGACAACCTTGTGTCGCTTCTCACCAGTCTCCTCGGCTGAAGCCTTGCGCTTACGGCTGACGGGCTTGCGCTGGGATTGACCGGCCATGGTGGGAGGCGAAGGCTCAGTAGTCGGGCCATCGTACTGGTGAACACGCTTCATGTGGTCAAAGAGGTTGTAGCGGCGGGGGAAGCCGTGACCTGGGACAGCACGCTCGCAGTCGCGGAAGTGACACAAGTGAGGCCGGGCACCATGACCATGCATTCCGTGAGCCTCACGCTCGTGGCGCAGAAGACAGGCAGTGGAAGAGAATTGAACTCCGATACAGGTCTTCTTGTTGCAACGGAAGGGCTTCAAGTGCGAGTCCACATACTTGCTAGACTGTTGTTAGAAGCAGTGCTTTTGGTGAATCATAATCTTGACTTACTCGTAGTTGCACTTCAGAGGTGTAGGCTTGTGGGTGCAACCAGCCTTGCCCTCCTCGGGGCAGTGGTACTTGCCGTCCTTGTCGGGCAATTGTTGGTAGAGGGGGTGGCTGCGGGCAACCTTCGTGCGTTCCTCCTCAAGCTTGATCTCAGCGGCGTCGGAGACAGACAGTGTCTCGTCGTTCTCCTCGAGCATGTGAGTGGGGTTGGACGTGGAGACAGCGTCCTCATTCTCGTTCCTGATTCTGTTAGGCCAACGCGGGAAGGACATGTACAATGAATCGTACCTATTATCCAGGAGCCTAGTCTGATCAAATTCAACACTCTGAGGGAAGTGGGCACTGGTCGTGCTTGTGGGGGTTGCAACGAAGGCACCAAAGTTTGCTTCATGTGCAGATGTCCGCCGTGAATCTTGGGGGAGAGTGTATGATGAGGAGCTGCGAACAGCATTGGGACGTTCAACAGACTCGAAATGGCTGTTGCTCCATTGCCGTTGAGAGGGTGCAGGAGCACTAAACATGAGCTCAGCAGGGCTCTGAGTGGGGTATGTAAAGCTGAATTGGTCGTTGTGGAAGGGTGCATCAGCAACCCATGGCGACGATACACCGACGTTCGATGTGGGTGTGAATCGAGTGACGTTAGTGGTAGCATAGGTAGAAAAATCCTGCCCAGCAGAGTAATTAGCATATACGAGCGAGTCCTCCGGTGTCTCCCAAGCGCCGGTTGATGGTCGCATGTGGCTCATGTCCAGTGCCTGGTCCGTGAATGCATTGTAGTTGTCCGAGCTCATCGATGGTGAGTACATCTCGCTGCTAACGAATTGCGTGTTCAACCGGGAACGGTTGTCCTGTGTGTGTCCATCTGACTTCCTTATTCCGCGCTGGCTGGCTCCACTCTGGCTTTGGTATGCACTGTCCATGCTGCACTCAGAAATAGCGTCTGAGCCGCTCATGTCCTGCAAGTCCGAAGAGCAGAAGAAGTCCTCCTCGGAGACAATGGGTGTGGGAATATCCTTTCGCCAGTCGGCGATTGTTGATATGCAAGACACAAACTCCGGTGGTGAGTCGAAGAAAGAGTCGCTGATAACAGGGGTTAGTGCCAATACAAAACCAAGGTAAACCTCATTTAGAGGTAAATTGAAAGCAAAGAAAGAAAGCGCCACGTTAGTACCCAGGGCCCCAGTGCCAAGACCTGCACACATGATTGATTAGCTTCAGGACAGCTATGTAAGTGAAGAGGGTGGAGCGCACCTAGGAATGATTCTACGCCGAGGGACGTGTCTATCGAAAGGGCACGTCTGTTCCATCGGTTCTAGAGTCATGGTGAATTCCACACCCTGGCGGATGCCTTCGTCGTAGGGATTGTTATCCAGGATTCAAGTCAACCTTTCCAAAGAGAAGGCGGTCCAATAGTGGCCAGAATAGGAACCGGTGTCAATAGATAAGTGGCCAGGGATGTACCTCGAGAATGCAGTTGTCATACACTCACATCCATCTCTACCTTGTCACACGCTACAAGTTAGTTTGTGATCAATGCAAATATCAGGATAGGCAGTTGTCAGCCTACTGTACGTACTTGGTCATCCAATGAGTCCAAATTCCAAATGACCGTAGGTAGGCCTCGTTGCACCAGCAACATCCTGTTCGGCGTCCTCATGGTCTGGTCCTGTGGAGAGTCCTGCGGTGAGTCTTATAGACTTCAGATTCATCCAGGCGTAGGCAGCTCAGGGCAGAATCCAGTGTACGGTGTACATTTCGCGATGCTGGTTTCAGTCGAACAAGAACATGATTGAACGACTTCGCCACAGCTGACTATGAGGTCCATGTGGCTTGAATGTTGGTAGAATACGGGGAAACGTAACCAGGCTGATGATGATCATACTTCTATCGTATATCCTTGGATGGGCACGGGCATCGAGAACTTAATTGAAGCTTCGATATCGCCATGTCGACATGTCTATGTCGCGAGTCTACAAGCACGGCTTGAGCAGCACGGCTATTGATCCTTCGAACAGTTTTGTCGTGCTCAAGGGCAAGGGCCCCTCCCAGAAACCAGGAATCCAAGGTTAGAAACAGAAAGAGAGTATCCTATGTGGGTCCATGTCGTGTGGTCATCCTGTGGAGTTTGTCCTGTGGCATTCCTTGGTTGATCCTGTGTAGCCTGGGCTGCTAAAGTGGCGAAGAACAAATGAAATTTTGACTGAAGGAGACACATGACTTTCGCAATACATGCTGGCGTGGTAGTAAAACAAATGCGGAATCAAGCAAGCAAACGCGTTGGGAAAAAACCATTGGGTAAGTACCTGGGTAGGGCTCCAATTGGACTCCGAATTGTCATTCTGAGCGGTTGCTCCTGTTTATTTTTGTGGAAATTGTTGTTGTATTGAGTTGTATCGACGCAAGTAGTGGTGACAAGTACTTTGCGCGTGGAATAGTGGTCGTCGAATCTAGTCGTTGTGTGTTGAAAAGATGAGGGAGGAGGGGGGTTTGGGCAGAATTGAAAAGTGGGCGGCTGTGCTGAGTCTCACCGGATGGACGTGCTTGGCTGCCAACGCATACTGTGGGCCGTTCACACCGACTTGACCAATAGCACCGAAGTTAGACCGGTCAAAAGAGGTATTGGTCAAAAAAGGTCGTTTGCCGGGGACGAAGGGACGGGTGCTTTCTTATCACAATCTTCCAGTATCACTAGAAGAACCTAGCGGTCTCGTATCCCCTTCTAAAAAGCCTTCGCGTTCGTAAATGCAGGCATTCGCGTCCCGGTCGGCGAAATGCAAATACTACTCAGGAGACGGTCCCTGTAAATCGGCACTGAAGAGGAAGCGATGTGCGCTGAGGGAGGAGCGGCTCGACAGCGCCGCTGATCCTTGACCTGGCGCTTCTGACGGCGGTTTTGAACCTGCTTATCGTCCGCACCCGAAAACCTGCCGCGGCTTATTATGGCGAAGGCCAACACCATCGAGCGCTCCCCGTTGGTCAGCACCGGGCACGCAATTACAGTTGATTGACACAAACGTCGGCTAAGGGCACAGCGGGCGGCCCTTCCCCGGTCTTATCAAGGTTTACCCTATCTTCGATGTACAGAGTGCAGTATCATTTTTCACTGTGTTAGAATTTGCATGATTTGGAGCCACAATGCAACATGCTGAGTGTGGGCTGTGTGAAATTGTCGAGTCTAGCGGCAAGGATATGCCAAGAGAATCGGGTCACCTGCATACATCACACTGCAACGTGTAACAGTGCCGCTCATTTGATGGACCCTGAGTGATACAGTTTGCGTCAGCGGCCGCCTTCCCACGATATACCGGAGCGTTGTACCGGAGCGGGAGCGGAGATTGTATCATGCCGACGCCTTTCCAGCACAGAGGTCTGGCATACCGCCACTTACCTCTTACTCTACAGTGGCTTGATTCAAGGCATTCGTGTTGCGTCTGTATTCGGGTCAGTAATCTTGCATGCCGCATGATTGACTGTATTTGGTAACAAGGGCGGTGTAAATCAGATAGGAGCGAAAGACAATGCTTGTTGGTTCCTCATTGGTCTAGTAAACCTAAGATGAACTATGCTTATGTTGTATTGATTTTCATCATGTTGGACAGGGGTGAGGGATGAGAGAAAGAGAGACCAACATACCTATGTTGCTGCAGCTGTTGCGTTGAAGCGGACAGTGTTCAAAGCGCAGGCGGCTTGATGGCGAGGTGGGCTGAGGCAGTGCAAATATGATTTCGACGGAGGTTTAGCTCATCTGAAGATCGCACCTTGAGCTATCCACGGAAGTGTCCCCGAAGCAAGCTCTGGGAACAATGCGGAAACCATCTCGCGTTTGAGAGGCGACTCCGATGCAGGAGATACGTGCTGTCCCTGTAGCCTTGATGCCCGACCTGTGGGAGCCTCAAGGCGTCAAGTAGAACTCGCTTCCCGCCTACGTTTCGAATCACTCGCCATACTTTGCCTCTTTTGTGGAGTCTTGCGTCTGTGATCGATATTGGGGCGCGATGGTGTGAAGGAGGATGTAATTGAGGCAGCAGATTCGTTTTCCAAAGAAAACTCTCTCCGGAGCGGCAAAACAACGGCTCCGGACTAGGGCAGCTTTAGCGAGGCACGGACGTCACTGTATCAAGCACGTGATGCGACATCCCAGTTGTGTGACTAAGCCATAAGCCTCCATGACGTCAAGCTTTGACAAGACTTCATGCTGAGCATGATCGTCAGGGTCATGGTGCGGTTGTGCAGGAAGCAGAGTGTCAAGTATCACCAGTCTGACGTCACCTGGCACTCCACACTCAGGTTTCTCTCTCGAAGGCGGCACTGATGGCTACGACAGAGGCAGGCTTTGCACATGCCATGCCTAAGGCACATCAAGGCATCATCAAAGAGCTTTACCGTCAAGCCATGCAAGCCACGAATCGTGACGGTGCAGGCCTGCCCATCAGATAATGACCATCCTCACCGTCACCACTCGGAACATCGCCAGCCTTTCATGATTTGTTGGAACTAGCAGCGGCATTCTGTTACCCCGAACCAGCAACGTCCAAACTCTAGCTCGATCGTGCCTGCATACTGGCCTCGTTCCTCCAACTTGATGAATACCCAGGCATTAACGCAGGTTGACCTGGAGCCAGCAATCCACAGTGGGTCGATTTCTAGTGATTTCCACAATATGGCCAGATTGTCAGCAGCATATTGATGAAAGCCAAAAGCCACTAAGATCGTATTACTGGGCAGTTCGGTCCAAGCGGCGTTTTAAAACCAGGAACTCTGGTTACAGTCAGCCTGGGGAAGAGAATGCACCAATGAGAGAGATGCTTACAGAGCTCTCGATGGCTCTTTCATGTCTTCTCTAGAGATCTCAGGGTCCAACCGCACGGTTGGGGTGCGGGGTTCACATCCACACCAGTTTGATTGGTACGATCACTTATCAACTGCGTAATGCTTCATGAGCACACGATCGAATGCGGAGGTGCTCAGTCATTGCAGGGAGGGTTTACGGAGCGTCAAGTTCTCTACAAAAGAAATTCCAAAGACGTACTTAAGTCCAATATCATCCATTGTCTTTGATTCATTCAGCAATCACAAGAATCAATTGTCCGAAAATTTGCAACAATGCCTTCTCCATTCCACCAGAAATACTCATCGCAAAGCCACAAAGTTTTCGGAGACAACCCAGTCCCAGACATGCCAGAAAGTCCTAAAGAGAACGCGGATCGCCGTGGTTCAGATGCCTCAATAGGCTCTGCGTCTGGATCTCCTTATGGACGACGAAGAGTGTGTTTCCAATATGCATAGTGCCATTTCTTTTTTCCATGCTTACATTCCCTAGTCGTCTGCCACCCAGCGATATGCCAACCTCCACGCCCTGAAACGCCCAGACAATGAAGAGCACGCGGCGAGGAGAGCATCTCTACACGACTCATACGGAAAGGTCGGAGTGCTCGGAAGCCTATGGAACAAGTAAGTAACTTGACTCTGCACTTCAGGATCATACCAACTGTTCTAGCTTCACACGCGGTCCAGTAACATCACCCACTAAGGCTGCGGAGCCCAAAGACACTACCACCCTGCGTGGCTGAGGATCAAGTACGAGCTTATAGGGAGGATACAACACATCAGGCGCACCAAAAACAAGTTCTGTTATCACAGCTAGATTGTTCTCAATTGTGAGACATGGAGGGTTTTTTCTTGTAGGATCTCTCTGGGCTAACGGGCAGTTTGATCGGTGGTCTGTTTAAATGTAAACATGTAACGAAGCAATGACTGAAATGTATAACAAGAACATAAACTACTTTCTATGATGTGATAGAAGCATACACGTTACACGGGGAATTTACCAGCCTTGTTTCAAATGTTTATTGTGGTGCACTTCTTCGTCGAGGTTTTATGGTCCGGCCCGCACATCGCCCCAACATTACATGCTCTCCACTAGAACAACATGTGACATGTGGTCACTTTCAACACTGAAGAAGTGCTCTGTCAGTAACGCTTGGGCCTTCCGTCCATTGTCTCTTCAGCCCGAACACGCTGGCTTACGCAAATCTCTGCCGAAGCCTCCCATCTGCGCAAGATTCATTGATAGATCAAAGACATCTGGAACCGCAAGTTGCATGTATACCAAGCTACTGCCATTCTTGTCTAGGTGGTCGTGCATAAGCACCATTTTCCTTGCAGGTGTCAGAAAGTCTGGCCACATGTATTTGTACATCATTCATTCCCAGATGGTCCTGCGCTTTGCCTCGCATCATCCTTGGGAATGATGCTAATAGGGAAAAACAGGCGCGAACCATTCTATGAGCATGGGGCAGTTTGGTCGAGGAAGACAAAAAGGGTTCTATTGATCCCATCAAGAGCACTGGGTGCCCATATATACGCCAGTGCGCCATCTATGCATATTTTCCCCACCGCCATATGCCCTTCTAGCCAGTCCTATGTGGCTAAGGAGGCTATATGCCCAAGCTATGTAAACAAAAGTAAAGCTTATGATCAAGGCACCAACCCAGTGGTACGGAGCGGGATAGAGGGCATCTAATCCTCAATTTCGCTTGGTGATTCTTCTAATTTATGCCGCCTCTCCTCGTCCATCTCCTTATATGTAGCCCATGATAGCAGAATAAATGCGCCAATAATCAAAATACCACCAACGATCGCGGCAGGCGTAAGCGGCGAGTTGAGCGGCGGCGGAAGAAGCTGGTCGACAATGGCAACGATGAAAATGGTAAGAAGCGCCGCCACCGAGGATAGAACGGGCGAGGTAAGGGAAATGAGGACCAGGAAGGATCCAGAGAATGCTGGATGTATGATTAGGTTCTGCACTGTAAGTTTGGTGAGTGAGAAGACTTACTAGCATTGGCCAGCACCGAAATGGCCATCATGCTCGCTTGTTCACCTCTCGGTAGCGCAAACTCCTCCCAGCCCGTGTAATGTAGAATGGGCAGCGGGATCCACAGCACACTGAGGGTGAAGAGGCCGATCAAGCTTCCGAACATGTTGGCGAAGATGACACCTTTGCCAGGACTCGCGCCCTCGGGCGGACAGGCGAGGCGCTTGTACAAGACTTCGTAAAACCCGTACAAGACGCTCCCTACACCAATGACCAAGTTGCCGAAAGCGCGGTTTTCGGCCTCGTGGCTGGGAGGTGCTTTGTCGCCGCCAGCGCCGCCGCCGGACTTGGATCCGTGTTTGGCAGGCGATGTGTCGCCGTATGCAACGATGAAGACACCAGCTATGGCAATTGCCACGGCGACGACCTTGCTTGTTCGGACTTTTTCGTGCAGGATGGGGATGCTGAAGGCATAGGCAAAGAAGGCGCTGCAGTTGTAGATGGCGGTCAAATCGCTCGCCGTGGTCTGGTTCACGGCCACGTACCAGCTGCCGCCCGCGAGGGTCAGCGCGCAGGTGATGAAGGTGGTCATCTTCACCATGTACGGGACGGGCGAGTTCTGCTGCTGGCGCGGCGTGGGGTGGAGGGTCTGGTGCTCGACGGTCAGGGCGATTTGGCGCAAGAGCTGCGTGTGCCGGCGCCAGAAGACGGGGAGGGGCGTGGACCATGATTGGAGACGCAGGAAGAAGAGCATGACGGGGTAGAGGACGATCCAGGAGCCGTGGGTCATGTAGCTGGGGACGGTCAGCACTCGGCACTCATCACTCATCACTCATCACTCGACACACGAAGTTGGCGGCGGCGGTGGTGGCAGGACTTACAGCATGCAATATGGCTTCTCCCACTTGAGCTGGTGCTGGATGTACACGGCCGTCTCCGTCTGCACCGTGAAGCTGACCAGGCTCAATGCCAGGGTGATGGCGGCATACGTGTACTTTCTCCTTGTCTCGAACTTGGCCTGGCTCTGGGGATCCCTCTCGTGGAAGTGATGTGTGCTGCGGCTCATGCCCTCGTCGATGCCCTCGTCCTCGTCCTTGCCATGCGCGCCTAGCAGCGGCGCGCGATGGTCCCCGCCCAGTTCTGGCCGCAAGTCTGAGGGCATGCTCGCGTCGTGTTCATCCCAGTCGTCAAAGTCGCTGTCGGGGTCCTTGGGCACTGTCTTGCGCGGATGGTCGGCAAAGGGCGACGATGTGCGCGAAAGCTGGCGGGAACTGATGCCAGATACTACTACGGGGCTGCTGCTGCGTCCGCTGTCCTGGTCGTCGGGCCGGAGAGTTGGTTTAGGTTTCTTCGACCTGAGCGGGATGGACTCAGGCATATAAGGCGGTTGGGCGGGGACAAAGCGAGCGACTGAGGGTGCAGGGTGGTGTGGAGACTGTGCTGCACGAGGGTGATGGACTTCTCCTAGGCGGTGCTAGTCGGGCTGCGGACTGCTGGCTGCGGACTGCTGGCTGCTGACTGCTGACTGCTGACTGCGGATATCTGTCTTTGGGGTTGTCGCAACGGCAGCCCCTGCTGTCCCTACGGCGCCGCGCGAGTGAGATTCAGATTCAGGGTCCTCCAATGGCGGCGCGAAGACTTCCGAGATCCTCCAACCTCCACCGCGCGTCCTCTCCACACATGCCCCGGCAAAGTCGGCACCATCATCATCTTGTGGGAAACTGCCTTCAGAGCACGACCGACCGCCAGCATGTCCAGTGCATGTCTCAACTATCAACTCCCGCTTGTGACGCTCCCACGAGTCTAGCTGCCTGCCATGGCGCTCTGGCGTGGGGCATCGCCCTTCACATGACTGCACCATGCACATGTACAAATGACTCGCAGCACCCTTGGTTATCTTTAGCATGTGCTTGCATATGGCGTGCTCCTAGGCACTGGGTATACATTATGAAATATCTCGTCGTAATTGGCCCTGCCCTCTCCCCAGCTCAAAAGCGTCACCAAGGTATCCATCCGTACAAGTAATACACGAAAGCAGTAGATGGCTGTACACGCCCCATCCAGGACTACAACGGGCTGCCGTCAAGTCCCTCGGCCCGCTCCTGCGTCTCTGCCTCTTCCAACTCCTGCAGAATTTCAGGCAGCATCAACTCGACGTCTTCTTCCCGCTCGCCGAGCGCCTTCGCAATCAGCTTCTTGTACGTGCCCTGCTTTTCGCTCATCCCCGCGACAGACAAGTTGCCCACGACTTCTCGAACCAGCTCTCTCCGCTCCAGTTGGGCTCGATGCAGCAAAAGGGCTAGCCTCAGTTTTTCTGAAACGTCGACCGGCGAATTCGTCTTGTTTGGCTGGGGCGTATTATGGCACAACCGTCGTAGTTCAGCCTTTTGCTCAATCTCCAACAGTGACTCGGCTTCCTCCACCAGCATCCGAAGCTCTTCTTCTTGTTGCCCATCTGCTTCGTCGTCGTTGAGATCTATGTGCAAGCCGTTGCCCATGTTTTGTAATTCCGCGACCTGCTTACGGACCGCTTCCAGTTCTGCTTGCCGCCTCTTCACCACACGTTCAGCATCGAATGACTCGGCTTCCTTCTCTTGCAGTTCCGACTCGTAAGCCGCAGCCAACTCTTCACACTTTTCCAACAGAGTCGGTGCAACTTTCGTCATGAGATGTGAGGCCGTCTGCGATCGGTATTGAACCGGCTCTCGAGCAACCATACTAGGGAACGGCACTGGTAGTAGTGGTCCTCCGTCCAGCGCTGCTATGTGACCATTCAGTCTGTGTTCCAGTGGTGGCGCGAATGGTGATGACGATGCTTGCCGTGTGCGACCATGCATTCGTCGCCGCTGATTCAGCTCTCGAATCAGGTCGTCGGCAGTTTCCCCCTTCTTATTGGGAATGTCCACAGACACGCTTCTTCCGAGTAGACTCCGGACGCACTTTCTTGCACCGTTGCGCGCAGCGATCATGATTGCCGTGTCCCCGTTCTGATCTTGCGCATTTAGTAACCTAGTGACTTCTTCCGGTATCCAGGTCTCGGAAAGTTTGTTGATGATGCAGTCCAGATACCATCTCGCGCAGACGTACTTGTTCGAACTGCTCGTTGTGGCTGCGATGTGGTGGAAGACTGTGCTACCAAACCAGTCTGTCCGGTGTACTGTTTGCTGGAAGATCTTGACCATGCTTGGCATCGTCTCCTTGTCGAAGTTGTTGGTGAACATGACAGCGCGCATGAGCGGCGTCTCGAGGTTGTTCGATAGACCATCGATGCGCGCCCCGCGATGGATTAGCTCTTTGACCACGCCCACGTCGCCCATGGCGGCCGCCCAGTGCATTGCAGCATGGCCTTTCTCGTCAATAGGTCGGTCTAGATTGATGCTCGGTGGTGGCTCGGGCCATGCGCAGGCAGCTTCGTGGTCCAGGAGCATAAAGTAGTCCAGCAGCGCATCGGCCCAAATTTGGTGTTGCTGGTCCAACATGGACATCTGGTCTACACCCCGTTTCCGCTTTCGGCTGCCAGTCGAATATTGCGAGGCATCCAGCATGTCGTGGTCACCTAGCATACTCTCCGAGACGACGGTCTCGTTGTCGGGCGTCTCTTCGCGGAAAATCTGTGAGCGAGTCTGGGAGGCTTCGTATGGGTCTTCGCTCACTTGCGACTGCTGCGATGCGTTTGTCACAAATGCTGCTCAAGGAAGGTCAGCATCGCTGGACAACGACTGCCAGGCCACGGGAGGCGCTTCTTACACTGGATCGCCTCGAGCGAATAGGCATTCTTTTTGCTGTTTCTCGCAGCAGCGGCGGCGGCAGCACTCTGCCTCGGGGGCTTCATTCTGTTTGAAGCAGCCGTAGCATGCTTCGGCGCAGGCGGCGGGCTCCTGTCCCCAGGCACATAGTCGAAGATGGGGCGCATCTTGTGCAGGACACCATTGCGCTCTGCAAGATGGCGCCCCTCCTCGAGCGGTATCCATGTCCCCTGGTACTTTCCATATCCGCCCTGCACCTTTTCGTGCACGCCTTTCTGCACCTCGCGCTCCAGGATGCGGGTCCGGGCTGGCTTGTCGTAGTCGGCGACCTTCAGGATGTGGGTAGCGTTGATCCAATCGTCGGCGCGCCGTCGCATGACATGGTTGCCGTTGACATTGCATTCGTAGACGGGGACCTGCAGCGGGTGAGCACATTGTCGCAAAGCGAGCGCATGTCGAGCGCCCCGGGCATGTTCCGGGCAAGGCAGAGCAGGATAGCAGGGTGCGCAATACTAACATTACTGTACGTCGCCGAGTATATCTTGCCATCAGGCGCAGGAGGCATTTCGGCGGGCCTGTGGGCTGGGGAGCGTCGCTGGTGGTGGGGAAAGGCGCAACGTGACTGCGTGTGAGCTGCCGTCGAGACGCGTTCTCGCGTTCGCTCCTTCCGCCAAGCCTCGGGCGGCCGTGGAGCTTCCCTGCCGACCTCACTTCACTTTCCGTCGCGCCTGCCAGGACACAGCACACACCCCTCCCCGCCAGCCCTCTGCGCGCCATTGAAGAGCCACGACACAACGAGCCCCAAACATGACCGTCACCGAGTCGATAAAGCATGCCGTCGGCATCACGGGCGAGCCTAAGAGTCAGTGCTGCCACGCTGTGTCCCGCTACTGGCCCTGGGTATGAGGTACTGACTGCACCGCACAGAGGCCACCCGTGAGGAGATGAGCGCCGCCAGACTGCCCCTCCCGTACCGAGACTCGTGCGCACATCTTCTCATCCCGCTGAACCGGTGTCGGTTCGACGAGTACTACTTGCCATGGAAGTGCGAGGTGCGGCTATAGCGTGCACATGGAGCACATCACGAGACACTAACACAGTGTGCAGAACGAACGGCACTCGTACGAAAAATGCCAATACGACGAGTTCAAGGAGCGTGTGAAGAAGATGGACGAGTTGCGGGCAGCCAAGGGCGGAGAGCGCAGCAATTGAGCGAGACGCACAAATGACGAAACATACATCCCAAAGAGGACTGCATGTATATATCCAGCAGCCAATACCACCGCCACAATCCGGCTTCAGAGCCCGTCACATCACAGCAGTCACTTGTCCCAAAGTTGCAGCACCATAGGACCAGCATGAGTGAGCCCAAAATACTGTTCTGATTATTGTCTACACATTGATCCCGCGCTTGCTACAACTTTGCCTTTGTCTCCTCCAGAGCTGCCTTCTCCCTTAATTCCTTTCGCAGAATCTTGCCAGACTGTGACTTAGTCAGTACCAACTTCACCGTAATCTCAAGGCCGACTTACAGGATTCTTGGGAATCGCTTCTAGGAAGATAACACCACCTTCTAGCCTCTTGTGCTTGGACACGCGCTCAGCAAGCCATTTTTTGATACTTTCCGCAGTCTCCGGCGTCGCCTTCTCCGGGTTCTGGGGCACAATGTACGCCCGCGGCGCCTCGTCGCCTTTGAACGGAATGCCAATGACTGCCGCGTCTTGTACATCCGCATTCTCCAACAGCATTGCCTCCAGCTCCGCCGGCGCGACTTGCAGGCCTTTGACCTTGATCAGCTCCTTCTTGCGATCGACGATGAAGAAGTGATTATCCTTGTCAACATATGCGACATCGCCAGTCCTAAGCCATCCGTCTGGCGTGATAGTCTCCTTGGTAGCCTCCGGCTTGTTCCAATACCCCTTCATAACGTTGGGCCCGCGCACCCAAATCTCACCTCTCTCACCCTGCGGCGCTTCGACTTTACCCGCATCGTCCAACACAATTTTCGCTTCACATTCCGCCAACATTTCACCAACCGAAAAACTGTTCGAGTGCTTCGCTGGTGAATAGCCTGTTGCCGCGCACGTGAGCTCCGTCATGCCCCACCCTTGCTTGACATTGACTCTTCCGTCAGGCCAGAGTTTCTCAAATTCCTCACACACCTCTCGGCCCAGAGGCGCCGCGCCAGATCCAACGCTTTCCACAGACGTAAGATCGAACTGCTTGGTTGCCGGGTGTTTGGCCATGGCCACAACGACCGGCGGTACTAGGACGAGGTCTGTGATGCGGTACTTTGCCACGTACGTGAGCATTTCTACAAAGTCAAACTTGGCCATCATGTACACTGGTATTCGCTGCTTCGCAGCACCGACAGCGAATATGGCTTGGGCCATGGCGTGGTACATTGGCAAGAAACACAAATAGCGTTTCTTGGGCAGTCTCTGATAGTACTCGGGTTCTTGCGACGACATGTGGACTTGTTGACTACAGTTTGAGACGTAGTTGCGATGAGTTATCATCACTCCCTTGGCCACTCCTGTGGTACCGCTACTGTAGTTGAGCGCAATGATGCGGTCGAGTTCTTCTTTGGTGGTGAGGTTTGGCCAGTGATATTTCGCACCGTTTTCAGGCGAGTCGAGGAGTTTCGTCCAGTGTCTTAGCTTGCCCAATTCGCTGTCTTTTTCCAGATTCTTGCCGTCAAAAGTAGCAGTTCCATCGTCAAAAACGAAAACCTGGTCCGCAGACAACCCAGCTTCTTTTGCTGCTGCGACACCGGTGTCCAGACTAGCTTCAGCGCAGATGAGGTACTTTGCGCCCGAATCCTTGAGTTGATATGCGAGCTCTCGCGCTACGTAACTCGGATTCGCACCGGTGAAAATACCCTCAGCCATTATCACGCCCATCACGAAAGACGGAAAGAAGAGCGTGTTACCAGAGAATAGCAGGACACGATCGCCGGGCTTGAGACCAGAGCGCCTCAATCCAGAAGCCAGACGCTGAGCATATAGGCGGTAGTCGTGGGTTGATAGGTTGTACTTCTCCGGCTCGTTTGCCGAAATGTAAAGGGGCGTCTTGGGAAGCTCTGCAGTGGGCGACCCGAAGACGAATGTGGGCAAAGACACCCAAGGTATGTCAAGTTTGAATTGCGATTTGATCACCATCGTGGCAATTTGGACAAACGCTTGCTGTAGTTTGTTTGTTCAGAGAAGGGTATATGGTCGAAGTCCAGAAGCGCGATGAGGACCTCTTGATGGATATCCTCAGCCTTGGAAAGGGCGGGAAATGCTGTGTACGCGCCCTCTACACTATGCGTATCAATGTACGGTAAGTAAGCGCTAGGCCTATTCATCGTCAGTAAGCCCTTCGTACATCATTTACACATTACTTTATGATCTTACTGCAGCGGTATGTTCAATTTTCGGAACTATGTGTAGCCAGGTCACGCACTGTCGAGAAGGCTGACATCTACGTAGCTGCGTGTCTTCACAGCCGCCGAGGTTCATCTTTTCCAACTGTACGCCAACCCAGCACGGACGTTGGTCGATGCCTTGAGGTGGAGGGCCCTAAACTGTACTGCGTTAGAGATCTGGGGGCGAAGGAGTCGCTTAGGTGACAGAAGGCGGGGAACGGGTGAACCGAGGCAAGACAAGTTTAACGAATGTCGAGAGACTGCACTCTTGAATTGTGGGTCGGCAACTTGCTTACGCCAAAGACTCGGATGCGGGATGTAGCCGTTCCGTAGGTGTAGCTATATGTACAATCGTGCCGATGGTGCGGATGATCTACAAAGGAGCTGGTGTTAGTGCTCCACAACAACTTCCTTCGTACGAGCTGCGCTTGTGCAATGCCCCACTATGAATGTTACTTGATTTCATATTGCATCAGGACAAAGTATAGGAGCTGTTTTGGCATGCCTTGATGCCAATGCCTCATGATTATTCTTCTCGTAGACAGTTGGTCTCATCTCAGCACATAGGCAACAATACCAGGCGTTGCCAAAGCTCCTGCCTACCGTTTCCTAACAAAAAGAGGTGATGGCGTAGCCTGTATATATTCAAAGATTCTACAGACCTAGGTAGAGCATCTTGTAACTGCGTATATGTTAAGGGTCTGCTAAGCTTATGATACGTTTAAATCTAGATACTGTCAGCTTATGTCATGTAGATGCAAAGCAGGCACGAATTTTGCCGCTGTCTGGTGACGGAGCCACGAACATGAGTGGTTCGACCCAACTTGTGCGTCGCTTAAAGCTACATAGATTCCATGTGACATGCAGCAACTAAATTAGGCCTGGCAGCTGTTAAGCGTTATGACACGTTCACGAAATAGGCATAGAGCAGGTAAACAAGCTAAAACGTCTACTTATAATGAGTATGACAAGCACATTCCATAACAACATGTACTACCGTCCGTAGAGACCTTTTTGAACGCGCTGACGCCAATCAATTTAGCGCCTTCAAACTCTCATCCTGCGCGTATGCATCCACCTCAAACTTCTTGAAGTCCCGTGCAGGAACTCTTTTGGCGAACAGAATGTCAAGCTCCTCAAAATTACGTCCCTTGGTCTCGGGAAGTCGGAAAAAAGTCCACACAAAGAAGACGAGTGCGCATCCGCCCCAGAAAAATCCAGTTTTCCCCTTCCAGTCGCCGGCAGTTGGGTTTAACATGTATGGGTTGACGACATTACATACGATCTGCGCGATATAGTAGGCGATTCGACTAAGACATACGCTCTTACTCCGAAGACGAGTGGCCGAGACCTCGGTTATTATGGCGTAGCAACTTGCCATAAGGTTAGAATTGGCTCCACATGTGCGGGGAGGGATGCTACTTACATCGGTCCAACTGTGAGATAGTAAACGAGCAGCCATACAATCATCATACTGGCTTGCCCGTAATTTCCGGGCACCGAGTTTGGGTCACTAGCACTAATGATGCCGGTCACAAATAGAATGGCAGACAACGCGGCGAGACCCCAAAGGTACAGAGTGCGGCGCCCAAAGTATGACATGAGAAACCACGAGATGATGGTGCCAACCGATGCGATGCCTAGACCACCGATTGACATCTTGAAAGAGATGCTAGTCGGCAAACCTGCTTGTACGAAAAAGTATGTAGGTGTGCCACCCTGCCAACAATTATAGTCAGTGATGTGCTGCTTGTATTCTGCAACGTATGCTTACCATTGCGCTCCCACAGAAGGGCTGTGCAGCGAAGACCATACAGGCTATCTCGGTACGGCGCAGATCGATGCCCTTGAAGCACTGAAAATAGGACGTGTTGGCTTCAAGCGCGTACTCCAACTCGTTTGTGTGAGCCATCAGCGCAACCTTCTGCTTCGCAAGGTGCTGCTGCCTTGGCGAGGCGAGGCGGTTTATCATCTTCTCGGCCATTTCGTAGTCTCCATTTCGAACATAGTGCCAGGGAGATTCCGGCGCGAAAAACAGTATCGCAAAGAGTGGCAGAGGCCAGGCCCATTGCAAAGCGAACGGGATGCGATATGCCCACTGGGACGAATTACCAGAAAACCCAGACTGGACTCCCGCCGAGATAAGCTGCCCAAGTGCCCAACAAAGATTGACGTAGACGGAGAGATAGCCCCTCAGGGCCAGTGGGCAGATCTCTGAGGCGTAGGCTGGTGCCATGGTGGCAAAGACTCCCCAAGGTATACCGCACAGAAATTGACCGACGAGTAAAGCGGGAAGGTTTGGGGCGAAGAAAGAGATGAAGATGAAAGCGCAAATTAGGCACAGCGACATGAGCAGTACTGGGCGGTATCCAAATTTATGGCAAAAGTACCCGTTCGCAAAAGCACCAACAATTGTGCCAACGCTGACAGCATTACCGAGACCGTTCTGCCATGATGCTGAGATCTAAAATCGAGGATATACAATGTTAGTCATGTCTCACAAAAAGTGGTACACACTCAACTTGCCTGATATTTGTCCGTGCGAGGATCAAAAGTGCCGTACTTCGCTGAAAATGCCGGCTGCGCGAAGAAAGAATTCATCAAAACAATATCGTATCCTTCCATAATGATACTTGTTGACAATAGCACCGACCAGAGTATCGCTTTTGGGTGTTGACGAATCGCTTGCAGTAGTGTGAGTTGATGCTCCTCTTCCGCCGCTTGCTTGGCCTCTGCGAAGTCAACATGGTGAGTGCGTTGCTCTACGGTCGCTTTTTCTTCTGTGATATGCATTTCAGCAGAAGTGCAAAATAAGTCCGATAGTGAAGTCTTAGCAGAGTGAATGTTGCGCCAGGGCGAACACCTTTAAGCCACACACAGTATTCAAGCAGGTATTATACCGTCAGCATCTCCATTAAACAATCAGACCATATCCCTGATCATGCGCGGCGTAAATACGTCCCCATGGAACGTCGATCCGGGGAAATAGCTTAGTTCGGGCTTGATGCGGGGGACCAAGCCCCAGCCCCGGTGGAGAGAACTTTATTGAATCCTTCGGACTCAGTGATCCGAGGCATTACGAATCGTTCATTTGGCTCGCTTCAACGTTCTCCGGTGGCTTGCAGGAGATCACGGAGCAGAACCATGTACGATCGTTCGATGCCCCAGGGGATTGATGAACCGGTAGAATGTGCGGAGTTCGTGTTGGTGCTCTCAGAGTTTGTAGTACGGGGACGGCCAGCAAGCAGATTTATGCCTTCCTCAAGTATCTTGCTGGGTGCGCCTGGGTCCGAAATGTTGCCGATTCGAGAGATGTATGCAGAGATCCTATGGCCAGAGCGAACGAAGGTCTGCACCAACTCGTCATCTAGTGGTCTGTCCAGGTGCAAGAAACGCGGTTCTGGTTCAGTTCCACAGTCCTGAGCGACTGCTTCGATGACTTCTGGAAGTTGCATTGATGTACAAAATGCCCAGAGTACCAGGGTCGATATGTAGATTGCGAACGGCTCCAGAACACTGTTGCGACTGTATCGTCGAATGTGCCAGTATAGTGCTCCACAGTGTATGATTGATAGTCTGGCTTTGCATCGATCACGGACAGCCCATTGCAAGACAGCATTAGACAATGTGTCTGCTTCGAAGTCCCGAGAAGCCTTATATGCAGCTATTCTTGCCAACGCAAAATTACGGATGCATTCTGTAGGTGTTAAAATGATGACTCGCGCGAGGTGTAGGTGCAGGATTATGTGATTTTCAGACCCCGAAAGTCGAGCGACCTTGCTGTTTGCAGGCCAATGCAAAATGTCAAGGCAATCGCTGGTAGTGCAGATATGTCAGTGCAATTCGAAGTTACGGCATGATTCACCTTATGCCGATGCGAGGGTTTATACGTACTACGTAGTGTTAGCATGGACTCTTGCAAGGGGGATGAGACGAAGTAGGTACTATACTAACTCATGCACGCTCGACTAACGTTGTTAGGCAGACACACATCAATCAGCTAGCCGACTTTGTACCCAGGATTTCGTACCCATGCACTGTTACGCCATTTGAGTGTTGTAGAATTGGTCGGGAACCAACCGCGATGATCCTCCACCGTTTCATGATTCGCGACTCGTTGTGCAACTGCCGAGGGCGTCCAAGAACTCAGTGGGTAAGATTCTCTTCGTAACACATTTCGGGTGTGCCTGTATATGGAGTTCACCAGAATGGAAGTTCCAAATTCACCAATACTGGGTGGCAGCTTTTTCTCCATGTACATCAGTTCTAGTGCGCCGAGGAGTGTCAAACCGGTCGCGTTTATCTTTATCGAAGGTTGAAGCTCCGCACCGTCCCAAAATTCATCCTGAGACGGGAGAAAACACTTGATATCGTCCAGATCCATGAGCGGCCTTGCATCGAATTCGAAAAGGAAGATGCAATCTAGAAACTATGAAATTCAGCCAATGTGAGACGATTGAGGGTCAGTGAAGCCCTACCCATATCATCAACCCTGTTCGAGTCCTAGTCTCTCTTTCCAACCACTGCTGTGTTAAGTCTTGGCTTGCGATGCTTGGATTGTGCTCAGTGAGGGATCCACCAGAAATCAAGCCAAGCGAATGACATGCTTCTACCAGACAGTGGCGGTCGATCAATGCACGATCCATATCGAGTTTCTTTCCTGAATGCTGCAAAAGTAGAACGTTGAGAATGCCAGCCTGTAAGGTAGCAAGATTTGGGCATGCTTGAGACTTTTCGCCTGGCAGAAATATATCAGTGCAGGTCGACGCACCATGCTCAAGACAAAACCCGTATCTGCGGTATCTGAGTGCGGCGTCCAGAGCTCTGGCCAGCATCTCTTGAGAGTTCTCGCCTTGCCCACGTTGCATATACCTGGAGCCTACAGCAGCGACCGCCAAGAGCAAAAGCCACTCATTTGATGCTACGATAGAGAAACCGGGCTTACGAATGAAAGGGAATATAGGATGAAGATGCTCAAAGTAGCAGGAGACGTAGAGTCGCATCAAGGACGGGGGAGGCAAAGACGTGAATCTACTCTCAAGGCCATACTGCGCGCACTCCGACGAAACATTCTGAACAAGATTGTCGTACGCAGCTTGCGGGAAAAGCTGTAAATCTGCAGGTAACGTTGAGGATATAGAGGGCCTTGTGACATCACAAGCCGTGTCGCGCAGCTCTTCGCTTGCCACAACTGAGCCGCGTTCACGAATTCTGCCTCCGAATGGTGCTCTTGCACCGTTACCATCGACGTAATAAAGGTTCTCAGCTGTATCCGCACTAGTAGCAGATCCGGGGACAAGTCCAGAAGGTGCTAACTCAGAACCATTAGACAGTAGTTGTGCTTGCTGCCGCTGTTGCTGATGAAGGTGATTATCTTGCACATTACGTCCTTGTATAGCGATGCTCCCTTCCGCCGCCCAGGATCCCGAATGTTCGTTCATATGAGCGGTGGTAGAGATTCCATCAATGATAGCACTCCAATCAACAGTGTCTTCGTACTGTGGCGATATCCAGTTCACGCCAAAGGCTGTTGTGTCTGGCCGATCGAAAGCGCTGAAATCAGCATTGTCGCAAAACCCAGTCGTCCATATTATTGGCTCGCCTGAAGCGACACCTAGACCAGACGAAATCGTCGCAGCAATAGTGCGATTTTCTGAACCGATAGTAATCTGAGGATCGGGGTTTGGTAGAAATTGAGCGTCTTCGTTCAGATGCAGGACATCGCTGTCATCTTCCACTGACATCTGAACATCACCGCTAATCTCGGTATCAGGAGGTGCGCTGCGTCTTGAAGGATACCAACATGCGCTATGGCGATCCGAACATCTTTTACAAGGCTGACCACGAGAGCAGCGGACCCGATCGATTGCGCACTGCTTGCAGGCTCGAGAAGATGTTGTCGCTGTCCGCTCTTGGCTGTGTGAAGCAGTGTGTCTGCTGAGTACATCACTTCGCGACGCCGCTGTTGTTAGCAAGGTGCTGTAGCATGAACAAAAATAAGTCAACAACGTACGGGCGTGAGAAGTGCTACGAAGCCGAAGGTACGCAGTCAGTGACGCATCTTATATCTTTCGTAAAGCAACGACTTACTTTGTTGCAGAGGGAGCATTGGTAAGGCTTGTCGAGGGTGTGAATCCGAGCGTGTCTGCGCAAATGTTCAGCCCTGGCGAATGTCGAATTGCACACATGGCAAGCTATTGTCCTCGCCTGCGTTCTTGTCGGGCCCATAGCTATATAAAAATTGATTAAACAAGCCCTATCGCATCGTTCATAATACACGATCGATGGCAGCAGAAGGTGCATGTCATGGGAACCAAGCGATGCACTGCCAATTTATTTTAGCGCAGCCGAGCAGCCTCTTTTCCGAGGTCCATCTTCCACCACAACACTTGCACATCGAATCCCGTCATCGTCTTTCAGAACCCACCAGGCGCCGGCAAAATTCGTGTTAGCCCTCACCCGAAGAGAAGAGGTTAAGGTAGCCTAGATGTTCTCAAAAACCTTTGCAGAAATACGCAAGAACATGTTAAAATGGCGTACATCTTCAGGCTCCCTTATAAACTTATGGATGTGCTCCTAAAGACTACTAGATCACTTCACGCATATGCAAATCAGACACGAATCTTGCCGCTGTCTACTGAGCCGCATAGTACTAGCAGCAGTAAAGAATATGCTTAGCAGTCCGAGGAGGCAATGTTGACACTGCAGATGGTTACTCACATGTGAGAGCAAATTATATGCACGGATCTCAGCTTTTCCCCACGCAGCGAAAGTAACTTCGGAGGCGGTGCCGCATCTTACTGTATCTAGGTACGTACGAAGACTGGCATCATCTCCAAAGGACACTCAACGGTCGCAGATTTGCCCCCTTCCCAAGTCCCATCTCCCTCAAGAGCCTTCCATTTAGCCCCGGGCACCTTTGGGAAGTACACGTTTAATCTCGTTTGTCCTTCCTTTAGAACAGGACAACACATATACTTATCTCCGTACATGTACTGTTCCTCAACCTCCCAGCATTGTGCATCTTCTGGAAACTCGTAGAACAGTGTTCTCATGACCGGTGATCCTTTCTCATGGGCCTCTGTCATCAACTTGCGTGTGTAAGACCGCATATCTTCACGAACTTTCATGTACTTCTTGCAGATCTCATACACCTCGGGCCCGTATGACCACACTTCGTTGTCGGCGCCGCTACGGCACGTCGCTCCTCCTGTCGTTCCAACTTGCTTCTGCCGTGGCTCACGATCACCATGAAGGCGCATGACTGGACAAAATGTACCCCACTGGAACCATCTCACAAACAGCTCACGAAACTTTTCATCGTTAGGGTCACCTCCATGGAATCCGCCAATATCGGTTGTCCACCAAGGCAGTCCAGCCATGCCCATGTTCAGACCGGCGGCAAGCTGATCGCGGAAGGATGACCATGAAGATGCTATGTCGCCAGACCAGACAAGCGCACCATACTTCTGAGAGCCAGCCCATGCGCATCGTAGCAAGTTGACTATGTTCTTCTGTCCTTCATTGGCCATTCCTTCGTAAAACGTTCTCGCGTATTCCCGCGGGTAGATGTTGCCAATGGCAACATTGGGTCCCAAATGGTAGCGGTAATTCTCGAAGTCGTATACGCGGTATTCGGGTTCAGCTTCATCTAGCCAGAATACCTTAATGCCTTTAGAGTAGTAATTCTTCTTCGCCTTGTTCCAAACGTAGTCGCGCGAACCTGGATTTGTTGGGTCAAAATGGATTGTACTTCCTTGGAAAGTCATAGCGATTCGAACGCCTCGCTCAGTCCTGATGAGATAGCCGTTCTCAAGCATTTCGCTGAAATTCTCCGATCTCTTGTCAACTGTCGGCCAAATCGAGACCATGAGCTCAATGCCCATGTCCTTCAGCTCTTTCACCATGGCGTCGGCGTCTGGCCAATATGTCTCATCAAATCTCCAGTCTCCTTGCGTGGGCCAGTGGAAGAAGTCAACAACGATCAGGTCAATAGGCAGCTCTCGGCGTTTGTATTCTCGAGCTATCTTCAGAAGCTCCTCCTGAGTCTGGTAACGTAACTTGCACTGCCAAAAGCCCAGGCCATACTCTGGCATCATGGGCACTTTTCCAGTCGCAGAAGCATACTCTTCGACTATTTGCGCAGGTGTATCGCCAGCGACTACCCAATAGTCTAGAGCCTTGGTGGAAAGTGCTTCAAAGCTCATGACATTCTTGCCAAATACAGCATTGCCGATGGAAGGGTTGTTCCACAACAGACCGTAACCGAGCGACGAAACAGCGAAGGGAACGCTAGCTTGACTGTTGCGATGCGCGAGCTCCAGCTGAGTTCCTTTGATGTCCAAGAAAGGCTGCTGATACTGGCCCATGCCATATATCTTCTCTTTTGGGTCGAGACTCTCGAAACGCGCCGTGAGACGGTAGTCTCCTCCGTGATTGGGCTTGAACTCTCGGCCTTCCACTTCTAACGCAGAGCACTTTGGATCAGTGATATCGCGACGATTGCGAGCATATTCTTCCAGCAATAGCTTCCCTTTGCTGTTCCAGACAGTTATTTTGCCCCTTTTCGTGATGCTGACTTTGATTCTCCCATTGATCAGTATAGCAGAAGCGTCTTCGACGTCGACTTGAGGTTTCCTTTTTGGCGGTTCTAGCAGAGCCCAGTTTTCTTCGGGCATAGTCGACATCATGGTCGAACGGATTCGCACGGAGTTCTCTCCCCAAGGCTCAATCCAGAGCTTTTCTGCATCATGCGTATACACGATGCGATCATCTTTGCTGGATAACATGATAGCTGGAGGGCTGGCCAACGTGGTAATCACCGAAAAGTACGGAGGAAGTGAGAAGTCGGGAACTCGACGGTGACGTAGATCAGGACAATATGGAAGAGAAGATAGTGATCTCTAGTTACTGCCCATGTGTCTATATGTTCTGCGAGCACAGAGTCTTATCATGAGGTTAATGCTCACGTCACCCCCGCCCCTCCCGCCACTGATTGTGCTGCAGATTGAGCTCATTGACATGCAGCACGGGTTGCCCCGTCAAGCTCCATCGGCCTGTCGAGCGCTACCCCACCGGAGAGCCAAGTGGCACTAAGAACCCCCACCGGAGCTCGTAACACTCACGAACTTTCTGCCACAGGGGTTCCCCGCAATTGCCTTTCCACGAGTTGGCAGACCGGTCTGATTGGGGAAGGAATCCCTTGAATTCTTCCGACAGTGCGGGGTGAACGGTGATGTCGTATGGGTACCTAGGAAGCGTAGCATCGGGCCAAGTGGTTACCCCGGAATTCTACCTAGAGAGTTACCCCCTTAGATCCCTGTCTCCGTCCTCAACCTCATCAGCTGCGTCACTTCAGAGATGCGTCTGACTATCAACTTGCCTAATGGCGATGGTATGGGACGGAGCAAAGTATACGTACGATGGATCATTAAGGCAAGGTAGTTGGCTGACGCCAGCGGTCGAATATTTAAAGACATGCAAGCTTCTGTTTGTTTTGACCTTGTATTTCTATCGCGAATTCACTAGCACGGTCTGAGCCAAGCATTCTTACGTAGCTTAGTAGCCATGATTATCCCGTCTGCCTTGGTCTTTTTGCTCTCCGGCATACATAGCACCGGAGCTGTTAGCATTCGGCAAACGTCGAACGGTGTCGCAACTGTCAATCTAGCGGAGACATATGGTCCGGCAAAGTCTTTGGCAAGTGGCTGGATTTACGGCTTCCCCGACAATGGCACCGATGCCGACTTCTCGATCCCGGAGCATTTCGTACGAGACGTAAAATTCCATAGTACTAGGGCGGGCGGTGCCCAGATTCCTGTAAGTCAACTGATATAACCAAAGTTTGCAGGCATTGATTTTACCATAGGCCAAAGGATGGGTCACAAGCCTGGAAGACTACATTGGTCGCTTTAATTCTACATTGTCCAATTATCGCACCACGCGCCATTACGGTGGCGATTTCATCTTGTTGATACATGACCTCTGGGGAGCAGATGGCGGCAGTATCTCGACGTTCCCTGGCGACAACGGCAACTGGAGCTTGGCTGATGTATTCTTCCAACGACTCAAGAATGACCTTGTTGAGAATGATATGCTTGACGGCCTTGTTCTCGACCTCTGGAACGAGCCAGACATCTCTAACTTCTGGGCCCGCTCTTGGCCTCAGTACCTCGAGGTAAGTTGTGGACATTCAAAATTTGTGTGACGCATTAACGATATTGCTAGTACTGGGTTCGATCGTATAATTTCTTCAGGTAAGTCTAGAATCATAGCCTACCCAACACATGAATGACACCGCTCACAGGAAGGAAATGGCTGGCACACTGATCAGTGGGCCTTCCATGGCGGCCTCACCCAAGCCTGACAACACTAACTGGACGGCTTGGCTGGCCAAAGCTGCAGAAACCCAAACAGTTCCTGACATTTACGCTTGGCATCAAATTGGGACGTGGTCCAGACAAGGTAAGAAGTTCCGGGTATGAAGTAGGTGCATTGATCAGACGGAGTTGATCAATGATGCTAGTCTAACGCATTTTGACAAGGCACCTACTTAGTATCGGACTGTTAATTAAATGAATTACGCTAACAAAACGCAGTATGTACATCTTGCCTTCATCAATCCAAAATCAATACTCTAAAAGCGTGAATCCTTGCTAACTACCAACGCCGGCTGAAGCCCGACGAGACCGTGCCGGACTTTAAAGCTATGAAAGCTGTTCACAGCCTCCCCGATCTACCTATCGACGTTAATGAGTATGCCGACAGACCAGAACAAAACCCAGCCAACTCAGTATACTACATCGCCCAACACGAGCGCCATAATCTTCGAGCTCTGCGAGCAAACTGGGGTTCCGGAAGTGACTTGCACGACTATCTCGCCAACTTGCTATACAAAGACAACGGCGGATACTACCCGAATGGCGAGTGGCATTTGTACAAATATTACGCACAGATGGAAGGTGATCGCATAACCACTACTGCTTCTGCTGATCGACGCTTCGACGTTTTCGCAGTCAAATCTGCATCTACGGTCAAGATCATCGCTGGCACTAGAACCATAAACGCGCCATACGAGATCCGCATATCAGGAATGCAGAGTCTTGGTCTCCCAGAACAGGGATCCGTTTCTGCAAACGTCGTTCGTTTTGACTGGGCGGGAGATCAAGGGCGTATTGAGGGCCCTGTCGCGCTAGGCCAAACTTCTTTCTCATACAGCGGGGATACTGTAAGACACCTGGATTGATGGATCGATGCACTATTGCTTTGCTAATTTTGTCCAGCTCACGATATTGGTGGACCAACCAAACAATGCCACTGCTTTTGCATATGAGTTCGAGATCTAAATAACGACATCACTTGCCTGCGATCTTTCAAGCACTACGTGTAGCCTGATCCACATCGGGAGATATGCAGGAGAATCTCAAACACACGATCACTTTTTTTTATGTGCTATCGTTGCTTGATATCATCAGGGAATCAGTCATACGAGGGAGACACATGTATAAAACGGCCCTAAGCCATGAGCTCATGTCGTTGGCGTCCAAACAAAATGGTCTGCAAAGCTGATAGCAAATCAAGCTGATTCAAATTACGTGCATGGTTCAAGAACTGTTGCGAGGTCATTGCTCCGTCAAAGAATGTCGACAGAGGCATTAAAGGCCTGGGATCCATGGATATTCAGGTGGTATCACTTGCTGTGCACACCAGGTGTCGCAATAATTCGTGCGCGCTCGGCCTGAAAGCCCTTGGTTTCTTAAAAGTTCAATGTATCCTAATTTACTTCAGCTTCTTTTCTAAAACTGTATTACGTGATAATAATCTATTGAGGCTGTTCAGACTTGTATATAAAATAACAGCTGTTCTCTGATAGTAGATTGAACGAGTTATTACTGCATCTGGAGCGCATCTGATTCACGATGATTAAGCGCACAGTTTGGGAGGAGGCGTTTTTGGATGTGTTGGTTGGCTTCCGCTGTCGGACTCTTATAGGGTGGGTGTATGCCTCGCCGGCTAATGTGTTCCGCGTCACGATGGATCGTGACAGACCTATCTTGAGTACCCACATCTACAGGACTGCACAGTTCCCTCTAAAACTATATCTCGTAGCTTGTAGCTTATTATCTAACAGCATTGGTATTCGAAGGGCTCATGTAGCATAACAGGAACGTCGCATTACCTCGTGATTTTACTTCCAGGTGGCTTTGCCCTGGGATGCTCACTAAACTAACGTGCAACGACTTAGGAGTGTCTATACCAGTGTAATTTGTGTCCTTCATTGGTGGAAATTCTTCACCACCATGCAGTATCACTATAAATTTTACGTTACCTGCTCTATGCCTAGATATCTAGCGCCGTAATGTCACCTAGGGTGGCAGTTCGTAACATTTCTACATCAAGATAAACGACATGTTATTCTCAAGACCTGTGCGTATTATCGCACTCCTACTCACAGCTGTAGGAGCAAACACTGCAGTCATTCAAAGTAACGCTGGCATATTCCATGGGCGATATCTCCCTGAGTTCGAACAGGACATCTTCTTGGGTATAAAATATGCAGCACAACCTCCCCGCTTTGCGCCATCGACTCCTGCGATAGATACACCTCATGAGCACTTCAATGTCACGCAATATGGCACTGACTGTACCGGCTATGGACTCGATACTAATCTGCTCGTCCAACAAAGATGGACAAAGCTTGGAGAGGACTGCCTCCATCTAAACATCATTAAGCCTAAGACGAACGAGACGAGGATGCCCGTTCTCCTCTGGATATACGGGGGCGGGTGGCAGCAAGGAGCGACGAGTGACCCACGGCAAGCTTTCCACTTCCAACTTCAGAACAATATACTGACATCAAAGCCTTGCTCAGGTATAACATGAGCTACATTGTCCGTGAATCAGTCTTGAACAACAAACCGATCATTGGCGTATCCATAAACTATCGAATGGCTGCATTTGGTTTCTTGTATAGTAAAGAGATTGCCGGAACTGGAAACCAAAACTTAGGCCTTAGAGACCAACGAATAGCCCTGCGTTGGGTTAACAGCCATATTTCGGCCTTTGGTGGAGATCCAGAGAAAGTGACGCTATGGGGAGAGAGCGCTGGGGCATACAGTGTTGGTGACCACATCAACGCATATGACGGTGACAATGAAGGATTGTTCCGCGCGGCGATCTTGGAAAGTGGCGGCGCTGTCGGTCCACCCTTGAACGGAACTGATTGGTATCAGCATATGTACGATAACCTGACCGCCTCCGTGGGGTGCTCGGGCGGGAATGACACATTGCAATGTCTTCGCGAGGTGCCTTATCAAGATATTGCACCATATGGCTACCATGGTCTTGAGTGGTTTCATGTAATTGATAAATCCCTGATTCCACGACATGGTCAGGAAAGCCTCATGCAGGGCAAATTTGCGAAAATACCCATCATTTTAGGAACAAATACGGACGAAGGGTTTGGTGTGCTGGGTGTCAATACGGACGAGCAAGCTGTGGAACAACTGCTTACTTCAAAGAGATGGAATGTCGACGAAAAGGAAGCTAGGAAGTTATTGCAGCTTTATCCGAATGACCCGACGCTAGGACAACCATACGGATGGAGCGATAGAACCTGGCCTGAGAACGGAGCACAGTGGAAGCGTTACCAGAGCATTGCGACGGATCTGACCATGTTCGCACCACGAAGGCTGTTGGCAGAAAAGATGAGCGAGCATGTTAAGAATGTTTACAGTTATCGCTGGGATGCACCTAAGTGGAATAATACACCAGGTATGATTGGTATTAATCACTTCTCAGAGGTCAGTCTAATGCGGATTGAAAAAAGTAAAGCTTACAAAGAATAGATACCGTTTGTGTTTGGCAACACGCAGCAAAACATTACGCCACTTGGAAACGACCCAACGACCATTGCGCTTTCGCGGACAGTGATGAGAATGTGGACGTCTTTCGCCTATGATCTTGATCCGAATGGACATAATGGTGAGCTCAGACATACAAACAGTACGAAATTGTTCTGACCTCGTTTTTAGTCGCTGGGCTGCCTGAATGGCCACAATACATCAATAGATCGGCCAACTTTGTGTTCCGCTTAGACAAGAGTTATGTCGAAGACGATTGCGATCGAGTGGAAGGCGTCGCGTTCATCAACACAATTTTGACGTGAGGATACAGGGTCCGATATCATTAGAAGGGACATTAAACAGCAATGAACGCGGATGCGGGAGGAAGGACATGAGTGAATGAAAGAATATGTTGCTCAAGTCTGTCAACCCCGTAATTTGATAGAGCGGCTGCGACTATGGCTTCTATGTATGTACAACTAGCCAGAAGAATATATACAATCTGAAAGTAGGGCGCGCCATTGGCATGAGTGAGATGACCGTACCAACTCCCTTAGCGGGAGACACAGCCGTTGGCAGAGTCCTCGAGGAAGATACCACCGTAAATCTGGCCCTCGTTGAGGTTAGGAGACTGGTAACCAGCGTTGGCCACATCGGAAGTTCCAGTGGGCTTCTTGAGCATGCCGAGCTGGAATTGGCCACCTCCGGCAATGTTGACGGTCTTGTTGGTCACGACTTCGGACAGCTCGGAGTTTCCAATGGAGTAGTAGATGGAAACTTGGCTGTTGTCACTGTCAGTCATAATCTTACGAAAGAGACAAGGGTAAGGTACTCACTTCTGGTTGTAGTCAAGCTTGACGGCGAAGTTCTGCCAGTTCCTCTGGTCGATACCAACAGACCACAGGAAGTTGCCGCTGCGGTCAAGAATCTTGAAGTTGCTCTTGTCTGCGTCAGACTTGCCGATGAGCGAGCCTGTCTGGAACTGGATCTGGTTCGCTGAGTAGTCGGCAGTCTCGTGCCACACGTTGAGGTACTCGTGGGTCAGGTTCAAGGGCCTAGCCTGGTCCTGCTTTACGCTCCAGTGTAGCGTCTTGACACCCTTGCCGCCCTCGCCATCAGGCGCGTCCTTGGCGAACTGGAGGCCTGCGCGGCGGAATCCATTCTGCTTCTGGAAGATCGACTTGTCCGAGATGGTAACCTCGACAGCCTTGAACTTGTTACCGTCAAAGCGAGAGGCGTCCTTGGGGAACTGGAGGATCTGGCTCCAAGTCAAGTTGTTGCCCTTGACGTAGTCGGGGTTGAACAAAGCGTTGCTGGTATCGAAAGAGGTGGGTGTGCTATTGACCGGGACACGACCATCGAAGACGACGGTGCACTTGACTTCGGCGCGGGCATACTTGTGGGGCGCTGCGAGTACGGTGCTCGCTACAGCGGCGAGCGAAAAGAGGGTCTGAGTGTACATTTTGCTGATGAAGGAGAGACTGAGTTGGAAGCTTTTCGTGTGCTTTCAACATGATGTGCGATGCGTGGCTATTTTATAGGGAAGATACGCCATAGTCGTTCTTCTTCGGTGCTATCCAGCTTCAAGCCTTCCCTAATTGCATATGGCGTCCCGGCTTTTCTTGGTGGGCTCGCTGTTCCTTCATTTAGGTGAGTGGCCCCGACCGGGCTCGCGAAGAAGATGGCGGCCAATCAGACATCCGAGGAACGGCTATGGAACCTTCCATAGTGGCCCCGGCGACGTTAAAGCAAGGCCGGCTTAATATACTTGACGACACTTATTGTATTTACTGTACATAGGGCTGCGAGTAATGGCTGAATTTGAATCTGGGGTAAAGTGTTCAACTCCCGAACGGTCCGGCGCTCCGATCTCGTCGACCTGGAAGTGGGTGCGCACGTTCTGGACAAGTTCTGTAGGTTGCGAGCCCTGGAGGCGATCATGTTCATGCGCGGGGTGTGGGATCCAGCGATTGGCCCGGGTCGAAGTGCTGATCGAGCAATGGTGAACTACAAGCTACAAGCACCTAGGTAATGATTGCGACGTGTTCTCGTTGGCAAACACAACATTTAGCGCTGTCAGTTGGGCAATGGAATAGTACCGTAGTGTCGAGGCCAAGCGGTGTGATTACCGTGATTACCACCGAGCAAAGGTTGGGTTGTGAAAAGGGACCGAATAGCCCCTGGCTCAAACACAAGGGACGGTGCGCAGAACGCATGGAAAGATGTAAACTTTCCGGACCTCACACGATGAGAATAGCTTGTTTGTGAAGTAAGGTTTGCTTATGAAGTTAATAATTATATTGCTTGATGCATGAAAGAATCTAGGGTATCTCGATACGCTCTCTGCGCAAATAGGTATGATCCAACGACAACAACGCATACCAACGCCGCCTCGCACTTGCTCGGTAATGCTCCACAGTCTAGACACCAGAATAAAGTACTCAAGAATTGCCACGATGCAAATAAACCTCCGAAAGTAATGAACTCTTCGCGCTTACTGAGACCTCACAAGAGCGACACAGGCGAAACATGCTAGCGCCACAAGAGTCCCGGTCACTTGAGGTTTTCGGACAAACCGCATGACTCGGTCGTTTGGCGTGCTCGAATCGACGGCGTGCGTGCTGGTCTTGGCGGCTCTATGAGGCACCGATTGTTCCTCAGCTGCTACTTTACTTCCACCAACACGATCGATTACCGGAGCGGTCCCGGTGGCAACCATGTCGTCCAACTCTTGCACCAGACTTGCGCAAAGCCGAAAAATGTTCTTGGCCTCCTCGATGATGTCTACGCGCTGGTCCGGTGTGAAGAGTGCCTCCGCGGCCGCAAGCTGTGCCTTGAACTCCATCTTGATATCTTCCCCATCAAATTGACCGGGAAAATGCCAAAGGGACAGGACACGTTCAGGTAGCTGAAAGATGGTCGACTTGTCGTCCTCTTTGCTTGCTTGCCAGAAGTCGGGACCAGCCTTCAGCAGTTCGGCACGTATCCAACGGCCACCGGAAAAGACAGCCATGTAAAAACACCAGGCATAGCTGATCAAGGTCCATGGCTTCTCATGCACAGCCTTCCGGATATGTGTGCAGAAGTCGGCGACTTTGTCTCCAGGATACTGCGCCAGAACAACCTCGAGGTCTGTTGGGTGGAGGTCCATTAGGTGTTCCAGGTCCCTCTTTACGCGTGCCGACCGCATCAGCCCCCGAGGCCTGACTGTCTGTAACAAGGCAAGGATTTGTGGCGATGGCGGGGTCGGTGCGCCGAGGGTAGATGTGAAGAGCGAAGGCGAGTCATAGGGATTTACGAGGAGATAGGATAGCAGTGGGGATGATGGCGGAGAGGCGAGAGAGGGGTCATTCGCGGGTGGCTGGGGACTGTGGTCGCGCAAGAGGTCGGCCCAGAGCGATTCAAAGGTCAGGAAGATGTGCGCAAAGTGGAGGAGCCCAGTCGTGTAGAGCGTCGGGTCGGAAGCGTGTGGTGGCAGCGCGAGCGGAAGGCGGCTCGTTATGAGGCGGTTGAGGGTGGTGTGAAGGTTGCTGGCACACGGTATCAGTATCACATGTGCAAGTGCTTCGAGGTACGTACCGTGTCGCAATGTTGATCTCAGTAGACAGAGGAACGGGAGGCTGGTCCATGACCTTCTCCTCCTCGGGCGCCGTGCCCTGGCCTCGTTCTAACATTGGCGGGTGGTACAGGTGTGGCGGCGTGGCAGTATCAATATTGTGGTGCTTGCAAGTTCAAAAGAGCGAAAACATGCAGCAACACAGCAGGACAAAGACGATATATTTCCAAAGCTAGATGCACGCGCTTGCTTCACGCGCTCAGCAGCCAGATAGTCGTCGGTGGCCTCTCCGTTCACATGGACGGACAGGCGAGGCTTCACTCAGTGGGGACGGGGACATGGCAGCAGGCTACCGATGCGATCTAGATGCCGGTCCGTGGCGTCTAGTATGACGCCATGCGCAGGGGTTGCGCCGATGGTTCGCAGTGACAGGAAACATGATGAAGGCAGGTGTCTCGAGCAGCGACTCAATTGAAAGCAGAATGTTCACGTTTGTGTGGATAAGAGTGTGACGTGACGATCATGCGGGTACCTCCCGCGGCTGACCGACTCCATTGCGCCCCGAGATGCGCCCCGAGATGCGCCCGTCGTGGGCCGTTTGCGTCAGCCTTACACAATCCACGATGCGCGCGCTGAGCTTGGCCTCGTGATTTGTCGCTGCGATTCAGTCCCGTCATCATCATGAACAGAGGTATATATACATATATTCGACTGTGAACCCCCAGCCATGTGGCCTTTACTCGAACATCCGACGGGCGGCTGACAGCATCGGGTTGCGCGTGGTGTTTCGTCAGCTGTCTTCTCGCACTTCACTACTCCCGAGGTCCTGCCGACCAGCACGTGACGCAACCCTGATAGTGTTCCAAAGATTAGCCGCGTTGTGATAAGGCGTGCGCTTGACGATAAGCTCCATTTGCCGAGCGCGTAGCTCACCCTACGTCAATAACGGCCCTCACGAGCAAACACGTTCCAACGCGACATTTGAATGTGACTGCTCCTTAGACGAGCTTCATTGCAATTCCTCCCGACTGCCTGTGCTCGCACTGCCGCAACCATGACCACACGCGGCCAATTTAACACCAAGAACCCGACCATCAAGCGCATATGTAAAGCTGTCCTCTTCGAGCTATGCGAGGCCAACTGACCGATTATAGTGAAGGAAGCATCTGAGCTCTCTGTATCGCCCTCAGCAGACTATCACGCCGAACCCCAGGAAACTAACCTCTTCGAGTGGTCAGTCGCACGTGTATAGAGCATGTGCAAGCTCCAGCTTATGTCCCACGTAGGCACTTTACAATTCGCGGTCCACCGGCACCGTCGCCCTATGCTGGCGGCATCTACCACGGTCGCATCATCCTCCCGCCCCAGTACCCCCTCCGACCGCCCGCCTTCCGCTTCCTCACTCCCACTGGCCGCTTTGAGGTGAACCGCGAGATCTGTTTGAGCATATCGGGCCATCATGAGGAGACGTGGCAGCCGGCATGGGGCGTTCGGACTGCCCTCGTGGCCATACGAAGCTTCATGGACACGGATGCAAAGGGCCAGGTCGGCGGCATAGAGTGTAGCAAAGAAGCGAGAGAGAAAATGGCCAAGGAGAGCGGTGCCTGGAAATGCCCCGCTTGCGCAAAGAGCAACGCGGACATCATGAATGGAGAGGGAAGAGCTTGTCCAAGACATGGAAGAGAAAGAAGGCAAGCGAAAAGAGGAAGTCGTTCCAGACGAGCTAAGGCTTGCATACCGTGATGAGCTGGGAAGCAAGGGCGAACCAAGCGGGGAGGTAAACGCTGTGGATACGCCATCTCACTCCGCATCGTCTACAGCGCCGACGGCCAAGACAACGACAGGGTCTTCTATTGACACAGCTACGTCCTCGGCGACCCCATCGAGGACACAGACAGCCCAAGCAACAGCAGTAGCAGTACAGCCCCCAGCACAACCGTTACAACCACTGCGACCCTTGCAACCAGTACAGCCTAACACGGATCGCTCGCTTGCTCTAATTGACACCTTCATCTATGGCATCGTCGCTGCTTTGCTGTTCATGGTGCTCAAAAGATTCGCCTAATCGCCCTCGGCAATACTCCAGTTATGGAACCTCTTAGGAAAATTCTAGCCATGGCAAGTGCAGTTTCGTGTCCGTTTTCTTTTTCCTTTAGAACCACGTCATGAAGAGCGATGGAGTTAAGGTGTTCTTTGCTCGACTCCCGGACTTGGGCAATGCCCTTCTCCAGCTTCCATATTCCTCATGCTTTCTCATAAAGCCCAACACAGTAGTTCCCGATGTCAATTCAGTCTTCTCTGGTGACATCACGTGCATCATGTTGTGATTACATCTTCTTCTCGATCTCATCATGTCTCCCTCTGCGGTTCATGCCGCCTTGCTGCACTGGTCGGACATGAGCTGTACAAGATGCTCTCACTTGAATATCAAGCATGCTAACGTGACGCTGACGCAAGACTTGACGCAAGACTCGAGGCACCAGCGTGAGGGAAAATGGGTATTGTAATTGCCCCCAAGGCCGCGAAGTGCGGATCGGCTAAGAAGCGATCTCAGGATGATACTTACTAAACACATCGGGAGCAAGAGTGGGAAGCCGTGGTTCTCATGTGTCGCGCATGTATATCTAGTACGTCTCTTTATGGGCCCGTCCTTTCACTGCCCCATAACACAGCTGTGTCCTGCACCATGTGGACAACAGCTCCGCGCCAGCTTTTCTTTCCGCTTTCACTTCTACTACCTCCATTGGCCACCAGCCACCTCGCTTGTTTCTATGGTTGGTCTCAAATGCTTGGCAACTTTCTCCCACTACTTTGCCAGTCAACCGCTTTGATTTCTCGCCAAACAACCACCGACCCTCAACTACAAATTCGAGGATCCCACTAACCACAGCTTCCAACGGCACCTTGTGTCCTAAATGCGTTCACTCACGACTCGAGAAAGCCGACCCGATACCATGGGTTTCAGAGCACTGTTCTTTGGAAAAGCATCTGCCTCCGCGATCGACCTGGACCTACAGAAGGTCCCTCAAGCTGAGCACAGCGAGGCTCGCGTAGCGCACAAGCGTAGCAAATCAGATCGCCTCTTTTCTGTCATCCTCAAGGCTCTCCATGCTCACAATGGCGAGCTCGATGCTCAGCCCATAGCTGCGACAACCGCTCAGCCGACCGCTACGACAACCTCTCCTGCGCCGCTGCCGACGGAAATCTACCGCTTCCAGTCGCCTGCCGGTCGAAACCAACCTGGCTCTGACGCTGGAGTCCTCTCGCCATCTCCAACAGCTGAGTCTGGATGCTCATTTGCGGGCGCAGATCAAGACTACAACAAGTCTACTATTTCCGCATCGCCCATTACCTCACCCACCACAACACCCTTCGGATCTTCACCCATAGACGTGAAGCAGAGGAACATCATTTCGACCGACTCGACATCTCCAAGCTCTCCACCCACTACAGCTGATTCTGGGTGTTCGCCCATAGCATCTGCTGATACCCCACCTACGACACCTGGTCCCAGCATGTCCAAGGACGGCAAATGTTGGCCCCATGAAACCAGCTCTGCTACCGAGTACGAGTCTGCCCTTGATGGTATGCGCGACGCAGCAGAGATACTCGCACGGCGCCATGCTGTTATCAAAAAGAAGGATGAGAAGGAAATTGCACGCAAGAAGAGCTTCACGAACGTCCTTACCAAGAAACGACTTCGAAGTCCAAAATCAAGCCCCAAGGACGGACCTACAAACAGCGCTCAGGGAAGCCCTCGTGTCGCCAAGTTGCCTGCTCACGTTGCCCATCCTTCGCACCCGCAACGCAAGCAGCCTGAGACCGCTCAAGACGCGTGTGACGCCTTACAGCGCCGTCGAATCCTTCAACACCTATCTTATCAGGGAGCAGGTGGCTGTGAAGAAGCCATCACCGCTCTTGAAGAGCTCAACGCTCACTACATGTTGCAGGCGCGTCACCAGGGTACCATCAATGGCATTCCTGACCTCATCCTAAACTTTGACGGCATACACATTCGTGCAAGCAAGCTGGGAACAGCAGAGCAAACTTGGGTCTCCCGATTTAATGCTGTTCGTAAGCTTCAATTGCTCGCAGACCGAAAGCAACTAGGCCAAGAGGACTTTGAGCATATCGGCGATCAGCTCTTTCCCGGTGATGCCGATCACATTCTGAAGCCGGAGCACTTTGAGATATTCGTCATAGGCCTTGGCCTCGAGGGGATAATCACTGTTGCTGAAGCCAAACGTATAGCAGACCTGCAGCCCTCGATCCAGGAATACGAAGCTGGCGCACGTTGGACGGGCAAGCAGAGTGAGAGCCAACAACAGAAAGGTCACAACATCTCTACGCTAGCCATTTTCGACATCCCCAAGGAAGTCAAGCGCAGCGCGGCCACGTATTCGGCTCACCCTCTGACGTCCAAGAAGACGGACCTGTACTACTACCTTCGCATCCTCGTCGAAGCCGCCGTGTACGACCAGAAGTTCTGGAAAGGCTACTTCTTCCCCAACGCGCGTTCCAGGGTCAAGTCGTTCTTCCAGGCCAGCTTGGCTCAACAGCAGGGTCTACCCATCACACCTAACTTGTCCGACTACACACGTCCCTGGACATACCGCGAGCGCCGTCTACTCGAGCGCGGCCAGATTATCTGCAGTCTCCTTGACTCATTCGACAATGGCACGCTGACCGACTTTGGTATCATCCGCGCGGTGCGCAGCTCGTTCATTCGCCTTCCCGGCCAAGGTTACTGGGACGCAGAAGAACTGTCCACGTACCTCTATCACCGTGTCGTCGACAGTGGGCTCAAGCTCAGCATGATCCCCAACATACTGGCGCTTCACCACGACTACGACACTGCGGCCCAGAAGGGCGGATCTCGCATGCAGATAATCAAGGAGTTGGAGCAACAGATGAGGCAGTTCAAGGAAGAGGAGGAGCAGCGACTTGGCGAGATTGAAGTGTCACTTGAGACATTTGCCGAGATGAAGAAGAAGGAGTTGGGTCGATGGCAGCGGTTCAAGAAGAGCCTGAAGAACGCGTTCGGCAAGGAGCAGGTGGTAGCGCCGTTTGACCCTTTTGCTGAAGTTTGAGGCTGAGAGGGAGCCTGTGGAGTTGGATCTTCCGTTGTCAGCATTGCGTTTGTTCTTGCATTTCGGTTCACTCAGCATGCTTCTGTTATTGCATCTCGGAGTTGCGTTTGGCTCTACATTGTCAGCATGCTTTTTTTTTTTGGAATTCAGAGTTTGTTGTCTCTTCTTGCCCTTGACAGGTCTTGTTTTGACCAGGAGTTGGGGATGATGCGCAAAGGAGATACCCAGGGTAGAACAGGGAAGCAAAGAGCTTCTCTCATCCCAGCGTCGACCAAGGAGTCGAGTTTGAAGTAGTGTTGTATTTGATTAAGTTTTACACGAAATTTGCATCTATGAATATGGTGATGACAACATGTCTCGCTCTATACCCCGGTCAAGTCCTTTGTCGGAAGAGTATGCTATGCCTCGCAGTCCTCCATTCGTAATCGCATTTGTCACCAACGGCCGTCTAAGTGAAGAGGCCATCTCTTTCGTCCCTACCCTATCCAAGTGTGATATGAGAGTATCCAGAACGCCATGCATGAATGTGCCTTAATGACGACCACAACGCCGCCCTGTACATCGCGAATATGCGGAAGACGACGAATGCTCAATGGACCGTGGGAGTCAGCCATGTAGCCTCGACACAGCCCTCGTAAAATAGGCGCTCGCCCTTTTCTCCCTCGGCACCAAAGCCCAGTTTCCGCAGTGTGCCTGTGTCCCAGCCTGACACGAATTCGCCCTGGCCTCCATTCTCTCGGTCAACGGAGTTGCCTAGCTTGATAAAGTCGGCATGCCGGCAGACAGTCTGGGAGAAAGACCACTGCAGACAGTTGGGGTCGTTGGCGCATTCGGAGCCGCAGGAGCCGGCGTTGCGATGGGCGGGGCGGTCATTGGGCACGGGTGCGGTGGACAGGTTATCCCACCATTCGCGGGAGGGGCCTTGGGAGAGGAAGGAATGTGTGTACGAGAGGAGGGAGGAGTAGGTGAAAGGTTTCTGTTGTGTGTCAGTGTGTGGGCAGTGTAAATTTGCGGTAGCGAGACTCACTGTGTTGAAGGGCCGCGTGCGCTCCCACTTCCACAGATTCTCCATCTGCTCAGGCTTGAGCTGGTGCAGCGAGAGCAGGGGGTAGCACCAGCGCTCGCGGGTGGTCTCGATGTCCTTGAGCTGGTAGCTGGAGAAGGTGGGGTGCAGGGCGGCCATCTTGACGCCGGTGGCGTTCTGGATGGCGTAGGACAGGACGGCGTCGCCGCGAGCCTCCTCCTTGACCCAGTCCTCGTAGCGGTAGCTCAGGCGACTCTCGCGGGGGATGTCGAGGGCGGAGGCCGTCTTGGGCGGGATGAGCTTCTTCATCAGGCCGTGGGAGAGGACGAAGCCGGCGCCGCCATAGGCAAAGTAGCGGCCGTCGCTGCCCTTGTGCGGCTCGCCCAGGTAGTGGGGCGAGGCGGCGTCGAGCTGGCTGAGCAGGCGGAACAGCGTGTCCCAGAAGAAGTAGACGTCGGACTCGAGGAAGACGAACCACTTGGCCTTGGGGTTCGCCGTGTAGGCCTTGTCGACCATGGGCAGGTACTTGAAGCGGTCCAGCTTGAAGCTGCGCTGCGACTCCTTGACCGTCTCGCCCTCGGTGTGGGCCTTCTTCTGCTCGACATAGGCCTGGAAGTCGAGATTGTTGGCTTCGTACGTCTTGGGCAGCTCGGCGAGGATGTCGATGACGTGGCGGTCGCCCAATCGCTCCTCGCGGTCGCCGACAATGATGAGGTTGGTGATGCAGCTCGACACGGTGCTAAGGTGGGCCTTGGTGGCCGAGCCCTCGCCCGACGACACCTTGAGCACGACCTGGATCTCGTCCAGCAGGTCCTTGGGGAAGTTTTGGCAGTAGTCGAGCTCGATGCTGTTTGCGCTCTTGGTCTCGAGCGGCGGGAAGAAGGACTTGGTCTTGGCCTTGTGCACCGGCGGCGGGTCGCCTGGCCGCGCGCTGCGGCGGTGCGTCAGCGTGTAGAGGAAGAAGAAGAGCAGCAGCGCGGGGAAGAGGAATCGCCACGGCCGGCGCGCCAGGCGGCCTCCCAGCAGCTTGAGCATCGTGGGTTGTCGTGGGATGGGACGGGACGGGACGGCGACGCGGACGGGTTACGATGTCGACGAGGCGGGCACGTGGAAACGGACACGGAAACGGAAACGGAAACGGAAACGGGTAGCTGTGTCGCGGCACATTGGACGACGGCGCGTGGGCAATGGGCTGGCGTCTCTTTTCAAGCTTGTCGGGAGAGTCTCTCAGTTCTGTCCAGTGTCCACCTCGCCGCGAACCCTGGGCGGAGCAAGCGTCGACTAACATTCAGCTCCTGAGCGGTGCGCTAGCCACATGCATGGAAGCGGTCCACCGGCGCCCGTGGCGCTTGCTCTTCCCCGATGCAGCCTGACGTGACCTCCACCCCCGACGACACTGCATCACTCTTCATCGCCCTCCTGCTTCTGCTTCCAAGTCGTCACGGACCAGATATCCCAGTCTTGTTCAAAATACACGTCGTATTCCGAATCTCCCTCGACGTCTGACGAGTCAGGCAGCGCGTTAATCTCTTCGTCACTCATCAAAGGACGACCAGCTGAGCACCATGCATCTTCCTGCAAGTGTTGATGGTTGAGTAAGAGTTGTGGCAGAGAGAGAGAGGCTCGCCCGGCCCAAACAGCATTCTGGAATAGCATGCTATAGCAAACGCCGATGTCGTTGAATGAAAGATGAAGATGCATGCAGGCCGCCGTGATCATTGGGCATGCACACAATTGGCATATGGTGCAAGCGTGGTGATTAGTGGGGTGAGAACAGGCAACTACCAGCCATGAAAGTACGCACTTGTATCACCAAGATTACAAACTTTTCATGTATCTTGGAGATGCTTGATCCCGATCTCCGAGAATATCTCATGCATCACGTGAAACTAGCGTGCCAAGTTCCTAGCTCCTCGCAGTCGATATATATGTCAATCCTGTCTGTCCCTCCTCTCCTCCCTCATTTTTCTCCAGCAACAGTACTGCCTTCTCAACAGTCGATCAGCTTTGACATGATATGTGATCCATTAGGGCTCATCCTTCTCCTTCTTCCTAAAGTTACTCAATCTACGAGTTGCCGGGCTTTTGGCATTGGCTGGCAAGTGTGCGAAGATTGCGCTATGGTGTGACCGATGAGGGTTTTCTCTCAGGAACGCATCAACGCAATTGCCAGAGATCATGTGCTGATCGGAGAGCTGGAACTCTCTGGCCTCACGCTCGACCGTGTACTGTTGCGACTGTCTGATCAGATTTCTGTTACGGCAGACACTCTGGCTGATACTGTCAGGACGTCAAGCGTGGTGATGTCCATCACTGTCTCATACTGCTACTCAGGCCTGCGTCGCTCACTAAAACTTTCTCGAAGCTATGCAGCAGGATATTACATTTCGCAGATTTCACTAGACTGATGACAGGCTCACTCACTCGCGCATCTTGTTCAGGGACGCGATTCATGCTTTGGTGTCACATAAAGCTTGCTTCAGCGGACCCTTTTTTTATTGAGCTTGCGCCTATCGGCAGGATCTTAAGGAAGACAACATTGCGCATTGCACTTACATGAGCATCTCTTGACGGTTCAGATACAGCCCGCACTTTTATACGTGCATGCTCAAGTCAGTACCGAAGCGCACTTTGCTCTACCTAAATCATGGCTTAGACTAGCTGCGAAAGTTCACACGCATTGAAGTCCGACGTGAAACAGATATCGCAAGCGATGACGAAGCGTGTTGGGCGTGAACTTCTGTCCTGATAACTTGCGCGTTACGCTTGCATGCCTTGCTACCGGGTCTCATTCCTTCCTAGTCTTTGGCCATCTAGCAGAGCCAACGGCTAAACTATAACAGACAGGAATGGACTACAAGCTCTTAAAGCCCTCATTCTTTTCCATAGGAGCTAGCGAAATGCGGTATGTTGTGTCGCTATAGAAATACTCTCGATAACATGTTCACGACTCTTTGGTAAGTCTCTCAACTCCTCTATCAGGTGCAAATTCCCTGCAAAGTGCAAATCATGGTGTCGTGCCGACAGCTATTCCTCTTGTTGTTTCCTTTGTTCTTGACTACCGGAACCGCACATCCCGGTAATGCTACACAAGCTTGTCAATTCTTACAATATATTCTACCAGGACGCATCTTCCTTCCAGGAACACCTACATATGAGAGTTCTATTACCTCCTATGCATTTCTAGGAACGCGCCTCCGGCCTATCTGTCTTGCCCGACCTCAAGTATCGATTGATGTCGTCACTATCATCAAAACACTCAGCGCTTTCCATGATGTTGCTTTTGCAATTCGAAGTGGAGGCCATAACACCAACATAGGTAAAGACTTGAAGAGATGCCTATGATTGCTGGTACTGATAGTGGCAGGATTCGCTGACATTGAGCATGGCATAACCATTGATCTAAGCAATATGGACAGCGTTCAGTTGGATCAATCCGCTGGCATCGTATCAGTTGGCCCCGGAGCCAGGTGGCAGAAAGTGTACGATGCTCTCGATCCCTATCAATTGTCCTTTCAAGGTGGCAGGAATGGAAAGGTTGGAGTGGCTGGCTTTCTACTTGGAGGTACGGACTCCCGACTCGTATTTGCTTTACGATCACGCACTGAAATTCCGACGTATAGGAGGCATCGGATTCTTCTCACCAGAGCGAGGCTGGGCCTGTGACTATGTAGTCAACTTCGAAGTTGTCCTTTCCAGTGGAGTGATCGTAAATGCGAACTCGAAATCCCACCCTGATCTCTTCGCCGCGCTGAAGGGTGGGCAGAATAACTTCGGCGTTGTAACGAAATTACAGCTGAGAACGTTTCCGCAACCTCCTTTGTGGGGTGGCGTTGTCATATACTCAAACTCGACGGACGAAGAGCTACTCGATGCAGTTGTCGACTTCAAGAACCCAGCACGTTTCGACCCGTACGCTATGTTTACATTCGGATTTGTGTACGACGCCACTCTCCGAGCTTTTACGGCCAACATCGCCATGTACCATGCCAGGCCTAGCATCGTTAACGGTAGTGCACTGGAAACATTTGCTAAGATACAGCCTCAAATTTTCAACTCGATACGCATAGATTCTCCGGGATCCTTCGCTGGAGAAAAGATATCACCGGTCGTCAAACAATACTAGTAAGTTCGTCCGTCTCGATGTCACCATCGCCATACATGTTGTCAGGTACGCAGCCGTTGACTGAAGGGTTTTCAAGTATGCATTGGGCCACAAACACCATCGTGGTATCTCGCACCGCTCTCAGCCGTATACAAACTCTGTTCCGAGAAACGTCGATTACTCTGGCCGATAGCTATCTTTCCGCGAACCTCACGGTAGCGATTTCGATCCAGTCCGTCCCAGCGACAGCTCCATCTTCTAACCCAAACATCCTAGGCTTTGCAGCGGGTTCAGAAGCGGAGAAAAGACTTCTAAATATCGGGCTCGCAATACAATACGAAGATCCTGCAGCAACTGCAGGCCTCGATATAGCGACGAAAAGACTTGCTGCGCAAATCGACCAGATCGCTATCGAAGAGGGCGTGTATGATGCGCATTTGTACATGAATTATGCAGGAAGCTGGCAGAATGTTCTGGGCGGATACGGTCAAGAGAGCTTAGTAGTACTACGAGAGGTTTCTTCGAGGTACGATAAGAGTAGAATGTTTCAGAGACAGGTAATAGGCGGGTTCAAGCTATAGCATGCCTTAGTAGGCGAGGTGGATGCACCTAGATAGCGACTGAGAATCACGTAGCTATAGAGCACTATTTAGATAGCACATCAGGCTCTATGCTTGGATCGGAGATAAATGATCTTATGCAATCTACCCTGGGCTGGTCGAGCAGACCTGACGGCGAGCGAGCGTAAAAGCGCGATTAAAGAAACACTACCAGACAAGCATGTTTGCTAAACGAGACCTTATTTATAGAAATACAACTTCACTAGAATTACGTTACAGTACAAAGTGCAGAAGATTAATACTTAGAGTCAATTTAGTCTAATAGCTGTAATTAATAGCTATGCTTTACTGCTAAACCTCTTAACTGCTATCTTAGAGTCTATGCCTATACTATTTAAGGTTTAGATTTAAGATAGCATAAACTTATTATATCTATCTCTAATAGAAATTTATCTTACTTCTTATTACCTAGTTTAAATATTCTAGAGTATAGATATTAGATAATATAACGTTGTTAGATACTAGATGCATAGTAATAACGAAAATAAGAGTATATTATCCTATAAGACTAGAGATAAATCGCTACTAAGCTATAGTAGCAATTAATAGATATTTATACCTAAAGCTTAGTTAGCTTTAGGCTAGCAAATAGGTATAGATAACTTATATATAGGTATAAGTTAGAGTATAGTTAAGTATAGATTAACTTAGATTAAGTTAGCGCTAAGACTATATAAGTTAGAGTTAAGTATTATATAATAAAGTTAAGTCTAGGTTAAGTTATCCTACTATAAAGTTAAGTTATAGTTAAGTTTTAAAGTATCTAATAAGTTATAAGTAAACTAAGCTTATTTTAGAAGATATATATATTATTTATCTTATATAATTATTATGTTAATTCTAGAAAGATATATATATTATTTATCTTATGCAATTATTATATTATATTTTTAGTTAAGATAGTAAATATTATAATTAATATAAGAAATATATTATTTACTAACTATACTATTATTATACTTCTTTATTATACTTATTAGCGTAGTATAATAGCTTTATTTATTTCTATAGTAGCTAGGCATAATATAAAGAAGTACTAGAGCTTTATTATATAATATATATATTATTATCTCTATCTTTCTCTATACTACTTTAATATATACTTTTATCTTTATTTAGCATATAAATAGAAAAATAGTAATATAAGAAGATTATCTATCTTCTTATTTAGTAGCAGAGTATTATCTGCTAGAGATAGAGAAAAGTAATAAGTTACTTATTACTAAGAGAGTAAGTATAATTAAATTCTTCTCTATCTTAATATCTATATATCTTTTTTTATTTATTATCTTATACTTAAGAATTATAATATCTTAGATAGACTAGGCGTTTAGTCTATGCTAGCAATCTCTAATTATTTTCTTTATAGTATTAAATACTTATTTTATGCTAACTTATATAATCTATACTACTAGTATATTCTTAGTAACTTAAGTAAGCTAAGAATATAAACTTTTATTTAATTTTTACTATGCTAGTACGTTAATGCTATTCTTATTATTAAGAGGCTTAATTATAAGCATTATAAGATAAAATTCTCTCTTATCTTATATAGATAGAGGCTTATCTTCTATAGTAGCTAAGAAGCTACTAAATAGTAACTATAAAAGTAATAGTAGCTTATAAAACTACTTTAAAGATAATTATTATAAGTTATTTATTAGTATAAGCGTAAAAGTTCTTACTAGTAAAGTATTATAGCATTTAAGATATTATAGAAATAGTTCTTAGTAAGTATATTTATAGTATAGCTCTTATAATAAGTTCTAGCACTATAGTAAGTTAGTACTATAATAAAATAGCATAATAAATATACCTTATATACTATAAGCTTCTTACCTAGATCTAATATAGTTACTATATTAAAAATAACCTCTCTCTTATTAGCTATTTAAGAATAATACTTCTTTAGTTTCTTTTAACTCTTTTCTGCAGTAGCTCTAACAACGTCTAGCTATAGAGTACTATTTACCTTAACGCTATTCTCCTCTAGGCTAGATTTAATATTATCCTAGAAAATTAAATAGCTAGTTATATATAAGCTATATATTATTAACTTAAGGCGCGTTGTTTATTAGAAAGTAGTAGGTAATATAAAGATAAATAACTACTACTCTCTATAAATAGAAAGATAGCTATTAAGTAATAATAGATAACTATAAAAATAGTTATATAATACTTACAATAGTAGCAAATAATAGACGATAGGTAAAATATCGAATTAGAGGTACTATCTAACTCTAGAGATAGCTATAGTATATATAATACTATTGTATCTAACTATAGCTAGTACTATCCTAGCTCTGCTATACTAAAATCTAAGGTTTAGAACTCTAATATTAATTTCTAATAATTTATAATAATTAATAAGCTCTAATAGCTTATAAATCTCTTATTAGATTATAAATCTCTTAGACTAGTAAAATAGCTTATACTAGCAGTTCTTAGAATAGAGCTAAAATACTAGCTAGTACTAATTAGTATAGACTAGTAACTACTAATATAAGCTCTAGTAAACTAACTTTACTAGTTTACTATTACCTTGCATTCTAAATAGATAAGCCTAATTAATACTAGCTAAAACTAGATTTTAGGCTAAATACAGAGAATAACGAAATATAGGCAAATAGAGCAGAAAGAAGAAAAGAGAGATAACTAAGCTAATACTAAAGCTATTAATAAGCTTATTTAACTTCTAGAATAAGATAGTAATATATATTTTATATATATTACTATAATAATTCTTTATATGCCCTCTAAAGTTAAATAGCTTATTAAAAAGTTATTTTTTATTTTTATACTTAGAAGCTTTTAAAGCTAACTAGTAATATAGTTTATAAGTAAGCGCTATACCTAAGTAAGCGCTGCAGTCTTCTTACTAAAATAACTGCATAATATTAATACGTAATATCTTAATAATAATAGACTTATAGAACCTATACTAAAGCTAACATATAGCTTACTATCTCTAATATATAACTATAGCAGATAGAAAAGTCTCTAACGCGCTAAGAAGATCTATAATATACTAGAATAAATAATTTAATAATAATATAATAGAAAGCGCTCTTAATATAACTATAAGCTAAACTTAAAGCGCCTAATAAAACTAGAAGAGAAGGTAATTATAGAGCGTATACTTAAGTATTCTATACGTAGTCTACCTATCTTAAAGGCTAATATATAAGATATAGCTAATAGACTAATTAGAGAGCATACTAGCAAGCTTATTAGCAAGAACTAAGTTAATAACTTTATTAAGCATACTCTTAAGCTATAAATATACTAGAGCTATTTATATAATTACTAGTAAGCTATCTATAAGAACTTAGTAATTATTTAGCTCTAGTTTATACTAGTTTAGAGTATAAAGAAGAAGTATAAGGTTATAGATAAGAATATATATAACTTTAATAAGTCTAGCTTCTTAATAAGTAAAATATCCTCTTAGCTTATAGTAATAAGTTTAGAGAAGCTTAGAAAGGCAAAGAAGCTCTAGCTTAGTAATTATAAGTAAGTTATACTAGTATAAGGTATTAGCATAATAGAGAAAGTAATTTTACTTTTTCTTATCTTTATAAGCAAAGTTCTTATCTTAAACTAGTTTTATAACCTTCTATATAACTAATTTATTTAAGTTAGCTCTACTAGCTAAATAAATAATAATTTAGCGCTTACTTAGCTTAAATACTTTAACTTCTATATATATCTTATTAGCAGTATATAAGCTGCTTATTATTAATAGCTATAAGAGCTATTATATAGTAGAATTCTAGAAATACTATAAAGAGAAGAAGATTATTACTCTCTATATACCTACGCACTTATTATATCTTCTATAGCTACTTAATATTACTTATTTCTTACTATTAAAGCGTGCGTATAGTAATAGCATCTTAGCCTTAGTATATAGTTATATCTACTATATTAATAAGAAAACCTTTCTACTAGCCTTTAAAGCTACTTTTAAGAAGATATTTATAGCAAAGAACGTTTATATAGAGTTTTAAGATACTAGCTTAGTTCTATATAACCTAGAGATAGTATTATTAAAGCTTAATATATGCCTCTATACTCTACTATTAACTACTATTAAGAATAGTGCTTAGTAAGCAAAGATACTATATAACGCTTATAAGATAGAGGTATAGAGTACGCTTATTTAATAGAGAGTATAAAACTATATAAGTTCTATAGTAAAGTTAATAGATAAAAAGATTATATAGCTAAGTAAAGGCGCTTAGTAGATAGTATATAATATAATATTAATATAAAAAGAAATAAGCTACTTTTAAGACGCTATAGAAGCAATAATAAAGTATAAGGCATATAAATAATAATATATATAAGTAGAGAAAACCTTAATAGTTAGTAAGATATTAGACTTAATTACTATAATAGCAGAGAACTATTATAATAATAGTAATAGACTATTAAAGAGAGTACGCATAGAAAGGCGCTACAGCACTTATAGTAAGACTAGATATAATTCAACGGTCTATAAAGTAGAGATAGAGAATATAGAA